TGGCTATCCAAGTGGGCACTCAACGCTGATGACACTGACAAGGCCAACGAACTTGCTTCTGAAGTCATCGCTCGTCTGGGCACCGACGGCTCGCCCGTTGCCAGCCAACTGTTGTCGTCAAAGAAGCTCTTCTACAAGGAATCCCCGTGGTTGATTGGGTCAGACGCTTGGGCGTACGACCTCGGAAACTCTGGTGTCCACCACGTACTGGCCTCTGGCGAAAATGTCAACATGCTCATCGTCGACTCAACCCCCTACTCTGAACGCGCAGCCGCTGACGCCGCGAGGCGCAAGAAGGACATTGGTCTGTACGCAATGAACTACGGAAATGCCTACGTCGCATCGGTCGCTGTATACAGCTCTTACACCCAGGTCTTGGAGGCTATGATCGAGGCCGACAAGTTCGACGGTCCATCCGTTGTGCTTGCATACCTTCCTTACGAGAAGGAGAATGACACACCTCTGACCGTTCTGCAAGAGACCAAGAAGGCTGTCGATCTTGGCTACTGGCCCCTGTACCGATGGGACCCACGTGCCGATGAGAAGGGCGAAGAGAACTTCAAGCTTGACTCGGAGCGCATTAAGAAAGAGCTGGAGGAGTTCCTCTCCCGCGACAACTACATGTCCCAGGTCATGAAGAGACATCCCGAGTTCTCGTCCAACATCTCTGGGTCCTACGGCACTGAGGTCAGACAACTGCAAAAGCGCAAGGCCAAGGATGCCTACAGCAAGCTTCTCGAAGGTCTCCAGGGCGACCCAATGACCATTCTCTTCGCTTCCGACAACGGCAACGCCGAAAACCTAGCCAAGCGTCTTGGAAACCGCGGCAAGGCTCGAGGTCTCAAGACCATGGTCATGGCCATGGATGATTTCCCGATCGAAGACCTGCCCAATGAGCAGAACGTTATCCTGATGACCAGTGTAGCCGGTCAGGGAGAATTCCCTCAGAACGGTCGAACATTCTGGGAAACCGTCAAGGACTCCACCGATTTGGATCTTGCGACAGTCAACTTTGGTGTCTTCGGTCTCGGTGACAGTCACTACTGGCCACGCAAGGAGGACAAGATCTACTACAACAAGCCCGCAAAGGACCTTTATGCTCGTCTTCTTACTCTCGGTGGCAAGCCTTTGGCGGAGTGTGGTCTTGGTGATGACCAAGACCCGGACGCCTACCAGACTGCGTACGCTGAGTGGGAGCCAAAGCTTTGGGAGAAGCTCGGCGTTGCCAACGTTGAGAACTTGCCCGAGGAACCAGCGCCGTTGACCAACGAGGATATGAAGGCCGCTTCAAACTTCCTCCGAGGTACTATCGAGGAGGGTTTGGCCGACACCAGCACCGGCGCCATCTCGGCAAGCGACCAACAGCTCACCAAGTTCCACGGTACCTACATGCAGGATGACCGAGATCTTCGCGACCAGCGCAAGGCACAGGGTCTCGAGCCAGCGTACTCCTTCATGATTCGTTGCCGGCTACCCGGAGGCGTCTCTACGCCTAAGCAGTGGCTGCAGATGGACGAGATCAGCACGAAGCTCGGTAACGAGACCATGAAGCTGACCACTCGACAAACCTTCCAGTTCCACGGCGTCGTAAAGGGCAAGCTCAAGCCAGCTATGCAGGCTATTAACAAGGCGTTGATGACCACCATCGCAGCTTGCGGTGATGTCAACCGAAACGTCATGTGCAGCTCTCTGCCGACTCAGTCAAAGTACCACGGCCAGGTCCACAACATTGCACAGAAGATCAGCGACCATCTCCTTCCCTCTACCACTGCTTACCACGAGATCTGGTTGGAGGACGACGAGACAAAGCAGAAGCGCAAGGTTGCTGGTGAGGCTGTCCAGGACCACGAGCCCCTCTACGGCCCCCTCTACCTCCCACGAAAGTTCAAGATCACCATTGCCATTCCTCCTCACAACGACACCGATGTGTACGCTCACGACATTGGTCTCATCGCAATCAAGGGCGAAGACGGAAACCTTGTAGGTTTCAACGTCCTCGCCGGTGGTGGCATGGGTGTTACGCACAACAACAAGAAGACATACCCGCGAACCGGAAGCATGTTTGGCTACGTCCCAACTGAGCAGGTGCATCTTGTTTGCGAGAAGATCATGCTCGTCCAGCGCGACCACGGTGACCGCAAGAACAGGAAGCACGCCCGTCTCAAGTACACCATCGATGACATGGGTGTTGATGTCTTCAAGGGCAAGGTTGAAGAGCTCTGGGGTCAAAAGTTTGACGAGCCCAAGCCCTTCAAGTTCCAAAGCAACATCGACACCTTCGGCTGGCAAAAGGATGAGACCGGCCTCAACCACTTTACCTTCTTTATTGAGAACGGTCGCATTGAGGACACTGCCGACTTCCCCATGAAGACTGGTCTCATCGAGGTAGCCAAGGTACACAAGGGCGAGTTCCGGTTGACTGGTAACCAGCATTTGATCCTAGCCAACGTCGCCGACGAAGATCTGCCGGCCATGAAGGAGCTGCTGAAGAAGTGGAAGCTTGACAACACCAACTTTTCTGGTATGAGGCTGTCCAGTTCCGCCTGTGTTGCCTTCCCCACTTGCGGTCTTGCCATGGCCGAGTCAGAGCGTTACCTGCCTGAGCTCATCTCCAAGCTTGAGGGTACACTCGAAGAATCTGGTCTGCGACAAGACAGCATCGTCATGCGCATGACTGGTTGCCCTAACGGTTGCGCACGTCCTTGGCTCGCCGAGGTTGCTTTCGTTGGAAAGGCCTATGGCGCGTACAACATGTATCTTGGTGGTGGTTACCATGGCCAAAGGCTGAACAAGCTTTACAGGAGCTCGATCAAGGAGGAAGAGATTCTGGAGATTCTGCAGCCGATGATCAAGCAATACGCCAAGGAGAGGAACGACGGAGAGCACTTTGGTGACTTTGTCATTAGGAAGGGTTACATTAACGAGACCACGCACGGAACAAACTTCCACGACAACGTAAGTTGACTGAAGTCACAAATACATGACATTCATGCTAACATTATCACAGACTGCGGAACAAGAGTCAGATGGCGAGTGAACCACAGCCATGTGAAGGATAGGTTTCATAGGATCTTCTTCGCGTCTGTCGATCTTACGACAATTTATGATCATTTCAAGGCGTTTCATGGGGAAGTCCAAGCGGTTGGGAAAGTTATGTCTATACTTTATGACTGCTCGTATGATTAAAAGGAATGAATGATACCACAGCAAGTGTTTGATACTTCTATCACAGCTTCTTAGCGAGTGCCGGGATGATTCACTGTTTTGGTGTTGTGTCACGCCACCTTCGGGCGCTCCCGTGCCACCTCAACAAGAGACAAGGGGCTCTAGAACATGTGGCATCCTGCACATCGTTACTGTTGTTGACATTACCTGCAGCTTCAGCACGAGCCAGTGCGCATAAACATGGAAATACGACGATGCGTCAACCGGAGGCGCCTTCGCCTGATGACCGCTCTGAAACTTTCAGCACCAATAACAGCATCACCTGTTGTTGTGCCCACTGGAAACCATTTTCTTTAGTTGAAGAAAATTGCAGAACAAGCACCGCACGCTTAGATGTCGCAAAGACTATCTCGAGCATCCTTCGATCCAGAACAGGGGAATGAGTCCTCGATCACGTTAGCAGAGGAGCAGAGACCGACAACTTTTCTAGAGAGACTTGAGCACTTCACATGGGTACATACCAAAGAAACCTAGTCGTGTCTTGACATGTTCATGGACTAATTGTTTCGACGCGCAGGCATGGTTCACGCTCCCGATGTCAACTGGAGGCTTAGCGCTGCTGCTCCATCCCGACAACCAGGCCAACACATTTTCCGGTCTCCTTGCCATCGGAAGGGTGGTTTATGTCTTCGAAACCATCCTTTTCATAGCAGTCGCATGCGCCATAAGCTTCCGTTTTGTACGATACCCACGATTACTCAAGGAAAGCTTGATCCACCCTTCTGAAAGCCTCTTCTTTGCAACATCCTTCCTTTCTCTCGCCAGCATAATCGGCGGTATGCACCTGTATGGCTTGCCAATATGTGGAGCATGGCTTCTTGTCGCCTATCGTATCTTGTTCTGGCTTTACTTTGCGGCTACCTTTGTCGTAGCCATCTGCAGCTATTATTCCCTCTTCTCATCACCAGCTCTTAAGATCCAGGACACGACACCTGCCTGGGATCTGCCCATATTTCCCTTCATGTTATCTGGAACGCTGGCTGCTATCGGTGCAGGACACCAAGCAGAGGCGCACGCAGTTGCCATGATCGTCGCCGGACTTACAGCACAGGGCTTGGGTATGACTGTCAGCCTACTCATGTATGTCATGTACGTTCATCGAATGATAGAATGGGGCTTTCCTAGTCAGAAGAGCAGGCCGGCAATGTTCATCGCTGTTGGACCGCCCGCATTTACTTCGCTGGCGATTATTGGCATGGCCAGGGCGTGGCCAGTGACTACTAACTTTTTCGGCGTAGGTGGGCAAGCTACGGCTCGCATACTAGAGTTGCTTGCGACGATGGTGGCAGTGTTCATCTGGAGTTTGGCACTCTGGTTTTTTTGCATCGCGTTGTTGAGCATACTTGCTGTGGCTAAAGAGATGACGTTTCGTCTTAACTGGTGGGCGTTTGTGTTTCCGAATGTTGGCTTCACACTTGCAACCATCAAGATTGGGGATGCGTTTGAAAGTACGGTAGTGGGCTGGGTGGGCAGTGTTCTGACGATGTGTCTTGTTGCTACCTATGTATTCGTGTTCACGATGTGCGCAAGGGCAGTAGTCAAACGGGAGATATTGATCGAAGGCAAGGATGAAGACACGTACGTCGGCGAGGAGAAGCCAAAGGTTAGACGGGGCGAAGAAACTTTAGTGAAAGCCCAAGAAAAGCATGTATGATAGAGTGGAGATTGTGATGGGCTCGTAAATTCCACGTCTTCAATCGTCGTCTCCAAACTCTCTGGTGTAATTCTTGGTCCTTGGCCAAATCAACCACACCTTTCCAACGCCATTTCTCTTTTTAAGGGCTCAACCTTTCAATCTTCCACTCCGTCTCCTTGATCCCCTTCGCATCTTCCTCCCCACCAACCTTCCTGTAGACAAACCGGTCATGCAGCCGGCTTGGCCGTCCCTGCCAAAACTCCATCATCTGTGGCACAATTCTCAGTCCGCCCCAAAACTCCGGCACTGGGATCTTGTCCTTGCCACTAAAACTCTTCTCCACGTCTTCCACTCTCTTCTCTAGCTCCTCTCTTGACTCAATCACACTGCTTTGCTGACTGGCCCATGCCCCGATTCTTGAGCCGCGGATCCTCGTATCGTAGTAAACCTGCGATTCCTCAGACGTAAGGCGCTCCACAGTTCCTTCAACTCGAACCTGGCGCTCAAGTTCGCGCCAGTGGAAAGTCAATGCCGCATGCGGATTACTTCGCACGTCGCTCGCTTTGCGACTCGTATCCCAGTTTGAGTAAATGACGAAGCCGCGATCGTCCAGCTCTTTCATATACAGTGTTCGTGCTGAGACTCTGCCGCTGGGTAGTTCAGCGGTGGACAAGGTGACGGTTTCCGGCTGGTAAACGTTGTTGGCCTGGGCCTCCTGGAACCACTTGTGGAATTGGTCGGTTGGAGAGGGAAGGAGATCATCACGGTCTAGGGCGCCTTTGTTGTATTGGGTTGCATGGCCAGGGTCTTCAGAGTTGCTCGTAGGCGCGAAGATCTTCTTCGCTGACTCAGTAGCTGAATGCAGCATACTTTTTGGTCGGCGCTGGGTCGTCTGCGGGTAATTTACACTTGAAAGCGATGCGCGTTGGCGTATGTAGCCTGCACTACCGACGATGCTTGTAGATCTTTTTAGGGGATTTGTACACCTGAGTTTAAGCATTGATTTCTGCAGGGTGTGGTGGAGATTGGTACGTCGAGTGACTCGTGGCGTGATTCAAGCGATGCAATTGCTAGGTGAGTCCTCACGATCGGAGCGAAGTGGGGTGACGTAACGAGATGCTATCGCTTCACCTAGGATCTCACACAAACCTCACACATCCACCAACTACAAGGGAGGGAGGGCTCAAGGCTCGCATATGGCTGTTACAATGTTTCGAGAATATTCCTGCTGGAAAACCGTCGCTGCCGCGGCGTAAAGCCCTGAAGCCTTCTTGTACGCCAAGCCAACAAACGGCCCGTGTGAGATGTGTTTACTCGTTGCGCCGTGACCTCATAAAACCCTTTACCTGTGCTGTAGGAACGACAAACTGAAGGTCATGTCTCGAAAAGCTAATGGTATAGTTATACAAGCCATACCCCTTGGGTTCGAGTAGGCAATAGTGTGTGTTTACTGGTTATGAAATTCTAGCGACTAGAGCTAACTCAATATTACAAAGGTAATGAAGGGGAGAAGTCTGAAATCAGTCGTCGGAACTGCGATCGTGATAAATACAGAGATTCAGAAGAACGATATCCATGGCGAGACACCTACCTTTCCGCTGGGCATCCACTACCTCAGACCTCTTCATCTCTCTACCAATCTCAACTCTGGATACTACGATAGAAACAACATTGAAAGTTGTTGCGGTGTTCCTGGTGTGTTGCGAAATGACAAGTATTTGAAGACATATCCACTACGTCGCAGAACTGCATTGAATCGCGTGAACGGCACCTAGGTACTTAATCTAGGTGCTTGGACAGTGAAGTGAGTTATCATCCCGGACTTCTACACCAAGGTACTAAGAGATTCCTCTCTCATGCGCGATTGTTTGGAACGGTTCTGCCCTGGAGCCACAGGAAACTTTGCAGAGGCTACAGATGGCAATACATGTTTTGCGATGGGTCATTTCGAAATTAAGAGCAAGCGGTTTAGCCAGTGATCGCTTGACCACGACAGGCTGAAGGATGATGGGATGATGCTGGCCTGGTGCGATGGAGTTGAGTTGGGCGCGACGAGCTCTCGGAGATCTTGACAGACTGAAAGGGGTTAGGCAAGGACCCCCACATGTGGATGCCCCACCACAAGCCGCCAACCCTGCGGACATCCGCTTACTTCATACACCTATCTGGCGGTAACAATGCCCGACTCAACTACCTACCGATACGATCTGGGCTCCTACCGTCGAAAGATCAGCACCTCTAGCTCGAAAGCACAGGAGTGGTTTGATCGCGGCTTGGTTTGGTGTTATGCGTTTCACCATGAAGAGTCCGCCCGATGCTTCGAACGGGCCATCGACGAAGACCCAAATTGCGCGATGGCTTATTGGGGTGTAGGTGACTGACATAGTCGGGATTTTTTTGGTTCCCCAGCTGATTGCACAGCTCGCGTTCGCCCTCGGGCCGAATTACAATAAACCTTGGGACTTGTTTGATGAGAAAGAGCTCAAGGCCACACTAAGAAAAATAAATGAAGCGAACGAAAAGGCCAAACAACACGCAACCCAATCTACGGATGTCGAAAGAGCACTAATCGATGCCGTGCAAGTGCGTGTGCCGAAAGGTCTAGACGAGGCTGCTTTTCAGGCGTGCAACGAGGAATATGCCGAGGCCATGAGGAGCGTTTACGGGAATTTCTCTAGTGACCTCGACATCGCTTCGCTTTATGCAGACTCACTCGTATGCCTCTCGGCGTGGAATCTCTGGGATCTCAAGACGGGCGAGCCAACACCTGGTGCTCGCTCATTAGAGGCCAAGGCTGTGCTCGAAAAAGCTTTGCAGCAAGAGAGCTCACACAAACATCCAGGAGTTCTCCATCTGTACATTCATCTCATGGAGATGTCAGCGACGCCGGAAGTAGCCCTTGTCTATGCCGATCATCTAAGAAAACTTACCCCGGACGGAGGACACTTACTGTAGGTATACGTTGAGTTGTAAGCGAAGTACGTACTAACGCCATACAACCACAGACATATGCCGTCCCATCTGGACATCCTTGTTGGTGACTATCGACGTGCCATTGACGCTAATGCGGATGCCTGCCGTGCTGACGAGAAGTACGTTGCCGAGCATGGGGTGAGAAACTTCTACTCATTCTACATGATGCACAACTATCACTCGCTCGTGTATGCAGCCATGTTTGCAGGGCAGTTCAAGGTCGCACTGGAGGCAGTCAACCGGATGGAGGCATCGCTGCCTGAGTCGCTGCTGCGTATTGAAAGTCCGCCCATGGCAGACTGGTTGGAGAACTTCGCGTCAGTACGGGTCCATGTCCTAGTTCGTTTCGGACGATGGCAGGATCTTATCGCACTCGAGATGCCGTCTGACACGGACCTCTTTTGTGTGACAGCAGCAATGATACATTATGGCAAAGGCGTTGCATATGCCGCTACTGGCGACGTCGAAAAGGCGCAAAAGGAACGCGATGCCTTGGCTCAAGCAGTGGAACGTATCCCACCATCGCGGATATGCGGAGATTTTCCTAACAGGTACAGTACAGTCAAAGTTTCCGGAGCGGCGGGAACCCCATGTGTAAAGAGCTTACTAACCAAGATAGGTCTAACGTCGTGCTGCAAGTTGGAGTTGCAATGTTGGACGGCGAGCTTGAGTACCGGAAAGGCAACTACGAGGAGGCTTTCAAACACCTTGAGACGGCAATTGAACGTGATGATAACCTCGTATACGCCGAGCCTTGGCCATGGATGCAACCGACACGCCATGCATATGCTGCCCTGCTGATGGAGCAGGGCCGAATAGAAGATGCGGCAGCAGCCTACAAAGCAGATCTGGGGTTCGATGATACGCTACCGCGGGCGAGGCAACATCCGAACAACGTATGGGCCCTGCGCGGCTACCATGAGAGTCTGGTGGCTTTGGGTCGGAGGGACGAGGCCGGTATCATTGGGCAGCAGCTAAGAGTCGCACTCGCTGTAGCTGATGTTAGTGTCGACGTGAGTTGCTACTGTCGACGTAGTGGGAATGCGTAGACGGACGGGAGCCGACATGTTTATCAGGATACGATCGTCGTCGAAGAAACACGCAGTTGCTGGCCAGTTGAGCGTCTTCCCGTGTCCGCGTCGCCAGCGAACTCTTTCAGGTGCTTGTTGAGGCCGATCTCCTGACTTGGGTTAAACGACAGGAGAGGTTCCTGCGGTGTGAATATACCAGGGTCGTCAGGAGTCGCTGTCCATGCTGATGTCTTTTCGAGCGGTTGAACGCAGCTCAGTTTCCTTATCGGACTGATCGAACCGAATCGGATTGCAAACCTAGTACGACTCGCGGGTCAACCCTGATATCTTTGCTTGACCGTTCCCCTTTCGATCAGATAATGGGTGTCAACAGCCTTACGTACAGTTTCGGATAGCCCTCCGTCAGCGTCGAGCGGCGAAGAACGACCCGAGTGACAGTCCCGCTACTGAACAAGCCGTTCTCAAGTGCCTTGGGTGGAGTGTCCCTGAGTCGCGGGCCATCTCCCAATCACCAGTGTTCATGCCTCGGCACGTCGATGTTTGAGTTTGACGATCTGCCGCTAAGGTCGCCGACGTCTTCGCTACCCATGTAGCTCCCACGTGTTTTACCCAGATCGTGCTAGATGAGCTCGCTTACACGCCCTGCGGAAATTTCGCCCCAACAAAGTCACGACCTCTATGCGACTGCGCAAGCAGACATGCGTCAACTACAGTCCCTGAAGCCACGCGGATCCTTCCCGTCTCTGTGCCACGCGAGTGAAACTTGGCATTTAGCCGGCTTTTCCTGATGTTAGCAATCAAAGTCGAGGTCACCCTGTGGAACAACAGCGGGTCCCTGAAGCCACAGTAAACACGGAAACCGTGGGACCGAAAATTCTGACGTCTGCAGCCAGAGCGGGCACTTGATTGATCGGAACGGAGTCCGTCGACGTTTATTGTGTGCGGGTAGCCTAGATTGCGGGAGGTTCACGAGCCGCAAGCATCCATCAACAAATTATGATCATCTTGTATTCACGTAAACGGGCAAGGGACTCGAAATGTACGCCCAGAGTGGAAGCTGCGAAACCGCGGGAATAATCGCCACAACACCCCTGGACCCCATCGTAACTGAGCGTTGGATCAGCATGGTGTGCACCCATGCCCTGCCCTGACATGCCGGCGGTGTTTCCCATTCAGTAGCGGTGGGCAGGGCCCACGAGCCGCCTTCCCCTGGGTACCACTCGAATCGAGACTCGCTAGAATGCGGGCTGACTCATTTTGGCTGATACCCAAGGCATCGGGAACGAGGTATATGGAGCCAAAATCCGCGCGATTCCTCAGGAATCTGGGGGGGAACCAGATTTGCCCGACTTTACGCCATCATCATGGCTACAAGGCACGAACTCGACAACCGAGGACCTGAGCTGACGGCGGTATGTACAGGAAGTAGATGAGATGGAGGCTATCGACTAACGTGTGCAGGTGTGTTCGACGTTCGTTTCGCTTGCATTCATAGCCACTGTCCTGCGGGTCTACGTACGGGCACGCATCGTGAAAGCCTTTGGACCGGACGACTGGTGGATGGTGGTAGCATTATGTAGCCATGTCATGTTCGCTACTTGCGCCATTGTAAGATCCATAGCCACTACCTGCTAGCTCTTGACTAATTGTGTTAGGGCGGTGTTCACTATGGCACCGGACGGCATATGGATACACTCTCGTTCGAGCAACAGTACAAAGCAATGCGGGTAGGCCTCGACCTGTGACTCCCCGTGACCAGAAGACTAACAGTACCGACAGTACTGGTGGCTCTGCTACATCGCATATTGCTGGGCGATGATCACATCCAAAGTGTCTATCGGCCTCTTCCTCCTCCGCGTCACCGTCAAGAAACTACACAAGTATATCATATACTGTGCCATGGGCCTCACGGTTCTTTGTGGACTCATCTTCTTCTTCGTCACCCTCTTCCAGTGCCACCCGGTCAGCTTCTTCTGGAACAAGAGTATCGAAGACGGTACCTGCATCGACGTAAACGTCATCATCGGTCTTACGTTCCTGTACAGTGCGATTTCTGTCATCAGCGACTTTACGTTTGCCATTCTGCCCTTCTTCCTCATCTGGGGCTTGAACATGTCAGTCAAGACGAGGGTTCTGCTGATTCCCATTCTCGGCATGGCTTGCATTGCCAGTGTAGCAGTCTGTGTTCGCATGGGCTACGTGATGGACTTTAAGAACCCCGACTTCCTCTGGGCCACCGTCGACATCGCAATCTGGTCAGACATCGAGCAAGGACTCGCAATCACAGCCGGTTCCCTCGCCACCCTCCGCCCCCTCTGGCGACAGATCTCCGAGAAGTTTGGTTTCACCAACTCATCATTCGGTCCCTCGGGCCCATCTGGTATGCGAACACCACAATGGAACAACGACCCAACCAAGGAGTCGCGAAAGAAGCCCAGCCTTTTTAGCATGACAATGTCTCTGCTGAAGACAGAAAAAGGATCGTCCAAGTCGGAGATCGACGAGGACTATGGAATGGGCAATCTCGCGCCTGTGAGACTGCGAGACGATATTTCTGCGGAGAACGAGAAGAGCGACAAGGTGTTCAACACCTGGAAAATAAAGGGGGGAGGCAAAGTGTCCGATGAAGAGTGCCGAATTGGCGAAATCACAATGGAAACGCACATCAACCAGAAGAACGAGAGGCGATAGGACGCCGAAAAGGGAAAAGGTGTTAAGAAGTCAATGATGTAGACGAAAGGGTTACAAGTTAATTTAGATTCCATGATATTACTCTCATGTCGGCGCGAGCCAGACAAAACAAAAAAAAAAGAGATATTCGACTAAGCTTGTGTTTGTGTTCGCTTTGAAAACACTGACGCTTTGAATCCACATGTATCAACATCCAGCAGGTTGAAACTGTTCCACAGTAGTGCGGTGTCCACTACGTATGAACGTTGGACTAAACAGCTTGGGTACTGAGAAAATGTATGGCCCAAGTGACGCCAGTGAGTAAGAAATCTCCACCCTAATCATACTTACACTCGCAGGTTACTCGTCTTGGCCCTCAAAAAGTTCTCCACCATCTCATCAGTAACGTCTATCGCATTACTCGACTGACGGCGGAAATCCCCTTTCCTCCCCACTGCCGAATCTGGACGTTTTTCGTCACGGGGCGTTGCGTCGCCGACTGGTTTTGGTGCTCCGTTCTGAACCGGCGCATCCGGTGCATAGCCGTTGGACGACTTCGCCGAGCCTACCGCACCAGCAGCCCCACCGCTGTCTTGGTCCTGGCCATTTATTGATCGTCTACCCTCTTGCGGCTGCCCCTGCTTGTGCGCTACTCTCTGATTAGACGGTGTCAGGTCACCATGGAACGGGCGCTGTCGCTGCTCCGCGGCTTGCTTGTCGGCTTTCCATATGCCGCCCGAGGGGTCGATGGTGTAAGCTTGAGGGTCATGCTTGACTAGTTTGTCGAAGATTGGGTCGTTGGATACTCTATTGAAGAAAACATGTTTGAACTCCTCGCCCTTTGCCTCTTCGTCCTTTCGCATCTGTCTTTGGCCGTTCTCGACTGCATTCTTCGCTGTGGTGGCGCCTTTCATGTCACCTTTGTGCAGGGAGGATATGACGTCGCCCCATGCTTTCCTGCTCTCCCACGAGTCCTGTTCTGAAAGGTCGGGCACAGTCATGGGTTTGTGTTTGATAGTCCTAACGTCAAACGTCTCCACCTCAGAGTCATTCCGCGCGTCCTTGATAGTAAACGTGCTGTTCCAAGCTCCTTCAATTGTGTAGATCGTCTCATCGGGCCTATCTGCATGGAAGAATCTCGCTTCGAAACCGTTCTTATGCCCGGAGCCAAAGAGGGACTTGCCTTCGAATTTGATGTGCGAGATATATCCGTTGGACGAGATGAGAGAATACTCGCCGCACAACTCCGGATGTGGTACCCCACCTAACAGACCCTTTACTTTGATATTCGGCAGGGGCAGGAGGTAGTCCTCGTCGTACTTGTCGACATGCACAATGGCATAGCCCTTTTGCTTGATGCTGACATTTCCTGAAAAGGTGATCTCCTGTTCTGTAAACCCTTCAGCTCGGATGCCGACTTGGTCGTTCCACAGATAGCACGCCGTTACTGGCGGATGATGGCCGACCTGCTCAGAGACCAACCTTGTCTCTCCCAGCTCCTCAGTGTTCCAGCTGCCGAGAAACAGCTCCCCGAGAAAGGCGTTCAAGGGCTTCTTGACGCCGTCCTCCTCCTTTCGCCCCGCATATTGCTGCCCCCGTAGTGAGCCTAGGAAGTTCTTCAGCACAAGCAGCGCGCGCTTCTCGGGATCTTCTTCCAACGCCGGCGCTGCCCAGAGATACGGATGGTCCGCCCAGTACTGTGGTATCTCAACCGTCGAATTCTCAGCTAGTACAAAAGGCGGCGCAGTAATGTTTGAGAGATCTCCCGAGATGGTCGCTATAGATGCGAGAAAGTCCTTGAGCCCCGAGCGGTTTGCGGCAATATCATTCGACATGACTGCGGATTCGAATGGAAACTTAACATCATGATTGCCGGGTCCATCGACGTAGTTATGGAGACGAGGTTGGCTTCCTGTGGTAGCGCCAAGTCATGACGTCGGCGTGCAGGGCCCTGGAGCGAGATCTGGCCCTGAAGTTGGGAGGCTGTGCACCTACGACTCCAACGCCGCATCGCGCAATCATCCGTATGCGGTGTTTCCATCGCACAATGAACCCAGCGAAGTCCGACCGAGCAGTGTCGCGCATTCTTCCTTTGTAAACCACGACGAATGCAACCCATTGGTAAGAGCAACGTCTAGATAGCAGCCACAGGAAATGCCATGGCAGCCACGCAACCTATTGTAAACTTTGTCCAGGATGACAGTCTCGTATCTTGCCGCCTCACCACATCATTGGACTGTGAACTCTCTCTGCGCGTTGAATCTCACTTGTTGTCCATCTTTGTCAGCAATACGACATCATTCGAAGAGAGGATATGGAAACCGGATGAATACTTGTCATTCGAGTGCAAGACATGTTCGAACAACAGCAATACTCTTACTCATCCGAGCTACCCGTCTTGGTGGCATCGTCACGCAACTTAGTGAATGGAATAGCAAATTATGTATTCAAGCCATTGTGGCTGTCTCATTAATTCGTCAAGTCTGCTAACATATGTATTAGCCCCTCCACCGCTTAAGGCGTAGGATAGCTCAACGCGAAAGCCTCTCTGATCTCCTCCTCGCTCCAGCCCATGGTGAGTCCCAGTTGCAACAGGATCCTTGCCTTCTGCGGATTGTAAAACCCGCTTGCAATAGTAAAGTCGCCACCGTTTGGTACCATTCCGTCTGAACTCCGGTGACTGGCAACCATCGGAATGCCAGTGGCATTGTAAAGTTCCTCAGCAGCCAGAGCGGCCTTGTCAGATACGCCGCCTGCACCGACTCCGGCGTAGACGATGCCCTGAGCACCGGAAGCATAAGACGCGTTGAACAGCGAGGGGTCCATGTCCTGGTGGGCGTATAGGATCGGTACGGACGCCAAATCCGTAACATTGGTCACATCGAAGACTACGCGGCCGACAGGCTCCGAGGGTGCGAAGAAGAAGTATGGGACCTGGTTGATAAAGACGCCGAGTTGCCCTGCTTCAGTCGAGAAGAATGTGTCCAGTGTGTTGGCATTGTTCTTTGTGGTGTAGAAAGCAGAACCAATGCGGTCGTTGAGGACGATCTGAACATGTTAGAATAACTTCTTCACAGCGGCATCTCGATCCATCCACTCACCATCGTTCCTCGATTTCGACCGGCAGGCGATCCAGCCAGGGTGACTGCTTGGAACAAGTTGAGCGGTCCATCTGCACTCAATGCAGTCGCTGGCCTCATAGCACCCACGACAATGACAGGCTTAGTGGAGTTTACCGTACTCTCCAAGAAGAAAGCAGTCTCCTCGAGCGTATCGGTGCCATGCGTTACTACAACACCAGAGATTTCCTCCTTGGCCAACTCAGCATTGATCATATGCGCCAAGCTCAAGCTGATGGTTTCATTGACGCTGCCAGAGCCGACGTTGGAGATCTGGTAGCCGGCGATATTCGAGATGTTCAGGAGTTCTGGAACGGCATCAACAAGTTGTTGGACTCCGAGACCTATCGAGTAGCCGGTAGTTTGAGTATTGCTGCTACCCTGCGAGGCGATTGTCCCACCGGTTGCGAAGATGGTGACATTCGGAAGGGAAGCATTTACAGGTGTTTGGATGTCCTGGCGTACGAAGAGCCGGTGGATATTTGACCGACTAAGATCAACTGGCGATGCTAGGGTAAGGGCCGTGAAGAGAGGAAGAAGGTGGATAGAAAACTTCATCTTGCCAACCGGATACGCATGTAGCTGGAATCGCAATCGACTCACAACAAGCCGGAACCAGTCTTTATATTCTTCCATTGTCACCCAGCTCACATGCCAAGCTCACCGTCGGCGAACCTGCTACGCCTATCTCCACGGCCTCTTATCGTATCATTGTCGAGCTGCGGTCAAGGCACTGTCGTCATGCAGTGCTTGGTATTTCTAGAAGCAGCTCGATTAGTTAATTCTACGAGTAGTAGCAAGGCTTGAACTTCTTGGCCATGCGAGTCGTCCAGATCCGTCGTCGTGTCAGCGTGTCTTATCAGTGAGCCTTGCATGCGATAACCCACACTCTGGATCCGCTAGGATGTGTTTAGTAAGAACGCCAAGGGCGTGTTAGCAAACTCGGATGACTGGGGGTTTCTTCTTGATAGCCGTTACCGGCGTCTAGTCGTAGAGCTTACGTTTGGTTTGCTTTAGTATTTGTATAGGCCATGTGTGAAGAATATGATCGCCGATTGGCACTAGAGATTGCAGAACTCTTGGTAGGGTAGCTGCGAGCAGATCCATGCCTAAAGACTCCAATTCCTGAAGTATGGAATTTGGGGATGCTCCGAAATCGCGCGCCTGCTAGCAGTCGTGATGAGACGTTCGACGTTGGATTTGAGGTATCGTGGCTAGCCCCGCTCGCCCACGCCTTGTGGCCCGATTAGGAAACAGACGACAAGCACGCCTAGAGTCATAAGAGACACACAAAGTACTTTTCTATCGCTTGGACTCTGCTCTGATTTATATCACCATTCATATCGTATAGCGCAGCATGTGCCCACCATCCGACCTGACCATTGCCGGTGCCAGCAATCCAGAGGACGGGACGTATTCGCATCTCCTGGACCCTGACACTGACATATCGAAAGCTGCATATGCACATGCAGCTGGTCTGCTACACCCAGCAATTCTCGACCATAGTATCAGAGTCTATCTCTATGCTAATGCCTTGGCCAAACACACATTGTCAAAGTATTTCACGAACGCCCATTGCCGCGATCTACTCTTGACGGCATGTCTTTTTCACGATATTGGCACCACGCAAAAGTATGACGGTTCGCAGCGCTTCGAGGTCGAGGGTGCCGATGCAGCAGTCGCGTTTCTGTCCACGCATGGCGTCGACGGAGCGGATGCGCATGATGTCTGGACAGCAATCGCGTGCCATACAAGCCCAGGAATTGCTGAGAGAATCGGCGAGCTCTCGAGACTTGTACGCATTGCCGTCATAACAGATTTTGGAAGGAAGAGCGCAGATTGGGAGATGCTCCAGCCGCTGAGAGAGCAGTTGGAAGTGCGGTACGAGCGCGCGGGAATCGAAAGGGTACTGGGCGATGCAGTAGTGGAGCAGGCGAAGCGGAAGCCAGAGAAGGCGCCAAAGGTTTCGTGGCCGCATGCAATGTACGCGGCAGCGCTCGCGGAACCAGAGTGGGATGGTGTCAACAAGGCGTTTTGAGGGGCTTTCTGCGAGCTTCGTATCGTACAGTCTTATAATCCATGTCGTTCTCCATCTCAACCTCCATCGCTCCTCTCCAGGAACCCTGGATCCCTCTCAATCTTGCCCTCAAACTTGGTCCACCACGCCTGGAATGCCTTCAGCGGCACGGTATCTCCTGTACCCCAGCTCGTCAAGAAGTCGTAGCAGTTCTTGATAATCCTCTGCGCCAACACCTTTGTCTCTACGCTCCTCTGCCCTCTAAGCACCAGCTCGTTGCCTTGGCCCATGTTCGATGTTGCTGACGCCGCGGCATCCTGTGCCTTCTTCTCCGCCAAAGCTGCGGCGACCTGTTGCGCGGGCTCGACGGCGATTCCAAGAGCTAGCGGTGCGGTGCTGCCGTTTGACGCGTCCATTGAAACACCCTCGTCCACCATGGCATCATCGCTGTCGCCTAGACCACCACCCGCGGGTCCACCAGCTTTCGCGTTCACTTTGAATATCGCGCTGGGCTTCTCGTTTGCGATCGCGCCGAGAAGCTTGAAGTCGGTCGTGCCCGGTAATTGCGCGTATACGGCGGCCGCGGTGCCATCTGGTAGTGTGACGCCTGGGAGCAGGAAGACGACAATGTGGGAGAATGACGGTTGCGAAGGAATCTGGAACGCGAACTGGGTAGGCGATATCACCGAGGACGGCTCGGTTACGACAGGCCGGCCTGAGATGATGACACCGACTGAAGACATGTTCGACGCGTCCGAGACCGCTCGTCTATAGGCGAAAGTTTACTCGAAATGCCAGTAAGGCTGCAAGCCGAATGACAACGCTTGTCATGAGATTTTATTGGTGTGGCTGTCTTTGCGATATTTCGAGTAGCTTCTGCGTCATTCTTGGTCCAAGCTTCCCCCCACGTCCACTCGTGTCCAATGTCTTTTGAAATGCCCGTTGGTGATGACAAAAAATCTTAATGTTCTAAATTTGGTCGTTCCATGTGACGTCTGAACATCGCATGCCTAAAGATTCGTAGCAACATTTCTGCAGCTCACATCCTGAATCCATGCGCAGCGCTGACCCACGCTTGGTCCAGCAACTTGCTAGCTGTAATGAGAAGCCTACTTCCACCCATCAATGCCTGGAACGAACGCACCCTGTCTTCTTCGCTCATCAGTATAAAACGCGGAAGACCAATGGCTGACACAGATCTGACGGGTGGAGTAGGAGCCACCGGCACATTCAAGGGTTTTTGGAGCCACGCCACGATTGCCTGAGCGGCGAATGGGTTGAGTCCCGCTCGACGAAGAAAGACCTCCCAGCTCGTCTCCTGAGCCATAGGCTTGATGTCGCCAATGTCCACTGAGCCATGGGGCAGTCCGTAGTTTGCCATCTCCACCACCGTGGAGCCCGCGAGAGCTGTTTCCCCTCCGCGGACATACCGAACGACAACATCGCCCTCTACTTTGCTAGCGAACTGCTCAAAACTCTTGAGCGCCTCCGCATCACGCGGGTCATCTGGCCTACTCGAGCCCAGTTCTTCCATCTCACGGCTCAGCCCCTCACTTACCAAAACCACCAATCTCTCGTACCGTAACTGAAGCGTAGCCACACGTTCCTTCACCAGTGATCTTTCTGGCTGTCCAGGGAGGGCTCTTTGTTTGACCTCCTGTAAAGTGGTAAAAATTAGGCCCGTGGATGGAGAGAGTATGATCTCGGCCTCGCCGGCTATGGAGTGCGGTAGTGTATAGTCCCGATATACCATTTCTGCTTTTGGGTACAGATGTTCGATGTATTTCAGTACTCCTCGCTGCTGTAGTAAGGACGAAGAGACTACGAAAGAGCAAGGTGCTAGATTGCTCGGAACGGTGGGCGGCAGTAGCTTGACGGTATGCGCCTGCTGGCCTTGGACTGCTGGCCTGAGCGAAGCAGATCTTCTTGATTGGACTGGTAGATTGCACGCATTGGACTGAGCATGATCTCTTAAACCGGGCGCTCCTGTCCTATTGATCTTCACTAGCTCCACAGACTCTCCACGCGTCTTCATGAACTTGTGAAGAGCGGTCGACGCTGAAAATCCACCAAACATCAGATCACCGCTCGCATCCATGGACCCTTGTAGTCCCTTGGAGGCGTGGTCCATCTGCTTCGATCGGGTCCTTGAGTTCTGTGCTGCCCCTCGTCCTCCGAACTGGTGGCTCTGCTGCAAGCCCCCGGGCGGCTGGATTTGTGGGCGTACAGCCTGCTGTGAGGACGTCCGATTGCGGTGCTTTTCCTCCATCTCTTCCTCCATTTCCAACTTTCGCTTGCGGATCAAAGCTTCCATGTTCTGTCGCTCCTCGTCTCCATTCAGGTCTAGCTCTTCCTCGTCCTCGTCTTCGTCAAGGATCCGAAGTCCTTCGCGCTTCCACACCTGAGTGGAGCTGGTCGCAATATTGCCGTTTTCCACCTCAGCGATGATCTTGGTCATTTCTGATTCCCCATGTAGTTTTTGTTCGAGGCTTGGAGCGAATACATTGGTATTGAGAAAGCCCCATTTCAGCTCTCGCTCCGGGACCGAAAGTCCATGCCACGAAGATGCCGATTTCAAGTCCTCATGCTTGATCCGTAGCATGAACCTCATTTGTGCTTGAAGTTCAGTATCATCAGGTCCATGTTTGCCACTACGCTGACTATACTCGTCCCATGGTGCAACGGGTAGTGAGAAGTCAGCGTCAGGTACATCCACTCTTACAATCGTGTCGGCGCCTGATAACTTCTCACTTTCAACATTCTTCCTCGCTTCCTCAGCCAGGTCTTCGATTTCTTTCAAGAACTGGTCGGACTCAACGCTGGACTTTCCCTCGCCAGTCATCACGTCTTGACCCCATGGCACGTACGAGCTATACTCATGTAGAGTGTCTGCAAAAGACACTGACTTTAGCTTCTTCGTCGGCGAAGTGGAAAACAGCGGTGGAGTAAGTGGGCCTTCTACTTTGAGATCTTCGGCTCGGCGTTTAAGTATGGGTAAGGTGGATACTTCGAGAGGACTGAGAGCAGCCGTATGGGAAATATCGAGTAGCATTGAGTCGCTGCCGTCTGAGCCCTCGGGAAGCAGGGAATCCGCCGCCATGATTTGGTCGTGCAAAGCCTGCGCCTCAGCGGTGACCGAGCCACTACTGTCCGAAGCCAGAGGTAAACGATTTGCAGGTGAGGATGGAATATAAGGCATCATTGGCGGAGAGAGAGGGAGCAACGGTGGCGTGACAGGCCGGATGGTTGGTTTCTACATGGTTCAGCAGACGGACATCTCCAAGGATTCTGCCTACCTGTTTCCGTATGGTACTTTCGGCTTCGATCTTTTCGCCATCTTCCGGTACATATGCGTCTCTGGTAGCTTCTTGCAGATATTCCAATACCTCCTTCGTGACGGCGAGTTTTTCGGCTTTGACTTGCGCATCGCACTGGGCAGGATAGGAGAAGTACTTGGTTGGCCATGTGAAGCCCTCGTCGTTCTGCTCTACCGTGATCTCGGAGGGTATTTGCAAGTTCTTGAAGTCTGGCACAGCTACACTGCCAAAGTTCAGCAAGTCGAGCTCATGGTCTGACTGCAACACGGGCAGCTCTTGTTTCACATCGCGTATCGACGTTCGGCTGGTGATGGCCGACAATCCGGTTGCATCAACTTCCTGGAGTGAATGCACTGCCTTTAGGAGCGATGCAGCTTCCTTGTCCAATGTGAGCCTTTCCTTGATAAGCGTGCTGAGGGCAGTAGTAATGGTGGCGTCGGAGGGATCGTGAAGATGCTGATAGAAATCATCGCTTGCTGGCACCTGGAGTCTGCCAATGTGCAGCAGCTCGGTCTCGTAGTCTATACAAGCGCCTTGCCTTCGCGCCCATTCGAGGATGCTCAACTCTTGCTCTTGCATTGTAGCTATACTGGGATTGCCGCATGGGCAACAATATCAATATTATTCTTTGATAATGAGACCAGCGCAGAACGCGAGTCAAATGCAAGAGTTGCACCTTCCTCACCCACACGCTAGCGCCTGCACGTTGTTCTGACCACGAGTCACATGCAAAGGCTTCATATGATGTATTGATGTCTTCATTCATTATCTTGTGGCCACGCTGTGCCATGCTATGCTTTGGGTTGTCCCATATATTTTCAAGTGAATGTGCAAAGGATATCGAACTATGTACATGCGAGCAAACTGTACTTCCTTCTGCCAAGGATATGCGCTTACTTGGGGACTGGCTTCTGGCCAAAACCAAGGGACTGGTTACCACCGTTGAAAGCGACGAGCTGCGCCTTGAACATGGTGTCGCCGTAGATCTGCAGACCTGCACCCTGGTTACCCTGTACACCACCGAAGCAGGTCGTGTTTGCTGCGTCAACAGTGGCAAAGGTGATCTGGCTGCCGGGGATCTTGGCCATGTAGGAGTCACCGATGGCGACGCTCATGTCAGGGAGAGTGGCGCCGCAGGGGTAGATGAAACCGCCGACCTGAGCGTTGAGCTGAGCACCCTGGACTTGCGAGTAGTATGCCTCAGCGACCTGCTGGTCAACAAGGAGGAGAGATGTACCGGTATCGGCAATGGCGTCGGAGCCTTGAGGGTTCTCGAACAGCTGGTCACCGACAGCGAACTTGGTAGAGCCAAACTGCCAGAAGCCAGTGTCGGCCTTGACGGGGATCCATGCCATCTCGCCTTCGAACTTGGTGGCGTCAATCTTGCCGAACTCGTACACACCGGTGCCGTCTGGGTCGAGATCGGCAGTGAAGACAGGCATGTCTAGGTTAGGCATGACGTTGTCGAAGAAGGTCTTTGCGGGAGTCTTCTTGGTACCATCATTGACTAGTCATTATTAGCGCAACTCGATATGTGCGGCATGTAGAAAACTCACCAGTGTTGAGGCTGGAGAACGCAAGACCAACAAGACCGTCAGTGTTGGTATCCTGGACGAAAGACTGAGACACCTGGTTTGCAAGCTCAACAGTCTGGCCCTCGACCTTGACACCTCCAATGGTGACAGTGTCAGTGCCAACAACACCAGCAGCGCCAGAACCATCACCGTAGCTGATCTTCCACTGAGAACCGGCTGTCGCCTTGAAAGTGGTAGACTTGGACGCGTCAAAAGCAGTGTGCTGACCAATCAGCTGCGGGTCGAGCTCGGTACTGAACATCCAGCTAGGCAAGAGTCAGTAAACTGCACTGCATGAACGCATGGTAGGTGTGAGCTTACAGATCGGAAGAGCCAGAGTCGAAGTCCAAGTTCAGGGTCTGACCACCAACATCGACGGGCGACAAGAACAGAGCGGCGTTTTCCTCGGGGTTAGCCGCAACAGTACCGGTGGTGTTGCCGCCAGTAGCAGCAGCAGCGGCCGCGGTCACGTTCTGGCTCTGCTTGGTGAAGGAAATGAATCCCTCCTTGACCATAAAGTCTTCCTTGACCTTGAAGTTGTACTTCCTGAACACCTTCCTCATGGCAGCAGCGCCATTGGGTCCGGTAGGATGAGCCCTGTTGATTTGCCTAGGAACTTTGAATGACCGTTTCTGGAGACCCCTCTTGCGTGCAGGGGCGGGAACGGCTAGCACAACGGCCGCCAAAAGAGTGACGAAAAAGAGGAATCGTAGGGAGAACATGTTGAGCTAATGCTGACCGGCAGCCGGACTGGAAGAACCTGTCGTTTGGAAAGAAGGGAATGGTTAAAGAAAGAAAAGTACGAAACGAAACGACTTCCTCGAAAGAAACAGAACAGAAGGCTCGGCCTGATGGTAGTCCACGGTTCTCAAGGAGTGTGCGAGGAGAGTGCTTTTAAAGAAGGAACGTCTACGCGACCAACGATGTAGAGAGTGTGAAACTTGAGGAGGATGAAACCAGAGCCTGCAATCCGAACCGATACCGACGCATAATGAAAGATCTGGGAGCGCTAACTCGACACTCACGGCCAAGCTGAGATCCACGCGGCAGCAGACAAAACGCTACGCGTGCTGCATTGACGATGATCCATGGGGAACATCAAGCCTAGCTCCTGTCAGGTTTTCAGGCACAAAAATCTAGAAGCCAGTCTGGGTGGCTACTAAACGTGCAAAACGGGGACTATGGGTCTAGTGGGCGTGCTATGATTGGCCGAGACGCATTTCGAGCCTCATCGGAGAGGTATCGATAAGGGGATGGGGTTGTTACGCGTCCAGCTTGACACCGTCGAAGAAATGTGGAGAGAGCTAGCAGCAGGCGTGGCATCGACTGCAGGTACGTTTCAGTACCGTGGTACCAGCCAACGTCGGAGTCGCACAAGAGGCTCCCTTACGGCAGACATGGCTTGCGTGCGGTGGTGGTACTAGAGAGTTGTTTCTGTCAGCCACCTCATTTCAGTCGTTGACGGTCTGCTGCATTGGGAGCGTATGCCTCTTTCTGCCGAGCCGCCTGAAGTTGATGACGCGCGGTTATGCCGTCAGCGAGCATGAACGGATGAGCTGACGAAGCCGCGGGAGTAGTGTTTCGCAATGCCAAGACCAGACAAGCTAACTGGGCATCGTCGCAAGGATGAAACAAAGGGCCCGCCAGCCCGCAACTTGAGAAGAAGCAGCCGGCGGATAAACCTCTCCATCTCGCTCGCGTATCCGAAATGTCAGACAAGCAACCGGGGCGAAGCTTAACTGTCATGTTGCGGCGTCGGATGAGCGCTCTCTCCAGAACCAACCAACCCGATGTGGCTCTTCCAAAACATGCTCCATGACGGCAAACATGCTTCATCGCAGTTTGGCGCCACTTGTCTCGGCAGGCAAACAGGCTGGGCATCCGTCGATGCGAAGTTCGTGTTTCGAATCTCACAGCAAGGTGTTTGTCAGACTGGTACGACAATTTCCTCATCTGCAAGCCGTCGCGTCCAGGGACGAATAGCCAACCTCAGGCTGCGTGGACGACTGGGCTTCTCCACTCTGTATTTCGGTACAGTCACAAAAAGGGGACGGTGCAAAGCATAAAGAGAGTCCGCGTGGCCAGGCGTTAGTTGGAAAAAGCAGCCGCGTTCTCTTCCTCTGCTCAAGCGAGTGGCGTCGAGAGAGAACCGCGAGTGCACGGGCTACTCCCGGGAGGGCACGAACATGTTGACACTGACAGGCGGAATCGCTGCATGAAATCAATGCGTATATTCGAATATTGAATGGGGCGCTTTTGTTCTATCATAAAGTGATGTCCTTGCTATATCGTCGACGCGCCACCAGAGGCCCATCCATCACCTGAGCCTAACTGCCAGAGCCGTCTACTCTGGGATAACTCCTACGCTGCCAGCTCTCTGGTCCTCCGCTCTGCTCCGACTATGCAACGGACACATCGCAACTAGGCGACGACTACACGCAAGACTGGTGCTGCATGTCCGAGTCCATCGGCGTCCAACCCCTTGGCATGGACTTTGTACTCCGAACATCGGCCTACCGCAGAACGCGATGCGTGGCGTCCCGATAGCATTGCATGGCTAAATGTTGATCCTCAGGGGGTTTCATCCAAGCAGCTCAACATCCAGACCGATAGCCCTCATGAAGAGGTTCACGTTTGCTGTGCGTGCGCTTGCCATGTCAGCAGGTAGGGCCTTGCTAACAGAGACCGTCTCCATGACGCGGTCCTTGACGCCCAGCACCAAACGCTGTTGCTGCTCGGGACTGGCGCCCACACCCATTGCAGCCAGGAACTGCCAGATGTACATGTCGTCGGTGTCGTTGATGCTTCCCGGGAACAGGTAAGGAAGAACGGGCTCAATGACGTCGAACAGACGGTTGTAAAGCCCCGTCCACTGTTGCCAATCGGTCACCATCTCTGGAGCCGACTGCTTAAGAAGCTCCGCACGGGATATGAGGAACGTAAGGAGCGTAAGACCGATTCTGCTGCGAGCCACAACATGGAGGTTGGTGCGGTCCAAGACAAGGCCAAGAAGCCCGATAACAATGTTCAATGGCGCCTCGGAGATGTGTGCGTGGATGGGCGACATGACGGTTTGAGAGAAAAGGTCAACCTCTTCTCGGATGGCTGCGCTCAAAGGCTCTTCAGGCGTAGCGATGGCATGGCCAACCACAGAGAGGGCATCTAGATGGACGACAATCATGGTGACAACGGTGATGCGCTCCTGCTCGTTGATGTGTCGGAACAGGCGCGGAATCACCTTCTTTCCCTTGGCATGCGAAAGGATGGAGATGAAGGGATGCGGTGTGCTAGTTATTGTTAGCGAGAAAAGGGCTCGTGGGGTGCCAAACATACCTCGGGTTGATGGGCTCCATGATCTTAGTGTTTAGCCAGAGTTGCTGGTGGAGAGCCTCGATCTTCGATCGCCACTCCATGTGCGCCTGGATGGCTTCAGGGGGGCTACCTTCTTGGATCGGAGGCGGCATTGCGCGCTCGTGGTCTTCCATTTGCATGAGTGTCTTGTACACAGCCTCGATGTTGCGGAGGGCCTCCTTGCGATCCGCGATGGAAGACTTGTGGTTCTTTGGCAGCTTGTCGTTGTTTTCCGTTCGCTTGAGGTTGAGCAGTGGTCGCGGGGTCTTGGAGTTGCTAAAGGCAATCTTTCCTAGGCTGCCTTCCACAACGAGCTGTCTAGCTTTTGGTCTTGCTTTGGCGGCCTCGACTGCTCGCTGGATCTGCTGCTCCATGCGCTGCATGTGGTTGTCGCCTCCTCGGCCTTGTCTGCGGGCGCCAAACCTGTTGTTGGTCTGGAACAGATATGTCTGAGCAAATTGGCTTGCCGGCTGCTGCGGGTTTTGACGTGGAGCACCCCGGATTTGGGTAAAGACCTGGTAGTAAAAATCCTCAGCAATAGCTGCCTCAGGCCCTCTCTCTTCCAAGTTGCCAGTCGCAGTCATCAACTGCTGCAGCTGGATCCGAGTGATGAAGTTCTTGTCCTGTGGCGTCATGAGGCCGTTGTCCTTTGCTAGCAGAGCAATCTTGTGGTTCCGTTTGGCCCGCTTGGCATCTTCTTCTAGGAAGGCTGCACGCTCGGCCTCGGATAGCTGCAGCAGTTGCTCGGGGTGGGTGATGACCATTCCGGGGAACGATGGACCCCGGTTGTGTCCCGCAGGAACCCCGCGACCGGCTTGAGGACCCTGTTGAGGATTCTGAACCATCGGCTGGCCTTGGCCGGACAGACGATTCGGGTTCTGCAAGATCTGTCGAGGCTGGGTGGGCGGACCCTGAGCCTGTGCCTGAGATGGCGCCTGGCGCTGCTGCTGGGCGTTGGGTTCGTTGGACTGAGGCCTTTGTCGCTGCAGGATGGTAGGCTGCTGGGGCGGCTGCGACCGAACGGGTTGATCAGGGAGCTCCGCACGAGCCTGCTGCTGCTGTTGTTGTCTGGCCGGCTGCTGTTGCTGCTGAGGCCTTTGCAGAATCTGCGGCGCAAACTGTCCTGGCATACCTCCAGCGGGCATACCGGGATACTGGGGCTGCTGTTGCGGGAAGTGCTGCTGTGGGTACTGCTGTTGCTGCGCATATCCTGGGAAGCCCGGAGGAGGCGCCTGCTGAACTGGAGGGGTGCTTATAGATTGGGCACGCATCATGGCCTCGACCTCCTCCATGCTCATAGCCTTCCTCGTGGGCGCGGGCTGCTGCGAAGCGGCGGGAGGCTGGGGTGACGGCTGTCTCTGCGCAGCTGGCTGCTTCGGCTTGAGGCCCCAGATATCGGCGCGCGCCTCCAGCTGGGGGATGTACTCGGGATCCTTGTAGCTCTCATAGCCAGTCCGGTTGGGCTTTGACGCCTGTGGGACGGGCGGTCTCTGCTGTTGCTGGTATTGCTGCTGCTGGGGGTACTTCTGACGAGCCTGGTACAGCATCTGCTCCTCGTGCAGGGTGCTTGACACCATGGAGGTCTGGCCCGCAAAGTCGAAGTGTTTCCCAACGGACTGCTGCGTGGCCGGGCCGCCGCCAAAGGTGTCGTCGTTGAGGTCATCGGCATCGTCGTCTAGCTGGTCGCCCAGGCCGTCGTACGTCTCCTCGAAGTCGATGCTGTGTTGGGGGTAAGCGGGAGCTGTGGGCTATATTGGACGCGACCTACACATCGTCATCGGCTGCCCCTCCACCCAGGGCAGCGAAGGCGTCGTGCTGGCCGAACCCGGGGGCATTGGAGGCGTGGCCGCGGTCCCTCGGCAGGTTGGTGTCGAAGCCGAAGAAAGACATGGCGGGCGGTGCCCGGTCGGGTGGATGCTCTGGCTGGTGTTGTTATGCCTGGGGCGAGGTGATATTTGACACGCGAAAGTGGTGACGTTTGGCTGGGGCAGAGGCAGATTGGCTGGGCGGCGGTCGCATCGGCGCAACCACGAACGAGCGGCGGTCGATGTGGACACTGCAGGGTCCGAAAGCGGTCGCAGCGTACAGAGACTGGGACGGTGGTCGTGGTGGGTGGGCGAGGTGGTGCTGCGACCCAGGTTGGCTGTGTTCGCGTCTCCGTCCCAATTGGCGGCAAGTCCCGCCCTTGCCCAAAGAAAGCAAGAAGCCCTCGTAACCCTGCGAACTGGCTTCTGGGCGAATCAGCCACACTTGACCACTTTACCACGGCGCCCCGACACGACCACTCCTTTTACTTTGTTCCACCTGTGGTTTCTTCTCCCCACCGCCCGCCTTCACCTCGCCTGCGTCCTCCATCTCACCTGCTGATGCGCATGCCCCGCGTCTCAGATCCGTTCGTTTGCCTATAAACCGTTTCCGGGCAAGACACGCGCCGAGTGTCCGGCACCGCCATCTGGGCTACGCTTCACGCCTTCACCCACGCCCACGCCTACGCCTCCCCCACACTTGCACTGTCGCATTGAGCAGGCAAAGTGGAGGGCCCCAACCCCGCTAAACACAAGCACCCGTCTGAGCAGCAGCCTCAGGGCCGGAACGCCATGGCCGGCAGCCAGCGGTACATCCGCTACATCGTCTTTGCGGTAGTGGTACGTACTGTCAACGTGTAATGACTACCCACGCAGCCATTGACTCTCTGCAGGCCCTCGTCCTCCTCTACTTCATCGGCTCCTCCTCGTCTGTGCCTTCTGCAAGCTGGCCAGTCTATCAGGACACAAAGTCGCCCGCGACTCCCCAGGGCAATGCTCCCGTCGCCAGCGATGACGTCCAGCAGGTCACGTCTCCTACCACGCCCAACCAGCAGAAGCTCCCGCCCGCCACCATCCCCGGCGACCGCATGAACGCAACTTTTGTCACCCTCGCCCGTAACTCGGACGTCTGGGAGATTGCCGAGTCCATCCGCCAAGTCGAGGACCGCTTCAACCGCAAGTTCAACTACGACTGGGTCTTCCTCAACGACGACGACTTCAGCGACGAGTTCAAGAAGGTCACCACTGCGCTTGTGTCCGGCACCACCAAGTACGGCAAGATTCCCACAGAGCACTGGTCCTTCCCCGAGTGGATTGACCAGGACAAGGCCGCCAAGGTTCGCGAGACCATGAAGGAGAAGAAGATCATCTACGGCGACTCCGTCAGCTACAGGCACATGTGCCGCTACGAGTCTGGCTTCTTCTTCCGCCACCCCTTGATGCTCGACTACGAGTGGTACTGGCGTGTCGAGCCCAGCGTCAAGCTCTACTGCGACATCAACTACGACACCTTCAAGTTCATGGCCGAGAACAAGAAGAAGTACAGCTTCACCCTCAGTCTCTACGAATACGTCGAGACCATCCCCACCCTCTGGGATGCCACCAAAAACTTCACCAAGCACTACCCCCAGCACATCGTCAAGGACAACGCCATGAAGTTCCTCAGTGACGACGGCGGCGAGACCTACAACCACTGCCATTTCTGGTCCAACTTCGAGATTGGCAACCTCAACTGGCTCCGTTCCGACGCATACATTGACTTCTTCACCTCTCTTGACCACGCAGGCGGTTTCTTCTACGAGCGATGGGGCGATGCCCCCGTACACTCCATTGCCGCAGGTCTGCTACTCCAAAAGGACGAGATCCACTTCTTCAACGACATTGCCTACTACCACGTCCCCTTCACGCATTGCCCGACCGGTGAGCAATACCGCCTCGACCACAAGTGCTCTTGCAACCCCAAGGACAACTTTGACTGGAACGGATACAGCTGTATGTCCACCTCTTATAAAGATCATGATCTATGCTTACAAAGTCACAGGCACATCCCGCTTCTACGAAATGCAAGGCATGGAGAAGCCAGCAGGGTACGAAAAGGAGCAGTAATAAGCGCTCAGTCTCACTTCAGTCCTACTTCAATCTGACACCTTGATTTCATCTATCGCTCTTGGCACACTAGTCTGACTGTTGGTCAAGTGCACCCCTTTCGACGTCAGCCAAGGTCTGGCGTGTGCTGAAAATTGTCTTCTTCGTTCTCGCAATTTTGACTCTACTTGGGACATGCATTGCAAGAGGGCGGCGACCTAAAGGGCGCTTTCTCGATCAAGGAAAATCTTCGTTGCCCAAGTGGCCTTCGTAGGGACAATCAAAACCATATCGGTGTATATGTTGGGTTTGGCGTTGGTAGCGGGGATTGTTGTTGGCTACGTTTGGCAGGATTGGCGGCCACCTATGTATTGTCTTGTTGAACCAATGTTACCTGTGTAGTTGACGATTCTAGACTAACGACGGCCTCGTTCGTTTGCGGAAATTAGATGAGTGTTGGTTCTTGATAGAACATCTGTATGTGTCCCAATCACCCTTGTCGGCACGTTAAAGTCGAATCTGGTTTATTTCTACGCTTATATCATCATGCTCGCTAAGAACGCTCATACATAAAGTCAAAACATCAGCCCGCGTTTTCACAGGAGGTCAAATGCTCAGTCATTGTAGTTGACAACACCGCTTCCATCCTTGTTCGCCCTCGGGACTCCGTACTTCTCGCTCAGCTCTTCTTCTTGCGACTTGCTCTTTGGGTCGAGATACGGTCGTTCAGCACGGACGGTTACGCGGACTGCGTGTCGGCGGTGAGGTGCGAAGCCATAAGTAGCGGAGTGGTTCTGCTGCGTCTTAGCACATGTCAGTCAACAAGAAGGATTCAACATACTGTGACCCTGTTATCCCAGAACGCTACATCACCCTCGTTCCACTGGAACCTAGCATGAACCTCTGGGCTGGTTGCGACAATCTCGGTCAAGAAACTGATGATGTGATCCGACTCCGTCTTTGGTACACCAACTATCTTTGTTACGAAGCCTGGGTTGAAGAAGATACTCTTCCAGCCCGTGACGGGGTTTGTTCGGATGAGTGGGTGTTCGGTGGTGACAGGGTCGCGGCGTACAGTTCGTCCCAGATCGCGTGAGCCCTGGGCTTGGAGCTCAGCCGAGTGTAGGGCAGTGAGGCCCTCGAGGTACTTTTGCATGTGTGGCGATAGCATATCGTAAGCTGCGTATTGCGAAGACCAGAGAGTGTCTCCACCGCCGCCACGAGGTGGGCCAGTGAGGACTTTGAGGGAGGTGTAGGAAGGTGGCTGCAGTTCGTATGTCACCTAGCTGTGTTAGCGAGCTCGAATCACTCGCAACGTTCTGAATTCTTACATCGGAGTGCCAGAGGAACGACGGTGTGAACAACGCCCTCAGGTCTGGGCTGTCCTCGCCGGTGTAGATCACATGGACGTCTTCCAAACCCTCGCGCTTCGGTACACCAGTTGTAGCATGCTTATGGAGCTCACCAAAGTACTTGCCAAGCTCCCTTTGCTCGTCGATGCTGAAGTTCTTCTGATTCCGGAAGAACACCACACCACGCGTAGCAATCAGTCGGGCAAGGTCGTTCTTCTGAGCATCTGTGAGATTTGCTAGATCAACACCGTGCACCTCGGTGCCGATCTTTGGGTTGTAGTCGAAGACATCTGTGGCGGTTGCGAGGAGGTTCTTGAAGTTTGGATCGCCTAGTTGGCCTTTGTCGGCGTAGGGGATCTCCGTGTAGGCTGGCCATGTGATGGTGGGGAAGTGTGGCCGAAGATCTTCGTATTTGTAAGGAACAGCATGCTTCTTGACAGTTGTGCGGCCAGGAACGTAGCTGTGGGCGTTGCTAGACTTTGATGTGGAGAGGGATGTGGATGTGGCGGTGGGCTGGTACTGGGGTTCCACGAGTCCGGGCGCCATGATTGTTACCGGGGTTTAGGGAAGAGATCGTATGGGACACAAGTACTTTGCAGTCTATCGCGGTAAGGTATGGGTATTGAAGAGACGTGACCTGTATGCAAGAGGCAGGTATGGCAAGACAACGGGAGAAAGGATAGATGCTTGCAAGGAGCTGAACTCGGTCTATGAAGAGAGGATCTGCTTGGGCGAGGTCTATAGGACTGGTATATGACAGTTAGACAGCCAGAGAGCAGAGACGGCCCTTATATGTGATACATTCGAGCAGTATACGTGCGATTCATATCACCGTCAGTGACTACTTGCCGCATCGGGACGATTGCGCCATCGCACACAATTGAGCCGATCACCCTGACACTAAGCCGCGGGACACTAACATCGAGATGCAACGACACACGATCAGGGTATTCAAGAGATATACTGCTCGCGCTGCAGGCTAAGAGTTGCGAAGTAGATGTACAGAGTGTATTCGAGCGGTACGACATGGCCGTATTTCTCTGCGTTCGGCCTGTTTTCTCATCCTTGCTATGATCCGTGATCCTAACAGCATGCCTCTGATCGTATTGGCAGTAGTTGTAGCAGGTGGTATGTTGGAGCCGGAGTAAGATCGACGCTAGCGAGATGATGCAATCTGACGCGATTCGGCGCTCTGAATTCAACATCGCAGTGCTCGGACCACATTCCAGGGCCAGCATCCTCCGATAACATGGGAACAGCGAGCGGAGGAATTTCTGTCCTCACTCTTGTTTGGCCTCGATGTAGTGGACAGGGATTTGGACATGCTCTCAAATGTTGGTTGGGTTGTAGAGTTGACTGTGGGTCAGCCAGGCTCTGGAACGTTGATCTTGTGGCTGCATATCAACGGCATCGTAGCAGCCTATGTGGACAACTCCAGCTCTTGCAGCCTACTCCGCGAAAAAAGTCGTCTTCTGGGTCGTATTTCTGGGAGTCACTTCTTGAAAGAACATTCTCGCTCGAACGCTGCAACATCCAACGCCAGTACTCCATGCACACCGCCTCTTAAGCCCACTGACATCTGGTAATCCTTCACAAGACCCTGTTATCGCTTGTATCGATGCTCGATGCAGTCCTCAGTCCATCGACTTGGGTCCGAGAAAAGGTATGGGAACGCCATTTAGATTCATGAACTGAATCGAGACTCCGCGCAACTCTCGTCCAGCTTCCGCCCGAGTCGCCGGAGCACGATTATCGGGAGTGCTTGAATTGGCCTCGTTGCGCGGTGCAGTCAAGCCTGCCTGTTCAAATTTAGGACTCCAGTAGGGGTGGGTGCCCCTGTGGATCCGCCATAGTTCGTAGTTGGCAAAGATAAGGAGGATTGTGGACGTGATGGGCGTGCGCGAGATGTTATGGTATATACGTGTGGAACTCATAGTGGCGTGTGGCAGAGTGGAGGTTGTAGTCTAGCACGACTGGAAGAGTACGCAATGTGCTTGAGGACTTGGGCGTCGGTGGCTCGAGTGAGATAAGATGTCGTCTCGGAGTCTGGCGAGCCGTGAGTGGCTGCAGCCCGCGGGGGCAGCCTAGCGCGAAATCGCCGCCGAGCCGCATCAACTTTCTTGACGACCTACAGCTCCGTCCGTTCACTCAATCTTTCCCCAGCGGTGGAGGATTTGTCGTCGCATATCGATTTGGCGCGACATTCTGCAAGTGCACAACCCGTCAGCCCCTTTGCGATTACTGCGTCATCGTCTGTGAATCCGCCTCGCCTACACGAAGAACGCGCGCCGCGCAGGCCCAAGCCGTAGCCATGGACGATCTCGCAAACCTCGAGTTCCTGTCGCTCGTCTCCAAAGTCACGTCCGAAATTCAGAACCACGTCGGCGTATCTGACAAGACGCTTGCCGAGTTCGTCATCGATCAACATGCGAAATGCAAAGGCGTCACAGACTTCAAGAACCAGCTGGAGGTCATGGGCGCCGAGTTCCCCCAGAGTCTGGTCGAGAGCATCGACCGTCTCATCCTGACGCTTCACCCAAAGTACAAGAACAAGAGCGCAAACGGGAAAGAATCTGGCGCAAACGGAGAGAATGGCGGCGATGCGACGGACCGGAAAACGCGTGTCTTCAAGGGCCTGGCGATTCCCGACAAGGATGTGGACTACGAGGTAGCAGACGAAGAGTCCGAGAAGGATGCGCCGCAAGCCGACGCGCTGGACGACACCTTTGCGATGCTGGAGGGCCTGGCAGGGAAGGCGCCAAGCAGCAAGCCCAAGGAGAGGTCGCGGAAAAGAAGCATGAGCCCATACGACAGCGACGACGACATGAGCAGGAGCAAGCGACACAGGCGGAGGGATAGGTCATACTCTCGCTCGCGGTCCAGGAGTCCGCGGCGAAGGGGGCAACAGAACGACGAGCTGGTTTTCGAAGATGAATTTGGGCGTACGCGCACCGTCAAACCGAACAACAAGCAACGAAGCCGCAAGAAGTACCGCGACGAAGATCTCGACGAGTTCCGACGGCCACCCACTCCCGAGCTCGACGACGAGCCTGTGCTATACAAAGTATACGATGGCAAGGTTACAGGCGTCAAGGATTTTGGCTGCTTCGTCAACCTGCAAGGCGTCAAAGGCAAGGTCGACGGGCTGGTGCACGTCACGCAGATGATGGAAGGGCGGGTCAACCACCCATCCGATCTCGTGTCGAGATGGCAAGAAGTCAAGGTCAAGGTCATCAAGAACGAGAACAACAGGATTTCGCTGTCGATGAAAGAGGTGGACCAACGGACGGGTCAAGATCTTGCTCCCGGCAAACGCATAGCATCCTTTGGAACAGGCGCAAACTCTCAGGGACTCGGGGGAATACCGGGCTTTGACAGTGCGGTGCCTGTTGTAGAGGATGGCTTCAACAGTCGCAAGAATGGTATGCGGAAGCGCATGACGTCTCCGGAACGGTGGGAAATCAAACAGCTCATTGCTTCTGGCGTGATACCGAAATCAGACTATCCCGACATCGACGAGGACTTCAACGCGCACATCAACGGCGAGGGTGGCTTCGAAGAAGAGGAGGATGTCGACATTGAAGTTCGTGAAGAGGAGCCGCCCTTCTTGGCCGGCCAGACCAAGCAATCACTGGAGCTTTCACCAATCCGGGTTGTCAAGGCGCCCGATGGCTCGCTCAATCGCGCTGCGATGGCTGGCGATACGCTGGCAAAGGAACGCCGCGACCTCAAACAACAAGAAGCCCAAGAAAAGGCCGCAAAGGAGGCTGCGAACGTCGACTTGAGTAGTCAGTGGAATGATCCCATGGCTCAACAACGACAGTTTGCAAGCGACCTGCGCAACACTCGAACGAATGAGCCCAGCCAGGCCCTGCCGGAATGGAAGAAGATCTCCACGAACAGCAAGGAAACCTCATTCGGCAAACGTACAAATATGAGCATCAAGGAGCAGCGAGAGTCACTGCCTGTGTTCAGGTTTAGGAACCAGCTTCTTGAGGCTGTTGCAACCCATCAGATTCTGATTGTCGTCGGTGATACTGGATCTGGAAAGACCACACAGATGACCCAGTATCTGGCTGAAGCTGGCTATGGCAACGAGCTGGTTATCGGATGTACTCAGCCCAGGCGTGTGGCAGCTATGAGTGTTGCCAAGCGTGTTGCTGAAGAGGTTGGCTGCGCTCTTGGTAACGAGGTTGGCTACACCATTCGATTCGAAGACAAGACTTCACCCGACACCCGCATCAAGTACATGACGGACGGTATCTTGCAGCGTGAGATTCTGTTGGATCCCATGCTGTCAAAGTACAGCTGTATCATGCTTGACGAGGCCCACGAACGCACAATTGCCACAGACGTCTTATTCGGACTGCTGAAGAAGACGCTCAAACGACGCCCGGACATGAAGCTTATAGTGACCAGTGCCACCCTCGATGCCGACAAGTTCTCTGAATACTTCTACAAGTGTCCTATATTCTCGATTCCAGGTCGAACCTTCCCGGTAGAGGTCATGTACAGTAAAGAGCCGGAGTCTGACTACCTGGACGCGGCGCTGGTCACGGTCATGCAGATCCACTTGACGGAGCCAGCCGGTGACATTCTGCTCTTCCTGACAGGTAAAGAGGAGATTGACTCTTCCTGCGAGATTATATCAGAGCGCATGAAAGCCTTGGGTCCGAACGTCCCGGAGTTGATGATTCTGCCCATCTACGGTGCCTTGCCGTCCGAGGTAGCCTCTCGTATCTTCGAGCCCGCCCCCAACGGAACCCGTAAAGTCGTCATCGCCACCAATATCGCCGAGACCAGTCTGACTATAGACGGCATCTACTACGTCGTCGACCCGGGTTTTGTCAAACAAAGTTCGTATGATGGAAAGCTGGGAATGGACCGTCTACAGATCACCCCCATCTCGCAAGCCCAGGCTCGCCAGAGGAGTGGACGAGCAGGTAGGACAGGACCAGGAAAGTGTTTCCGTCTGTACACCGAGGCCGCGTTCCAGAATGAGATGTTGCCGACTACCATTCCGGAGATCCAGCGCCAGAACTTGTCGAACACGATTTTGATGCTCAAAGCGATGGGCATCAACGACCTGCTGCACTTTGACTTTATGGATCCACCGCCTACCAACACCATGTTGACTGCCTTGGAAGAGTTGTATCAGCTGGGCGCGCTGGACGACGAGGGTCTGCTGACGCGTCTTGGTCGACAGATGGCAGACTTCCCGATGGACCCGTCCCTGTCAAAGTCACTCATCAAATCTGTCGAGCTTCAGTGCTCAGACGAGATTCTGACCATTGTGGCCATGATCAGCGCAACCCAAAACGTTTTCCACCGTCCGCGTGACAAGCAACAACAGGCCGACCAGAAGAAGCAGAAGTTCAACGACCCCTCTGGCGATCACATAACCCTTCTCAACGTGTACAACGGCTGGAAGCAGGGAGGATTCAGCACGCCATGGTGCCATGAGAACTTTGTCATGCCGAAGAACATGCAGCGCGTGCGCGACGTCCGAAATCAGTTGCTGCAGATTATGGCACGACACAAACACCAAGTCGTGTCGTGTGGCCGCAACACGATCAAGGTCCGACAAGCTCTGTGTTCAGGCTTCTTCCGCAACTCGGCGCGCAAAGATCCTGCCGAGGGCTACAAGACGCTTGTTGAGGGCACGCCAGTCTACCTCCATCCCTCTTCTTCACTGTTTGGCAAGCCTGCTGAACACGTTATATACCACTCTCTTGTCGAGACGACGAAGGAGTATATGCATTTCTGCAGTGCTATCGAGCCAAAGTGGCTTGTCGAAGCGGCGCCGACGTTCTTCAAGGTCGCGCCAACGGACAGACTGAGCAAGAGGAAGAAGGCCGAGAGGATACAGCCTCTGCACAACAAGTTTGCAGGTGAAGACGACTGGAGATTGAGTGCACAGAGGAGGGCTGGTAGGGGCGGTGGTGGAACATGGGGTTAATCTTAGCGGTTTGACGATAGTTTAGTGTATGATACCTTTTGACAGTAATTGAGATGTGTAGGACGTTGAGAAGCATTCACCGATGCTACACGTGTATTGTATCCCTACCATTCGTCGTGATGTTCATGGCGTGCACAGACCCACACTTACTTCCCCATCCGGACAGCGCGACCGCGTTTTCGCGTGTTTACAGTCCCCGCAAGACTCCTGTATAGCAAACAGCACCCCACATAACACACACATACGCACACCATGTCTTCGTTACTGGACCTCGCGCTCAATTCTGATGCCGCTCCCACTCCCTCGAGCGCGTACGGTAACGATGCACGCACACCGCAAATGCGATCCTCGTCTGCGAGACCCCGCGGACCACCCTCTGAAAGCGCCGGCGCGAACAGCGATGTAGAGGGAGACCCTGACGACGAGATTATCGGAGCACGGGTACCAGGGAGGCGCACGAATGCCCCGCGAACAGACATCCCCAAGGTAGTGGACGTGACTGGAGAGACGTTATCGCTGCGGTTCCAGGAGTTCCTCGAAAAGTGAGCCTCACGACAGCAGCCTCATGCTGTGCACGGTGCTGATGTCAGGACAGCTACACAGAAGATCCCTCGTCGTCGGCTCTTCCCGCCTCGAGTGCCGTGCCCACCACAGACAAATACTACATTGCCCAAATACGGGGCATGCGACTGTACGGACTGTCCACTCTCTACGTCGACTACACACATCTCCTCAGACACGAAGATGGCATTCTGGCCGCGGCCATTGCGAGTGAATACTACCGCTTCCTGCCGTACATGGTCCGGTCGCTCCACAACCTCATCGCAAAGTACGAGCCCAAGTACTTCCGCCAGCACAAGCAGCCCGCCTCGACTGCCTCTGCAGCCGGCACCTCGAGCGCTGGCAACGCCACAAGCCAGAACGAGAGTCTCAACGAGAAGACGTCGAACCAGCAGACTGACAAGCTGTTCACCCTGGCCTTTTACAACCTGCCTCTTGTGTCCCGTATTCGCCAGCTACGCACCACATCAATCGGCAGCTTGCTCTCCATCTCTGGCACTGCGACCCGAACATCTGAAGTTCGGCCAGAGCTTTCAATGGCCACCTTTGTCTGTGAGATCTGCAACACCGTCGTGCCGAACATCGAACAGACTTTCAAGTACACAGAGCCGACACAGTGTCCCAACATAACTTGCATGAACAGGGAGGGCTGGCGTCTCGATATCAGGCAATCAACTTTTGTGGATTGGCAAAAGGTGCGCATCCAGGAGAACAGTTCAGAGATTCCCACTGGCAGCATGCCCCGAACAATGGATGTTATCCTTCGTGGAGAGATGGTGGATCGGGCAAAGGCTGGCGAGAAGTGTATCTTTACGGGCACAGTGATTGTCATCCCAGACGTGAGCCAGTTCCGCGTACCTGGTGTGCGCCCCCAAGCAATGAGGGATACCGCAAACACCACGCGAGGCAACGATGTCGGTGGGTCAGGTGTCAGCGGTCTCAAAGCTCTTGGTGTGCGCGACCTGACATACCGCATGTCTTTCCTGGCGTGCATGGTCTCGCCAGATCACTCTACTCCCGGACAAACCTCAAACCACCATCTGACAGGCCAGGCGAGCAACATTCTCGCATCTCTTGGCCAAGGACAGATTGAGTCAAACGCGACAAGCGGCGAGGAGGCACAGGAAGAGTATCTCGGTACGCTGACTGCTGCGGAGATTCAGGATCTCAAGGATATGGTGCACAAGCCCAACATCTTCATGCGACTGGTCGACTCGATAGCACCCATGGTCTACGGCCACCAAGTCATCAAGAAGGGTCTCCTGCTGCAACTGATGGGCGGTGTATCAAAAGAGACACCCGAGGGTATGGCGTTGCGTGGAGACATCAACATCTGCATCGTCGGCGATCCGTCAACGTCCAAGTCACAGTTCCTGAAGTACATTTGCAGCTTCCTTCCTCGCGCCGTCTACACCTCTGGCAAGGCTTCTTCAGCTGCTGGTCTTACAGCCGCGGTAGTCAAGGACGAGGAGACTGGAGAGTTCACGATCGAGGCCGGTGCTCTCATGCTGGCTGACAACGGTATCTGCGCCATCGACGAGTTCGACAAGATGGATATTGCCGATCAAGTCGCTATCCACGAAGCTATGGAACAGCAGACAATCTCGATTGCTAAGGCCGGCATCCAGGCCACCCTCAACGCCCGAACCTCTATCCTTGCTGCGGCTAATCCTGTCGGTGGACGCTACAACCGCAAGACAACGCTGCGTGCAAACGTCAACATGTCTGCGCCCATCATGTCTCGTTTCGATCTTTTCTTCGTCGTACTGGATGAGTGCGACGAGGCAGTCGATCGCCATCTGGCTGAGCACATTGTTGGTATTCACCAGCACAGAGACGAAGCTGTAGACCCTGAGTTCAACACTGAGCAATTGCAACGCTACATCCGCTTCGCGAGGACCTTTAGGCCAGAATTTACCGATGAGGCAAGGGAGACACTAGTCGAGAAGTACAAGGAGCTACGAGCAGACGATGCACAAGGTGGCATCGGCCGCAACAGCTACCGTATTACTGTCCGACAACTCGAGAGTATGATTCGTCTCTCGGAGGCTATTGCAAAGGCCAACTGCGTCAGCGATATTACCCCCGAGTTTGTCAAAGAAGCCTACAACCTCCTCCGCCAGTCTATCATCTCGGTCGAGAAGGACGACGTCGAGGTTGAAGACGACGATGATGAGGCGTTGCTTGCTGCAGCGGCCGCAGCAGAACAGGAGGCCGATGCGCCAATGGACGATCAGCAAGACGCTTCTAGAGACCGAACAGCGACACCAGCCGTCGCGCCACGCGAGAAGACCAAGATCACGCACGACAAGTACGTCGCTATGCGCAACATGTTTGTCAAGCGCGTCAACGAGGACCAAGAAGAGACACAAGACGGCGTCGAAGAGGAAGAGCTGCTCATCTGGTACCTTGAGCAGAAGGAGAATGAAATGGAGACGCAAGAGGATCTGGAGAAGGAGAGGACACTTGCGAAGAAGGTGCTGAAGAAGGTCGTCAAGGTATGTCAGAACTCGAGACGTATGGTCATCTGTGTGCTAACGAATACTCCAGGAGCAATACCTCATGTTGATCCGGGGTGAAGGACTTGCAGACGAACAGGGCCAAGGTGAGGGCAACGACAAGGCAGTCTACGTGCTGCATCCAAACTGCCCGATTGAGGACATTGCCTAGGCGTTGATGGAGTATGCCGCACATCGGCTGAGTATCAAATCTTTTGAGCGTTTGCGCGGCCATGTTTGTGTTGGCACGAAGTCTGGAGTTGGGACAGCAGTCGACTACATGTTAGATAATGTTATACCCAGATCTGACTTTCAAATACATGACGTCGCGTGAAGTTTGGAATTATTCTTAGATTGAATGATCGCACAGACAACTAACTTGGAACGATTCAATAACCAAGGGTCTCATTTGTAACCATAGAACTTAGGTAATCATGTCAAGGAGATGTGCAAAATGTAGCGCTTCGACATCCTCATATGCGCGTTTCTTCCTTAATCTGTACCTCTTCAATTACGCCTTCTTGTTCTTCAATGCGTCCAAAAACTCCTTTGGTGGTTGCTGCTCGTAACCCTCTGGGTTGTTTTCTGTCCACTTCCACAGGTCGGCGCAAGCGTCTTCCAGTGTGAACTCGGTCTTCCAGTCGAGCTCCTTGTTGGCAAGTGTGGGGTTCGCTGTCAGGTCGAGCACGTCACCCTGTCTCCGCGGCGCAACCTCGTATGGTAGGTCGCGTCCCACAACGGTGCTGAATGCTTTGATCATCTCAAAGACGGTCGACCCCTTTCCGGTACCCAGGTTCCATGCCTTGACACCGGGTTGTTGCTCGCGCAGGTAGTTGAGCGCCTGGAGATGGCCTCGCGCTAGATCAAGGACGTGGATGTAGTCGCGGATCGCAGTGCCGTCCTTGCTCTTGTAGTCGTCACCAAAGACGAGCAGCTTCTCGCGCTTGCCGATCGCAACTTGCGCCAACAAGGGGAGGAGGTTGTATGGCACGCCCAGAGGGTTCTCGCCCATGATACCGCTGGGATGCGCACCGGCGGGGTTGAAGTACCTCAACAGCGCGGCGTTCCACTTCTTGATCTCCTTGTCGTCCTTGCCAGCCTTCTTCGCGTTGTTGCGCTCAGCCTCGATGGTGTCTGTAATTGCACCCTCGATGGTGGACTTTGTGCGGCCGTATACGTTGGTCGGGCCGATGGGGCAGTGTTCAGGGATGGGGATCATGTTGGGGACACGCGTCGCATCGCCGTAGACGGTCGCGGAAGAAGAGAAGACGATGTTTGTGACATTGTGCTTGACCATGGAGGAGAGAAGCGCAATCGAGCCGCCAACGTTGACACGGTAGTATGTGAGGGGGATCTCGCCAGACTCTCCAACGGCCTAGGTTTGTTAGTACAACTTCGACTCGTGGTCGAGAAGCGGACGCACCTTCAGAGCAGCAAAGTGGATGACATTGTCGATGTCTGGGTTCTCCTCAAACACCTTGTCGAGCGCGGCCTCATCTGTAACGTCGACTTGGTAAAAGGCAGGTCGCTTGCCGCAGATGAGCTCGATGCGGTTCACGACTTCTGGAGAGGAGTTGTAGAGGTTGTCGACGATGACGACTTTGTAGTCTGCCTCGAGGAGGGCAAGGGCTGTGAAGGAGCCAATGTAGCCGGTTCCACTGCGCCGTCGTCAGTACCAATTGAGCGTGATGCTTTCGCATAGCTAAATGGAGGGGTGGAGGGGCAGCTTACCCGGTAACAAGAACAGATCCGACAACCATTATGAGAGCTTAGAATGTGGAGAGAAGAGGATGTGACTGGGGCGGTTGCTCTTATGCGATCGCAGACTTGTGTTTGATTGCGAGGTTGCAGATATATAAAAACGCGGCAGCACGAGATGCTGGGTTCATGGGCTGTGGCACTAGTGGTGGGAGAAGAGCCGTGTGCGGATAGGTTTCCAGATATGGCAAGCGCTGTCTGGCTGCCTTGTGCCATCGCCATGTATTCTCGAATATATATGGCATTCTGGATGTGTGATCGTGTTCATCTGCTCTGCTAGAAGGTACCCAAGTGCAGCGGACGAAATGTACGAGTGCATCATGTCACAGACACAACCCGTCCTCGTGTGTTGCTCTACTGTCACGCTTGGGTAGACAACATCACAACTGTAGACACAAAGCCATGTATGGACGAGCATGTCAAGTTTGGTAGCGTGTTGTCAGAGCAAGGGACTGTGGCATGGTGGACCGACTGCGGGTGGCATCGCCTGGCAAGCCGTAGATCGTAATAGCAACCCTTACACTCCAAAGACGTTGCGCGGGCTTGACAAGCCACTCCCCGTCCTCAAGCTACATGCACCAGTCACAGCATCGCTGTACGACATACCTTCCTCTGACTAGAGTTGGGTGACGCAGGTACATGCGAGACGGCGAAATAAGCGTTGTGGCTCTCAGGGTCTCGTGCTCCGCTTCCAGCTGGGCCCGGAAATTTCATGCATCATCCATGTCTTGTGGTAGCGGAGACACTAGCTCCCAGTCTCTCTGATAGATGCTCCGTCTCTCCCAATCTGCTATTCTTGCTCATGTCTGCTTGCGTCCTTTAGCAGTTAGTTTTTTGTGTCAAAGACTGCCATGTCACACACCGCCGGATTAAGCGCCTGCTCGCTTAACCTCCCGTTTGCGGTGGCTTCCGGACAGGCTGAACCCTTGCACCTCAAAGCGCGACCTCGAACTTTCAACAATCACATCGTCACCCATCAATACACACTGGAGAACATCGCGCCGGATCCTGGGAACATGATCGCGAGTCGCAAACTGCACACACACGAGCGCCAAAAGTTTTCCCAGCCATTACGACCCTACGCCCGTTTTGCCGGCCTCGACGCGTGAGGGTTTGTCCACGTGTTTACGGACCCACTGCAGGTACCGTCGCCAACAACACCGTCATCGCAAGTGTTAAAGGAAGAGTTGGAACATTGCTCGACGACGCGTTTGGGACCGCGCAGTCCGGACGCGAAAGAGCTGGATCACAGAACGAGGTGTAAGTTGGCGCGCTCTCCTACCCATGTCCTTGCGGTGTGAAAACGTCTCCATGCATGAGCCTGCATGCACGTGTTGTCATGCCTCACCTTCACCCTCGTCTTCACCGCGCAAATTTTCGTCGGCTGGCTGCAACGAAGCTACTTGCCTTACCCCTGTTCTCTGTTATGGTCGCCATTGTTGCGAGTCGGCCTCATCTCTTTGTTGCACCTTGTTGTTGGGCGGCTCCAGTCGTCTGCCTTCCTTTCACAACTGGCCATCCAAGCGATTCAACTTCAAAACAGACAAATGCTCACAGAAGCTCAGCAAGAAACTCAGTCCCTGTCGCCTGTCCTTGGATTCGCATCTCCTGGCTCGACATCACTCTAGACTCCAATCGGGACATTGACAGACTATCGCCATGTCTCAACGTGCTAACGGGGAGGTACGCACGCCTGGTGGGCGGAATCGCCGCTCAGACCGGCTCAGCGCAAAAGCAAACTCCTTTACCGCAGAATCAGTAGTCACTAACGCCACAGCGTCCGCTGCGAAACGCACTACGACGACCTTGACCAAGGTCGCCAACCGCAGATCAAATGCCTACGGCGCGAGCGGTCGCATTGGAGCCCCTGACAAGCTCCCGGCTGCCCCCGCTACAGGTTTCACCCAGGCCATGGAAAGCCAGCTCGAAAAGTACGCCAATGGTCAGGATGAGGAGGAAGAAGAGGAGGAAGAGGAAGAGCAAGATCACCGGGATGACAGCGCCAACGAACTTGGTAGCGGTCGTCCGTCACGCTCCGTCAAGAAAATCCCCAACAGCGGCAAGCTCTCGCCAGACGCCGCGCGCAACCCCACATCCAAATCAAAAGTCACCCCCGGCTACTCTTTCATCGACAGTGATGACTTCAGTCACAGCGATGATGACTTTGCAGCATCTGTCGGCAACACCACCAAGTCTTTTGGCCTTGCTCACGAGGCTGGCATGCTTGTCTCTCAGGACCCATTTGCCGGTGGACCCATCCGGGACGAGCCTAGAAGCTCACCTTTCGTCCAGCCTGCAGCACCAAACCGCCAGCCTGAAGAAGCAGCGCCAACCACACAAGATCCCTTCATCAAGCCTGCAGCACCGTATCGCAGGCCCGCCAGCCGCACAGTGAACGGAGCACGGACGCAAGGACCAACCCCAGTTCTGTCTCAAGGTCCTGTTCGCAACAAGACCCCGGATTCGACTAAGATTCCCAGTCAAGCCGAGAAGCCTGTCAAAACATCCATTCACGATCAAGTGCGAACTAGGGCGAATGTGAAGCAGCCTGTCCGCGCTACAACAGCTGAAACCGAAGATTCCCTCAAGGAGCTGATTGCCGAAGAGCAGGGTAGGCTTCACCAACAAGGTCCGCCAGCACCGCAACTGCAGCGACAGGCTGAGCGACGTCGCCCTCACCAAAAAGACAGAGTCGAGCTCAACGCGTGGCTCGGCGATGTAGAGCCGCCCGAGTTCGACGAGCCGGCGTGGGCATGGAAGAAGCCTGTGACGTGGGCCTTTGCAGCGTTGGCTGCTTTCCTGCTATTGGGATGGCTGACCTCGTCCTACATGATGGCGACCGAGCACCCCGAGTCTGCAGCGCGGACACCAAATCTCCTGAAAGCCGTAGGTGCTCGTGTTGGCTATACATACGAATGGATCACAGATATCATCACTCCCCCAAGAGGTTCCACGGATGCTGAACGGCAAGTTCAGCTAGAAATAGAGCGCGCCAAAGCCTACAAAGAAAACGGTGAAGATCATTTCTTGTGGGGCCGCATGTCTACTATGGACGAGAAGTTCAGCAAAAGCACAAGGGAGATGAGGGCAACTCTTGAGGAGCTGAGACACGATTTGCCGGATATGATGATAGTTCGTCGCAAGGAGGATGGTTCGACGGAGATATCAGAAGAATTTTGGTCTGCTTTGCTTGGCAAGGCGCGTTCGACTGAGACGGAGGCGGACTGGCATGATTTTCTGGAAAGATCTAAGAAGAAGCTCCAAGATCTCCTCAACCCAGCTCTGCACCAGGACCGCGGCTACACGTCTACATGGCCCGAAGCAGTCACACGCGAAGAGTTCATCCGTCAGATTGAGAAGTCTTACCAGGACATGACTGTCCGAGTGGACAAGAAGATCGACGAGGCCATGCGAGCCCACAGCACCCAGTTCCAGACGATGGTGCAAGCAGAGACCCGAAAGACCATGATGGACCAGATCCGGCTCAATTCTCTAGCCCAAGCTAACCTCGTCGCAAACTACGAACACCACCTCACCAAACCCAACTACTTCGCCCCTGGCTTGGGCGCCATCGTCGAGCCCGACTTATCTTCTGTGACCTTCAACAACAAGCCTGGTCGGTTCTACGAGTTTGTGCGCCGCGTGACGTTTATGCCTGGACAGAACCCGCCTATGGCAGCGCTCACCAAGTGGGAAGAGCCAGGCGACTGCTGGTGTTCTGCTGGACAGAGCGGGACCTCAGCCGGTCAGGCTCAGCTCACAGTCCGACTCCCACGGCCTGTCATCCCCAAGCAGGTCACTATCGAGCACGTACCCATGAACATGATGCCGGCGCGCAACATCTCCAACGCTCCCCGCGACATTGAGCTCTGGGTCCAGACGGACGCGCCCATCAACCCCTATTACTCCCATCGCCAAATGGCATGCCATGACCCGCCACCGCACAGCATCAGTGGCCCCGCCTGGAAGTGCTTGGGGTCATTCAAGTACAACATCCACGCGTCGAACCATCTCCAGACGTTTGATCTCGCTGGCGAGCCGTCCGAGCCTGTTCGGAGAACCATGGTGCGTGTAATTAGCAATTGGGGTGCTAGTCACACGTGCCTGTACCAGGTGAGACTACATGGGACGGACGCACAAAAGGACTTTGAGTACCCGGTCAGCCTAATGGATTAGGCCAATTACGTTTGGGACGAAAGCATGACGGCGTTTTTTGTATACCTTCGGGATTTTAACGAGTGTTTTTGTATACCCCACGATAGCACCAGAGCACTAGCAATTGTTATTTAATTTGACGACGCAATCCTGACTAATGGTTTGTGAGATTGTTGGCTTATAGCATGAGATCTACATCCGAACACTCGATACATGCACCAGGCAGTACAATAACTTTTTCGTTCTTGTCTAATCACGCACCTATCGCACAACACCTCCCTTGAGAGTGGGGATGCTACACAGGCCGTCCTTGGTCCTCAGCTTGGCTACACCCGTCTTCTTGTCCGCACCCTCGCCGCTCAACTGTGGCACGACACCGACATCGAAGCCTACTTCCAAACCATCTGTTGTGGTGAAGCCCGGCTGGATCGTCTCCCAGACCTTCTTCTTGGGGTTGAGTACAGGCTCAGGCTCGCCTTCCCAGCCCTCAAAGTAGACGCGGTCACCTGCCTTGCTCTCCTTGGGGGGATCCACCAGCTCGACTGGTCCCTTGTGGCTGTCCTCGCCCTCGGCGACGCGTGGTGACGCAGCGAGTACCATTGCACAGCTCTTGACACCGCGCATGGTGACAGGCTTCAGGTTGCACACAGCGACAATTTTGCGGTTCTGCATCTCAGCAAGGGGGATCAGGCCGTTAAGACCAGAGCATACTGTGCGCACGACCTGGCCTTCGTACTCGGAAGTGTTGTCTGTGCCGGGAGCGTCGCCGCATGCGATTGTGGATACGTAGAGCGAGTCGGCGTTGGGGTGGGTTTCGGCCTTGAGGATGTGGCCTACACGTAGGTCGATGAGAGCGGGGGAGAGAGGCTTCTCGACTGGCGCACTGTGATTGTTAGCTGTATACACGATCACGAGGGTTTCATGACTTACGCCTTCTGGGGCTTGGGCTGCTTCTCCTTCTTTTCCTTCTTCTTCTTCTTCTCGGTTGGCGCACCCTCTGGAACACCGCCAGCTGCGTTTCCAACGACTGCGGATGCTACAGCGGAGCCAGCAGCCTCGGCCTTGCCCTTGGCCTTCTCGGCCTTGCTCTTGCCTGCCTGGCCTTGTCCACTTTGTCCTTGGTCGCCAGTCAGAGTAGTAGCTGTGGCACCAGATGCAGCAGCGCTGGCAGCGGCAGCCTCCTTCTCCTTCTTCTTGCGCTCCTTCTCCGCCTTTGCGTCTACCGGCTTGATCTTGAAGATGACACTGTCCTGGTCGATGTTGACCTTGTCGTCCAGTTTCAGGCCGAAAACAGGCGAGTTCTGGACAAAGTCGACATGGCGGACGACGTGGTGGTATCCCTGCTCTCCAGTCCTCTCCTCAGCACTCCACTTGGAGACTACTGGTGCGAGCTTCTGGTAGAGGGCGATGTCTGCGACGGAGGGCTTGGCGCCGAGGACGGTGGTCCGGCTGGACAGATGTGTGTTCAGTGACGACAGGCGCTCGGAGGCTTTGGCGGCGTCCTCAGAAGAAGAGGCGATGTGGGAGGCGGTGATGAGCCATTGGCTGAGCTCAGTCTTCTCGGCATCGGAGTAGGTGACTTGGGGGAAGAGAGCCTGCGAGGCCTTGACAGCGTCTGTCTCGTCGGCAGCGTTGTTGGGCGCGTGTGTTTTGAGGAAGGTCGCCAGGGTTTCGTCGATTGTGGCCATGGTGGGCAGTGGTGGGAAGAACCGCTGGAAAAAGTCGAGGGCAAGTGGTTGTAGTGGGGTAAAGAAATCCGCCGTAAAGCTGCTGGCGGCGGTGGTTCTCGATCTGTGGGGGGATCTGGGCAGTGCTAAAGAGGCTCCAAACGGAAAGTGTCTGGGCTGCGAGAATTGGGGCCGTCCGATGTGTAGGATGCGACAAAAGGGAGTAGCTGGCGGATAATGGCGAAGACGCATGATTCACGTGAGTCAAATTCAGGTCCGCCGTCACCGCGGGGCTCAGAAGCTTCCATGTCGCCGCACAGGCCATCGCGTTTGCCCAAGTCGCGTGTCCATCACATGCATCGCGTCTGGTGCATCTCGAGATAGCTTGATCTAGCATGAGGACAATTGTCGCTTTGCACCAGGAACCAATTTGACAAGATCGGTCTTTGGCTATATCTCGCCATGAGCTTCGTGTACCCGGTCAGTGCCTCGGCGTTCGAATGTCATAGACTGTCCCAACTGTCCTATGCCCACGATGCTGTAGCCTATTACATGCCTGGTAAAAGTAAGGAAAGTTTGGATGACGACTCGTTTGCTGCCTGCGCCCCACGTACCTAGGTATAACATGTCGAGCTCAGAACTCCTTCCCCGCAACACCATTCCCGCACAGCACCACCATGGCATCCGAGACATCACCAGACGTGCCCAAGGGCAGGAAGAGGTTCATTCCCCTGGGTAGAACACGTCTCCTCACACCGCAATTATGCCAGCTAATGCGCGACAGAGAACAATCCCGATGTCATGTCCGCCCTCGTTCACAAGCTCGGTCTCTCGGAGAAGCTTGCATTCCACGATGTCTTCAGCATAGACGAGCCTGAGCTACTTGCTTTTGTGCCGCGGCCTGCCCATGCCCTGCTCCTCGTGTTTCCCGTCAGTAAGACATACGAAAAGTTCCGCGTACAGGAAGACCAGGACAAGGCGGAGTACCAGGGACACGGCCCGGATGAAGAGGTTGTCTGGTACAAGCAGACAATTGGAAATGCCTGTGGCTTAATCGGCCTGCTCCATGGTGTCTCCAATGGCTCCGCGCGCGCCCATATCAGTTAGTAGTCAACCTAGGAGATACCAGTTCGCATACTAACAAGACTCCAGAACCCGACTCAAACCTCGCCAAGCTGGTCAACGACGCGATACCACTCAAGCCAATTGAACGAGCCGACCTCCTCTACGAGTCTGAAGCACTCGAGAGCGCGCACCAAGACGCTGCATCGGGAGGTGACACGGCTGCGCCCGAAGCCGATTCCGATGTCGACCTACATTACGTCTGCTTCATCAAGTCGGACAGAAACCATCTTTGGGAACTCGATGGTCGACGGAAGGGTCCTCTTGACCGGGGTGCGTTGGCTCCAGATGAAGATGTTCTCAGCGAAAAGGCTCTCGACCTGGGCGTGCGTAGCTTCCTGAAGCGCGAGGCAGAGGCCGGTGGAGGCGAGCTGCGCTTCAGTCTGATCACGCTTGCCGAGTCATTCTAGGATTAGCTAACCAGCTGTGGATTCTAGAGTACACGAACCAGACCAAGTAGATTGGTAACGGGTATCTTGAGAACAAGTACTGTGGGAGCACGATATCGCTGCTACGGCTATCTACATAGATTCAAAGCATGCTTAGACCATTTGATGTGACTCAAAACTCATCTACCTTTACTTCTCGTCCTTCCTTCAGTGGCAAATACACCTTCTCCCATAGATCACTCCTCTCGCCAAGGTGATAGGTCAAGCTGACATCTTGCATACCTGGCGACGGGGACGATCTAGGAGCCATGGTTTCGAGTTGCGAGATGATGTTCTCCAGACCCAAGGCCTTTCCGGTAGCTTGTGTACTGCCAGCTTCCAGTGAAACATGGACGATGTGGATGTGAAAGTGGTAGTACGTTGGTTGGTCTATCACCAGTCAGCGAGTCTCCTCAACCTCAGCGTACGAACTCACAATGCACGTAAAGTTTGAGCTCATCCTTTTCAATCTCCGGGTACAGCTTGACAGTTGCCTCAATCATCTTCTCTCGCATGTGCTTAACCCACTCCGCCATGCTTTGTTTAAGATCCCTTACGCTCCAGACGTCTCTTCGTTCGACCAGACCTAGCAGATGCAGACTACCCATCGTCTTGCGATCCCAGTTCAGATCCGGCAAGAGTAAGAAGCCTTCTTCGCCAGACTCGCGGTACATGACATCTTCCTGCTCAGTCCGACCCTCGAGGATATTGAAGATCCAATCCAGTGCGCCCTTTTCACGCTGCGCCTGCATATACGGCCTCACATATTTCTGGTAAATCTCCGGCGTCTCGGTAACAACCCTGAGACGCTGCTGCTCGTACTTTTTCACATGTTTCTCTGTGCAAGGATAGATTAGATTCAACTTAAAGTCCGGAGGCGGGTTGTCATCGCTGGAGTTGGAGTTTGCGAGGAACCAGGCGTAGATGTCGTTTGCACCGAGATTTTTAATGTTGCGCAGTGAGGTGGAAAAGTTGGATAGAATGCTGGGCTTGGTGTCGAAGGCGGCACGCTCAGCGAGTAGGAGAGCAGGTTTAGAATCAATGGTTCCGTAGAGGGAGATGCGACGGCCGGCCTGATCCGAATTTAGGAGGCGGGCCAGTTGGAATCTTGGGATCAGAGATTCGACGTGGGCGGCAACGTCTGGGGGTGTTGTGGAAGTCATTGTTCAGTCGTTTACTATACCCGACATCAGCACGATAACGCGTCCAACAATTTTACGTGACTTTGCATATCCCAGAAAGCATGGCTGTCTACGTCATGCTGAAGGAACGAACTTACTAGACAAACGTGGAATGGCCCAGAGCACATGCAGAGAAGTCTCCCGCAATTTCGGGTGGATGTGGGGAGATTGATGCGAGATCACATGTCTGCGCGATCTCGCGTATCACTGCAGCAACCAATGAATGCGACCCTGATCAGCGCCAAGCAAATCGAATGAGGTCACTGAACCCAACCACCCCATCATCGCAAGCGACTATCACGACGTTGAGCAACCAGCAACTACCCATTATCGATCGCAAATCCTCCAAAATGGCTCCCAGACGCAAAGCATCCGCCCCCGCTGCCAAGTCGCAACAGTCGACTCTCGCATTCCATGGCACGACAAACAGGGTCACAAAGGCTGGCGTCAAATCGCAAGGCGCAAAGAAGAACATACTCGAGGCAAAGCTGAAAGACATCAAGCCAGAGGTTGCCAACATCTCAAATACCGAGCCGACAATAACGGAAGCGGCGATCATCGAGCAAACAGAACAGGAGGTCAAGGCGCAAGAGGTGGAGAGCACACCAGACGAGGACAGAGCACGGCGCATATCAGACGCAGCGATCAAGAAGTACTGGACCGCAAAGGAGAAGCAAAGGCTTGCACAGCGGGTGCACCAGGGAGGTCTGAGCCTGCACGACAAGATACTGAGGGAGTTTGACATGAGCGCGCATTATGGCGTAAGTTCCGAGTCCTCGACGTTGTAATCAAGCGCTAACAAGATATGCGCTTGTAGCCATGTACCGGAATCGCTCGGTTGAAGCGCTGGAAGCGAGCGCAACGGCTCGACCTCGACCCGCCGATCGAAGTACTGGCGGTGCTGCTGCGGGAACAAGATGCAAGCGACAAGGACAGGATAGCTGTTCAGCGCTCGATCGTCGATGAGATACTGAATTCTAGAGCCGAGCTTGATGTATGAGGATGGGTATTAGCGCGTTGGGCGCAAACTGCAGCAAGGACGCCGTAGGAGCGATGCGCTTCTCGACGACCTATGCTATGAATACGAGCTTCGATGCTGGCGTTATGGGAGGAGGTGGGCGGCATGGTTGAACAGGCGCACTGAGCGATTATGTGTAGCAAGCGGATGGTGGGCACGCGAGCATCGCAGTCTTGCAAACGAGCTACTAAATTGACGCAACCCAAGAATTCAATCTACAAATCCAATCCACACACACCATTAGTAACACTTTGATAGTGCGTGCGAGAGAACAATTTCTCCTCGTACGTCAGCATGCGTTGGGGCTTACACCTCACGACTTGGGTTTGCTCGGAACTACTGAACTAACAAAGACACCTAGTCCTGGTGTCGTTGCAGAGCGACATGGAGATGCGGGGTTGCGCAGTGGACTGCAGCAGGTCGTTTGACATGAATTAGGAGGCTCCAGAGCCAAAAGACGCGGGGTCGATCGACAAAGGCTCGATGAAGCTCCAGACTTGAGCTCGCGTGTTGGGTGGCAATTGCTGAGCTGCACGGCAGTGGGGCATGATGCTGGATCCGCATGCGAATGGCGCACTAACAGCCAGCCCGATTCCACGCAGCCGGCGTCGTCCTTGTTAGCGGGCACTTGCTCCCTATAGCTGCCAGTAGAGCATGCAGCGCGCACAGTGCGTCTGCCATATCTCCGCACGCATCCTTGCGAGGTCCGCGAGACCCACCCATTGGCATCCTTATCGCCCTTGCAACAACTGCGCCGTGATGCTGCCGAATCCCAGCGGCTGTCACGAAGCCGAAACTGCTATTTCGGCTGCCCGTCGTGCAGTGCTGTCTGCCCCAGCCAACCACAGCCGGCCATGGAGCAAGCGTTGCATGGTGGCTGCACCATGAAGCCGGGCTGGGTGAATTAAAACGGCGCCTTGTCGAGTGCTTGGGATGGTGAGATAGCGGGGAACCACTAGAGACGCCCATATCATTCCTGTGGCTACAACCTCCATCGCCCCTCCATGTTTCTTTCTTCCTGCTCGTTTAATCCAATTCATCCCATTCCCCTCCTCGCAGCATGACTACCGCCGCGCTTTAGATTCACTCTTCCGCAAAGGGCCGCGACTTCTCCACGGCTTCGTGCTTACCTCTCTGGCCCGGCTGTTGATCAACTCAACAACTAACGCGCCGTCTTACCCAAACTTTCAACACGTAGGTCCCACGCCCGAACCTTAAGGCGCACTTATCAATTGCCCGACAGACACTCCTGCCAGTCCTGCCGTACTGTGGTGATCTCCTGACCCCTCCGCTGCATCTCTTTGATTGGGAAGGGCCATTGCTACTACAGAGCCTGCCAATTGACTTCTCGCCCTCCTCCCACGTTACGCGCCTTCGCTCATCTCACCCCAGGCCTTGGACTTGTCAACATGGCCGCTGCTGTCGCCAGATATCCTTCTATGCTCGGTCGCTCTTCGACGCCTCCACCGCACCTGTCGCTCAACACCTCTTCTCGTGGTACGCCGACTGCTATTCCCAACAAGCACATCCCAGAATGCTCCCCTGGCGGACTGCCCGCAACTCCCCCAGCATCGCCGCCGCGGCAAGACAGCCTCATTGAGCAGTCGTCCATCACATACCCGCCAGATGCTTACTGCTCGCTGTACTCGGATGACCCGCCCGTGTATACCATCACGGCGGATCGCATGGCAGAGGCCTTGGAGCACACTGCAACCCAGCCGCTGCCGAACCCCGACCAGGTATTCCCATGGATGCACGGCCTCCATTCCGAGAACCAGATCCAGCTTGCCTTCTTCTCGTCTCGTCGCAGAAGCGGCCGAAAGGTTCCCAGGTGCATTCGCAGCATTACCGTTGTCAAGACTGGTGGAAACCTGTCGTCTTCCAAGCTAAAGGGCGCAGTTGCACCAGACGAACTACTGGAATCTGTGTCTTCCAACACACCCAGGTTCATGGAGTGTGACCCAAAGGATGGCTTTTCTGTGCGCAACTTCCAAATCCAGGCTTGTAAACTGGCCATGGTTTCAGACATTATTGTTTACGGCGATCACAAAACCAATCCGCAAGACACCGTTGCGCTCGCTCAGAAGATTTCCCAGGCTCAGAGGCAGTACGAAGCGAGAAATGGATTTCCGCATTGCTTGTTCAACACGTTCATGCTATCAGATCCTTTCGCGTCTATGCAAGAGAAATACCCAAAGCTTGTTGCTATCAACTCCGCAGGTGACATGACGGGAGAGGTTGCTGATTTCTTCTACTGGGAGCGATATGAGATGAGTGCAATGTCAAAAGCAACCGAGATCAGCAACAACGTGTTCCTGGGGCCTACGCCTGACCAGGCACTGCATCCAGACTGTGCGGGCGAAGACGCTTATGACATGCTCATCGAAGCGACCGATCTTGCACATGTACCTGAATCACGCTCACTACGGGCTCTGCGAATGGGCCTTGAGCGGGTCCACCGCAAATCTACCCTGCACATGGAGTTCCCGTCGTCAGGAAGCATCATGCCTCCTACGTGGGCGCACGGTGAAGTCGATGGTCTTATGGATATGTGCAAGTGGATGTACGAGCTCGCGAACCCGCAAGAGGTTCGGCGGTCGAAGCGCAGACGAGAAGAAGAAGACGAGGCTATAGAGATGGACGACATTGCGGCGCCGCGCAAGTTCCTGATACACTGCACAGACGGCTATACCGAGACGACTCTTCTTGCTTTGGCCTACTTTATGTATGCCGAAGGCCTGCCTGTGCATGACGCTTGGATTCAGATGCATCGCGATAAAGGCCGCAACTTCTTTGCATACCCCTCGGACGTTGCGCTCTTGACGGCGATACAGCCCCGGATCCTCCAGGAGTCTCCTCGCTTCAACCAGAGCATTCTGAACATACCAGAACCACGCTGGCTGTCGAAGCTTGATGGAAGCCTACCCAGCCGGATCTTGCCATACATGTACCTTGGCAACCTTGGACATGCCAACAATCCGGAGCTCCTCCGCGCTATCGGCATCACACGCATCCTGAGCGTTGGAGAAGCGCTTTCCTGGCCAGAGGACGTCACGGAAAAGCTCAATTGGCCTGCAGAGAACTTTTTGATGATCGACCGAGTCCAGGACAATGGTGTAGACCCTCTCTGGGGCGAGTTTGAGCGCTGTCTCAAGTTCATTGGTATGTTGCAGCTCATGTTGGCCGCTCATGTTGAGGGTTTTCAACTGACATCTTGTAGAAGCAGGAAAGCAAGAGGGAGGCGCGACGTTGGTACATTGCCGAGTGGGCGTGTCACGCTCTGCGACCATCTGCATTGCAGAAGTCATGAATGAGCTGGGCTTGTCTTTTCCCCGTGCCTAGTAAGCATTCTGCGAGCTCTATTCCGACCATAGCTGACGTCCCTTAGCTGCTTTGTCCGTGCGCGACGACTTAATGTTATAATCCAACCTCACCTTCGATTCACCTACGAACTACTCAAGTGGGAAGAGTACCAGCGCCAACGACGCAACGAGCCTCTTCGCCGCGACCTGGAGTGGGCAACCGTAGCGCGTGAGATTGCTCTTATGAACAAGCCCTACTCCAGATAACGACTTGACGACCTGCTCGAATGACTTACGACGACACGACTCGTACTTGTACGACTACCCCGACTACCCTGCCTTTAGCCAGGCTTGTCCTTATCTTTGTGTGCGATATACTGGTGTTTGCGGCCGCTTTCTGTTCCCTCCTACTCTCTTTTAATACTTGCGTGATTTTACGCGGGCTGCGCTTGACTGTATCTGCTGTCTGCTTTCTGAATTCTCATATCTGGGCTACGGGCTCGATGTCGATGAGTATGGGGTCAAAGGCCAAGGCATCTCTCATGATTCATCTTCTCGATTCATGTATTACTGTCTCGGTTCACTGCACTGCGGAAGGATCACGGCGTACTGAGTCAAGGTACTTACGGCGTATACGTTTAGTTCAAGAATGGTTTCGTCAACACATCCAACCGTAATTCTTCAAGGTTGCATTGTGATGTATTGTCTACGTGGCTATTGTCTGCACGGATCACTTGCTAACTAATCTCCAGCAATCTATGTTGCCCTGTTGTGAGTTTGCTGCCCTTTGATGAGAAGTCATACTCGGTACGATCACGGTGAAGCCTGACGAAGCTGTTGAATGAGGACACCCTGCTTCGTAGCCACGTCCTTCGACTTGGCGATGATGCGCTCCATGGTGCCGATCACGTCGTCTGTATCCTGTGCAAACCTACACGCATGCTCTAGCTGATCGTACTGTGCTTCTGCTTGCTTCTTGTATGTATCAAGCTCTTGGGTATACCTGTGGCGCCTTTAGTAAAATGGGACATTGGTTCTCGCGGTTACTCACTTCTTCATTTCTTCAAGCTCTGCTGCGGGACTGCGCACAAGTTGTTCTTTCTGCTCATCTAGTGCTGTCTCCAAGTCTCTAGCATGCTTGGCTTTCGCTTCACTGAACTTCTGGAAGAGCTTGGCTGCTGCTAAGAGACGAGCGCTGGACTTTTTCATCTCGAGATGTCCAGCGGCGGTATCGCGTTTAGCAGCGATCTGGCTATCCCGCGTCTGCTCGAGCGCCCGCTCAGTGTCTGTGGGTTCATAGCGAAGGGCGCGAGTTGCAAGTTCTTGCCTGACCGGATCGCTGCTATGTTTGAAGTTCGCGAACAAGTGCACGCGGTCCGCCATCGTGGTTGACGTAGCCAGTGGCAGTAGATCGAGGTGGAGGAGTACAAGATATGGGCTGAGGGGATATAGCTGAGTGTGAAGAAAGGAATCCGACAAAACACACAAACGAACTAGCGGACAGAGCCACGGGGCTCTAGAGTTTTCTGGCTTGGTCTTAGATAGTGAATGCAAACACTCGTGGCGGTCAAGCGAGCGGCTCTACACATTCAGGCAGACGCGCGAATATTCCCAAGTCAACAATTTCATGCAAGTCTCCGTCTTCACTTACCAATACATTACGTTGCTCTCACATTGTGGTAATCTCTCATCGATTTTCTCATCGACCCGGCTTTCTCTCAGATATCAAAGTACGTGTATCGCCAGACGATTTAGCGCAAACCCTGACTTGTAGGCCACACAACATGGATGACAGTAGGTTTCGCCAGCAAGCTCCGCCCTCGGGTGAGCATGCTCCTCCCCCTCAGCCGGTTCTGACCACTGCCGGATTCCATGTGCCAATAGATGCGGGAGATGAGAAGGAGCAGGATCAGGTAAGCCCCCCATTCTGAAGTGCCGTGAGACATACGAAGGAACTTATTTCCCTAACTTTTGCTTTCGAACACGAGCCGTGAAAGTATTCGCTACCTGTTCTATCCATGCAGACCTCAGTCGGACTACAACGTATCCTTCGCAGTGGCCGTTCGTCTTCTTCTTCCACTGACATTGCATACCATGCTAGGTTGATCACTCTCGGTACAGTCGGTCGGCGCTGAAGCTTGATGAGGATGGCTGGCTGCCCCTGGTCCAAGCTGCATACGAGGACGAGAAGCGCACCAAAAACACATTCATCAAAGATTGTGATATCGACATTTGGACATATTTCGCGGACGAAGCATTGTCTACAGTAGAGCCGGCTATCCTCAAGGCCATCTGCTACGGGGACTTGAACGCCACTTGCAAAGGCGATGTTGGTCTGAGCAAGATTGTCCAATCGTACGAGGACCGTAGCGACACTCAGGCGACCGTCTACTTACATCAGATGACGGTGGGTACCAACGAAGAGGCACTTAGCATTGGCTAGGCAAAGGATCTTGCTCTGGTTGCTCTGCAGTACGCGAACGCGCTTGACACATCGTATACTAGCTATCAGGCGTATTTGATCGATCATCAAGCAGATCAGAACTGGCTTCTTGCGGACACCGACAGCGGACGGCGCCATTTCATCGAGGGTAGCAAGGGAAACGTCGACAATGGAAAGAAGCGGGTGCTACTGGGCTTCTCGCGCGCGCTGACTCGTCTTGCCGATGAAGCGACAAAGGAGAACAAGACACACATCCCCTTCCTTCAGTATGTCGGCTACGCGATCAAAGGAACTCAGCGCAAGAAGCAACACGACTTACTGACCAGCACGAGCTGGCTGTTCCTGTTTACTAAGTACATTTGCGCGACCTGGAAGAACTTTCCTCCAATCAACATGCACAACTTCACTGTATGTCTCATCACCGAGGAGGTTGTTGGCCCCGTTGCTGAAATGCTTCTCACTCGCCTTGCCCGCGCATACTACTTCGCCGGCGGCTTCAGCATCGGTCAGGCTGGTGCCAGTATGTCAAGCCTAAGGTTGGCCAAGCTCTCACAAGTCGACCGGGAAAAGGTCTGGGAAGAAAATGCTCAGTACGCCAAATCCATGACCAATTACACTCAGATCCAGGCAAAAGAGTTGGCTTCCCGCAAGAATCTGCAGAAGACCGATTACGAGAAGATAATGCGTCAGAGGGATGATGAGATAGCGCAGCACAAGCAAAAGATTGCTGCTATGTGTGACCATTTGGCCGAGTACCGGGCGCAGATCGACGTGGCACTGTGGGAGAAGGAGTTTCCAGAGGAGTTGCAAGAGTTCCGAGACTTTGAGAAGTTCGTGGAGGAGGAAACCAACAAGTTCCAGGACTAAGCCGGTAAGCAAGGAGACAACCAGGCATATACGTGTGCACTGAATGAGCGCGAGGTCCTCCAGGCGACCTATTGTCGGCGGTAAGCTTTGACATGTCTTCCTTGTTGCTACTGCGGCACCCACTATCTTGCTCCAACTCCTATATAATTGGCAGTCTGCCAGAATGCACAAATTTCACAAATAACACATGTAGTATCACATCCCAACAGCTTCGAGTTAGCGTGCTTCGGCCGGATTTACTTTTCCGCCAGCGTGTAATTTTCTGTCCCACCCATCTTTACTTTCAAACCTCACGGAAGTCCAGCTCCAGCACTGGAGCCGGGTCACACTATTCACAATGCCCACCCAGCAGCAGCTAACCCGACGCAGCGGTGCTGTTTCCACAGCTGCACCGATGGACCGCGACCTCGGTTGAACGCAGTCCATGGGTGCGGAGACCGCTTCCAACCGCTCTCCGCAATACGTCGCCAACCCCAACCAACAGCTCACCCTCCTCCTCATATCACGATGCGGACAGTCTCGGCGCTAGCTTCGCCTCTGCGAAGATCAGTACCTATAGCCCGCCAGACACGGTGTTTCTCAAGCTGCCACAGTCTGCAAGCGACATGGGGATTCATAGGACTGGGACGCATGGGTTAGTACCACGGCGCTCACATGACTACCCAGCCTAACAGCCAGATAGGATACCCCATGGCGAAAAACCTCAGAGCAAAGATACCCGCCGAAGACACGCTCTTCGTGCACGATGTAAACACCGCAGCCACGAAGCAGTTCCTCGACGAGCACCCACAAGGCGTGCGCGTGGCTGAAAACGTTCGAGAGGTCGCCGAGAAAGCCGTACGTACATCTCATTTCCTCCCACCGCTTTATGATGAATTAATTGTTCTATCAATGATCTAAGTTGGGGGTCTTCGACCCTTATTCTGATTACACAAATATTATAGCCAATCCTCTGATGCTCTCCACTCATACATGCTGTCATTCTGTTTCGAATGCTCGTACTGACAGCCTCAGGAAACCATTGTCACTTCGCTGCCGGAGCCAAAGCATGTAAAGGCAGTCTTTAAGGAGATGCTGGAGCCGGCAACTCTTCTGTCAGACAGCTCCATCAACAAAGAGCGGTTCTTCATCGACTGCTCGACCATCGACCCCATGACCTCGAGTGAGGTGGCGGAAGCTGCCCATTCTACTGGTCAGGGCAAGTTCATCGATGCGCCCATGTCTGGGGGTGTCGTTGGGGCGCAGGCTGGCACGCTCACCTTCATGATCGGTGCGCCGCCAGAGGCCGTCGAAGGAGCCACCAAAGTACTGTCAATGATGGGCCGAAGAGTAGTACACCTCGGTGGGCCTGGTGCAGGTCTTAAGGGGAAACTTGCCAACAACTACCTTCTCGCGCTCAACAACATTGCAACTGCAGAGGCCATGAGCATGGGTGTGAAGTGGGGTCTAGATCCAAAGGCGCTGGCTGGTATGATCAACACGGCTACCGGTAAATGCTGGCCTAGTGAGGTTAACAACCCCGTTCCCGGAGTCATCGAGGGTTCGCCTGCAAGCAGAGGCTATGAAGGGGGATTTGGCATCGGTCTGGCTAGCAAAGATCTCAAGCTTGCGCTCAAGGCTGCCGACGAGGCGGGTGTCAAGCTCGCTTTAGGGGAGCCCGCGAGAGCGCTTTACGATGCGTGCGAAAAGGCCGAGAACTGCAAAGGCAAAGACTTTTCAGTCGTCTACCGGTATCTTGGAGGCAAGGAGTAGCTAGAATGAATGACAGGGACGCGGTCTTCGCATCTCCGCCGCCAAACAACTCATGTCCGGCTTGGCTGGACTGCATGACTACTGCTTTTTGTGAATAATGCGATCGTGTGGATACGTTCCTGGCTCCACGCCTCCACATACCGAGGCCCGGAGATCTCCCATCTGGGACGACGACCTGTAGTTCTGGAGAAAGCATCTACCTAGGTACCCTACTGCGGACTCTATGTCCACCGCTTCGAGGTTATAATGCGCTCTTCTACTTGATCCATGTCAACGCACGCTCATCGTCCGACCACCAACTGTCCATCCTCCCGAGGTCATCAACGCACCATACTCCTTCAGGATATGCGTTCATCCAGTACCAAAAGATACCCTGCCGTTTACCCGCTTCTGCCTTGTCAAGTCTAAGCGCCGCGCATGGTAAGGCACTTCAGGTTTCCAAACGATCATGAGGCAACTCGGCACTCCTCGCCCCACTCATCTTCAAACGGCATACTACGCCACTACCCATGCATATCTGCCGTACTGGCTCTTGGCAAACAAGGCTGTCAAACATCGTTTAGGCGACGTGCAACAATGCGACAGCTTGGCCGCTGTGGTCTTACAGCTTAGGTATCCACACCGCCGTGCGCTATAGGTTGCTTTGTGGCAGCCCTACAGAACCTCAGGCCATTTTCGATGTTTGAGGTATTATCGCAGGAGGTGAGATACGTAGGCAAGATTCAGGGTGGATAGAGGAGGATGAGAGTTGATTCAAGCGCGCGGACGAAGCGTAGCGTAGAGACAAGCGTACCTAGGTATATGAGGCTAGGTACTCGTATGTCTTTTCCTGCGCTATTCAAGCTTCCTACCCTTCGTTTCTTCGCTTCGCTCTTTAACTACGATAACCGTAGAACGGTCATTACATAATATTTACTTTCGATTCTTCCGTCTACCGTTGAACGGTAGTCAGCCCTTTGTCGCCTTCGATACCTTTTGTAAATTGAGCTATTTGCTATTACACAATGAAGTCTACCATCTTCTTTCTCGCCCTTGTTGCCACGGCAAGTGCACTTCCAGGTCCGGCATTCAGGACCGTCAACAGACTGCCTAGCGTCAAGTGTATGTCATCTTCCTTCTCTTCGCTTGGACTATACTGACCTAACAAGCCAATCCTCTTCGTCGTGCCAACCAAATCATTCCCGTAATCGTCGGTGGCCCGCAAGATACCTTCATCCCCAACACCGTGACTGCAGCCGTCGGCGATATCATCCAGTTTCAGTTTTCCAATGGTAACCACACCGTCACGCAGTCGACCGCCGACACAGCATGCACGCCCATGGAAGGCGGTATCCACAGCGGTCACATTCCCTTCCAGGACGGCCAGACAGATGTTGGAACCTTCAACATGCCCGTTACCAGTGCCGATCCCATGTTTCTGTACTGTGCTACCGGACCGCATTGCCAGGAGGGCCAGGTCATGATGGTCAACCCTGCGAATGCGCAGCAATTGGCCGACTATGTTAAATTGAGCCAGCAGAGTGAATCGAGCACTGACGGCACTGATGTTGTGGGTGGAACTGCCGGAAAGCTGGCTTTGGATACTGCTGCGTGAGTTTTCTCGCCGGAATATGATGTGGTCTCGATGAACTAGACACTGACTGTACCATAGATTCGTACCTGCACCTCCCGAGGACCCAGCTGCGGCACCTCCTGCTGCCGAAGCTCCTCCTGCCGAGACGCCTGCTGCCGAAGCACCAGCAGAGACGCCACCTGCCGAGACGCCACCTGCTGAGACACCAGCGGCAGAAGACCCGGCTGCAGCTCCTGTTGAGACTACTGCTGCTCCTGCTGAGACCACCGCTACCATGGCTTGAGGAGCACGTACTCAAAGCAAACGGGGGGACATTGAAGAGGGTGGGTTTATGGTTTTAGAGACAAATGAAGTATTCGAATATAAGAGCGAAATGACTGTGCTCTTCTATGACGCGACCCATATTTCCACTGAAAGACCTGGTGAGTAAATGTGATGCGTGATGCAAGTGTAAGTCTGATGGGGTGGCGCAGATTCATGGACATCGCTGTCTCTTTATCAAACAGTACACGAATACTTGAACGACAACATGCACCATGACACATCAGAAGCATGAAAGGAAAGAGCAATGTCTGAACCACGGGATTTGAGGTTAGGAAAATGAGTCAAAAACTTTCTTCTTCGGTAGTCTTAATATTTACTGACAAAGTCTCTGTATATGCTAGCACAGTCCTCTAGATTACTGTATTGTGATATAATTCATACATCGTGTCTGCTGTATCTTGAAATCACGGGGATATTCGCGTCACGTATTTACATCCTCAGCCTGACGTCAAGATAGCACAAGGTATGTCCGCATTTCGCCAGTCTGCTTACATACATCTTGAAAACTCACCAGAAAGATCAAGACATCACTCGGTCGTCACGTCCCAGTCTTGTCTAGACAAACACACGTCTGAATCAGAGTAAAATTCGTTCTGTCGCAAACATGAGGCCACAGTTCCCTTACGACCGCTCACTTGCACAGCCTCCTAGTCGTTACGGGTACATGCGGTAGGCTCCGGGTAAGTGTAATGTTGAGAAAATTCGTGGTGGCGATCAATCTCTAGATTACGCCTTCTCTTTCTAAAGTGTGGAATCCGAAGGCGACACAAGAGGCTGTGTACTCTAGCTCAGACGCAGGGCTAACTAGTCTGGGCTAGGCTTCATGATGAATGGTTCGCACAGGAACGACGGACTCCGGAACATCTACGCGAGACCAACAGTCTTGACGTTGCTTGGTTCTTCTGAGGACTTATGCACACCCTCGACCGCTGTCTCGCTGCTCTTTCTTGCGTAGATGCTGTGTAGAAAGTAACAAAACATCATATGCGCTCCTTTACTGTCTGGAGCAAACCAAGAGATCAACCAAGGTAGCACCCATGCAAACGTGTACAGATTCTACCAATAAATAGTAACTCAACCGATGCATACAATTAGCAAATATACCATGGCCCTTAAACATCGGCGAGCATCGCAAGGGCGCTCCTCGGTCTAAAAAGGAAGATGAGCGCCTTGACCTGTCCTCTCTCAAAGCTCTCCAAAATCATGCATGTCATCTCATGACAAAATAGGGTTGTGCATGCTCTCCCCAACTATGCGAAGCTATTCCGAGGCCTTTCGGACAGCAACCTTGCTGACGTGCAGTGATGGCTCAGCAGACGGTCATCAGGCGTCTACTAAGCGCTGCTGTCTCGACGGGCGAATCAACGAGCAAGCAAAACCAAACGCTTTCCTTAAATATCACCTTTTCTCTACTCATGCCATGACGTAAACAGAGCAACGGAGACACGTCCAAGTAAAGTACGCAGCGCGGCTGGTCTATTGGTCCACCAACGTAAAATGCCGCAGATGCTTGAGGGTGAGTTGCTTTCGGAACAAGTTGGACACCACAACCTTTTCGGACCGACAGCACACGCTGTGCGTCGTGGGGTAGGCTGCCAAGGTCGCAGAAGCGGTCATCTAAAGCATGTCAAGATCTTGTATGCAGCAAGCCTCTTACTACTGTAGCTCAAAGTCAGAAGCTTATGTGGAGGTGAAGCGATTGCTCATCTCATGGCGATGCAAATACATATGCTCGAATGTGCTACTGCATGACGCTCTGGCGCACACGGTTCAAGGGTACCAGGTCCATGGAACGCTGAACTCGGGGGATTGTAACGGTCAACGCGCCTGGTGATCCAAGTTGACGATAAGAGTAATCACAGCGCCAATGACGCAAACAAACTTATCAAGACTGGGCGGGTGATGGGCACGGAACAGCCAAGCTTCTGGAGCTCTTGGCCGCTCGGAAATTGACGCATCCCTTTATCCATACCTGTCTTGGATCTTCAGGTACGAGGGCGGCGAGATGGACGAGAGCCAACAAAGCCGATGGCAGGTGGAGCTGGCGATGGGTCGAGGCTGAGCAGGCGGTAAAATAATTTCACATGGCCACCACTGGAAAAATAAAGCGTCTTGTTGATGCGCCATTGCGATTAGTCGGATGGACGGCCAAGAAGACAGGAGTAGCTATAGGCGAAAGCGCGCTTCCTAGCATTTGCGTCGATGAATCACTTGTGATATAGCGCTCAGACACGGTGCGGTAGGCGTGCCTTGGCCGTGACCTACTGGCCATACGGAAGGCAGCCCGTTTGTTGACGATGTCGTGCCAGGCTGTTGCTGTGCGAATGGCCACATGGCGCATCACCGCTCGAGACAGCATGCAGGAGATGCAGACTGGACTTGGCCAGGACAGTTGTTAACCGGTTAATCGTGGGGTGAAACGGAGGCTGGCACTCGAGGGGTTAGGTTAGAGGCCGTCCCGCTTGAGTCCCGCACCCATGCTGCTTGCGAAATAGCGCTCGACGCAAACGGCTTAGCGCTCGAGGTTGGCATCGGGGCAGTGCAAGTCTTGGGTATTTCGCAAAGGCACAACAAGGTCCATGGCCTTGGCTGGGGGTCTTGTTTGCCTTGTGCTCTCTGGAAAGCCAGCATCTGAGATTGCCAGCCATTTCCCTTGAGCAAACAGCGTGATTGTCGCGTCGTCTCGCCACCTGATAGTCTCTCGAGCACCCAGGGACACGAGCTCTGCCATAGCCACACTCGACCGCGAACGAGTATGCGCAGCCAGAACACTGCCACTCTCTAGTCCATAGCACCAGCTCTTTGAACCATTCCTTCGCTCAATCGCCCTTGCCGCAGACGCAGCGTGCCCAGGTAAGCCCACCGTCGCTCTTGCCGGCTGCGACCACAACACAGGTGCTAAGACGATGTAGGTACCAGACTCCCAGGGACTCGCCTCCGCTCTTTACAACGCGACGACCCGCCTCTACCACCACAGACGCTCTATAACCTGCATGTACTCTCTGCATGAGGTCTTGTTCATAATCTAGCACACTTACCGGAAGTGCACACCTGACATTGCTACGCTTACGGCTACCACCCGCCTGCCTGCTGCACAGCCCACCCTCAGCCTTCCACCGCTGCCTGGAAGGGCGCCAGTTCACCGCAATGGCGAACACGGATGCGAGCAATGCTTCATCAAGGCCACGGGCACCGACCATCACCATCGACACATCTGCCACCAACGACCCTACCATGGGCGACTCGGTCCCCCTAGGAGCCATTCAAGATAACAACAGACCTGCAACATACTCTAATACCGACAATGTCTCGCCCACACACTCGAGGCAGCAGTCGCAAGAACTGCGTAATGCGCACTCGTTCGATAGCAAGGAGAGCAGACCCACGAGCCCGCATAACATCAGCTCACCGGTCACGGCGTGGAACAGCAACGCCGGTTTGCTCAACGTTCCTGGGGCCCGGTCCCGAGGCAACTCGGTTGATTCGGCGACCGACAATGGTGAATCCAATAGCTCGGGCACATATGTGCCATCATCACAGGGCGATACGCTGAAGGGAGACTTGGGACCGACTGAAATTATGAATGACAAAGATGCTTTGAAACCCGATCCGGGCACTGAGGCTGACTTTGAGGTCGAGAACAACAAGTTCGCCTTTTCGCCTGGACAGCTGGCGAAGCTCTACAACCCCAAGAGTGTAAGAACCACGCCCGGACCGCATTCGTGCATATCCTAACAATATCTAGTTATCCGCTTTCCATGCTCTCGGTGGCCTTGATGGCATAGAAAAAGGTCTCAGGTCCGACCGCCGAGCCGGTTTGAGCATCGACGAGCAGCAACTGGACGGTGTCGTGACGTTCGACGAGGCTACTACTCCGAGCAGGACAGAGTCTCCGCAAAAGTCGTCTCCAAATGGAGTCGCACACACCGACAGCGCCCCCGCCGGCTCCAAGGAGAACGCCTTTGCTGACAGGAAGCGCGTTTTTAGCGACAACCGTCTTCCAGTGAGGAAACCGAAGAACATCTTCCAGCTAGCCTGGATGGCCTACAACGACAAGGTTCTGATCTTGCTTACGTGTGCTGCTGTCATTTCGCTGGCCCTAGGACTGTACCAAACTTTTGGCGTAGAGCACGAGCCAGGCGAGCCTGCGGTCGAGTGGATCGAAGGTGTTGCCATTATTGTCGCCATTGTCATTGTGGTTGTTGTGGGTGCGGCGAACGACTGGCAAAAGGAACGGCAATTCGTCAAGCTCAACAAAAAGAAGGAAGACAGGACTATCAAGGTGGTTCGCTCAGGCACGACTCGCGAAATCTCCGTCTACGACATCTTTGTTGGAGACGTTGTCAATCTGGAACCGGGTGACATGATCCCTGTGGATGGTATTCTCATCCAAGGCCACGGCATCAAGTGCGACGAGTCTTCGGCTACTGGAGAGTCTGACCTGCTCAAGAAAATGTCTGGCGAGGAGGCCTTCAAGGCCATCGAGAGGCACGACAATCTCAAGAAGGTCGACCCGTTCATTCTGTCTGGCGCCAAGGTCTCGGAAGGTGTTGGTTCTTTCATGGTTACCGCTACTGGTGTCCATTCCAGCTACGGAAAGACGATGATGTCTCTGCGCGAAGACAGCGAAGTCACTCCGCTCCAGAACAAGCTGAACGTTCTTGCGACGTACATCGCCAAGCTCGGTGGAGCAGCTGCCCTGTTGCTCTTTGTTGTGCTCTTCATCGAGTTCCTCGTCCGTCTGAAAGGCAGCCCCGATAGCCCTGCCGAAAAGGGTCAGAACTTCCTCAACATTCTCATTGTCGCCATCACCGTCATTGTCGTTGCTGTGCCCGAGGGTCTGCCGCTAGCCGTTACTCTTGCATTGGCGTTTGCCACGACACGCATGTTGAAAGACAACAACCTGGTCCGTCTTCTCCGATCTTGCGAAACCATGGGAAATGCAACAACCATTTGCTCCGACAAGACAGGTACATTGACACAGAACAAAATGACGGTTGTCGCTGGCTCTCTAGGCACTGCTCTTCGCTTTGGGGACCACAAGCTCAAAGCGGCAGCACCACCACTTGATGATGGCAGCAAGGGCAAAGATGTGGCAGAGTCGCCTGTAGAGAACCCGAATGATGTTTCGGCACCCGAATTTGTTGCGACATTGAACCGCGATGTCAAGGACGTTCTACTGCAATCAATCATCCAGAACACGACCGCTTTCGAGGGTGAGGCTGGAGGCCCTGATCCCTTCATCGGCTCCAAGACTGAAACCGCGTTGCTCGGATTCGCACGCGACTTCCTCGGCATGGGCAATGTCGCCCAGGAGCGGTCCAACGCCAACATTGTCCAGGTTATTCCTTTCGACTCGGCCATCAAGTGCTCCGGAGCTGTTGCAAAACTCAACGATGGTCGCTACCGCATGTATGTCAAGGGCGCTTCCGAGATCTTGCTTGGAATGTGCGATAAGATCGTCACAGACGCCAACAAGGAGCTCGTCGAAACATCCATGACGGGCGACAACCGTGAGACGCTCGAGCAAGTCATCACTACCTACGCGTCTCGGTCTCTGCGAACCATTGGCCTGATCTACCGTGATTTCGAGAGCTGGCCACCTGCTGAGTCTTCGAAGAACGAGGATGACCCGAGCCAAGCTGTCTTCAAGGACGTGTCCAAGAAAATGACTTTCCTGGCCGTTGTCGGTATCCAAGATCCTCTGCGAGAGAGTGTCCGTGAAGCCGTCAAAGACTGTCAGCACGCCGGCGTCTACGTCCGCATGGTCACTGGTGACAACGTCCTTACCGCCAAAGCCATCGCCGAAGACTGTGGAATCCTTGTACCTGGAGGTGTCGTCATGGAGGGCCCTACCTTCCGCAAGCTCTCAAAGCGAGACATGGACGCTGTCATCCCCAAGCTGTGTGTTCTCGCTCGCTCTAGTCCGGAAGACAAGCGCAGGCTTGTCAAGCGCCTCAAAGAGCTTGGCGAAACTGTTGCAGTCACTGGTGACGGAACCAACGATGCGCCAGCGCTAAAGACAGCCGACGTCGGTTTCTCCATGGGTATTGCTGGTACAGAAGTCGCAAAGGAGGCATCCGCCATTATTCTCATGGACGACAACTTCGCTTCCATCGTCAAGGCACTACTCTGGGGACGTGCCGTCAACGACGCTGTCAAGAAGTTCCTGCAGTTCCAGATTACTGTCAACATCACCGCCGTCCTGCTTACCTTTGTCTCTGCCGTATCTAGCGACGACCAAACTTCTGTGCTGACTGCCGTTCAACTGCTCTGGGTCAACCTCATCATGGATACCTTCGCCGCATTGGCCCTCGCAACCGATCCCCCAACACGCAGCCTTCTTGACCGGAAGCCTGACCCGAAGTCTGCTCCTCTCATCACACTGAGGATGTGGAAGATGATCATCGGTCAAGCAATTTACCAGCTGGTCGTTACCTTTATCCTCTACTTTGCCGGCGAGTCTATTCTCAGCTACCACAGCGACCACGAGAGGGAGCAACTGCCAGCCTTGGTCTTCAACACCTTCGTCTGGATGCAAATCTTCAACGCACTGAACAACCGCAGGCTCGATAACCGTTTCAATGTTTTCGAGGGCATCACCCACAACTGGTTCTTCATCATCATCCTGGCTATCATGATTGGTGGTCAGACAATGATCATCTTCGTTGGTGGCGTTGCCTTCAAGGTGACCAGACTCAACGGTGCTCAGTGGGGTTACTCGATAGTCCTGGGTTTCCTCTCTCTGCCCGTCGGTGTCATTGTTCGCTTGATTCCTGATGAGCTCGTCCGGAAATGTGTCCCCGACTTCTTCAGGCGTAAGCAAACTCCCGAGCTTACCATCTCCGATGACGAGTATCAATGGAACCAGGGACTGTTGGAGATCCGCGACGAGCTTGCTTTCCTGCGCAAAGTACGTGGTGGGCGTCTCAGTGCCATGAAGTTCAAGGTGCAACATCCCAAGGAGATCTTCACAAAGTCTCGCTCCAGCCACTCTCTGCCTGGCACTCCAAACAATGGCCCACAGGACGACGGTTCTCAAGCGCCCCCCACACCCAATAGCCGCCGTCGTACTAGGTCCCGTTCAAACTCTGCATTCGGTCCGGCCACTGTTATGGCTGGGATCGTCGCTGGCAGTGTCGCTGGTTGGTCGCCAATCGACCGCGGTCATGGCGACAATGACTCCATCAAGTTCAGCCGCGACGCGACAAAGCAAGACCTCGAGGCACAGGACGGCATCGAAGTGCATCCAGACACCAAGTCGACTGATCCTATTCTAGCGCCCGACTCAAGCGAGTACCACGGCCCTCCTAGCCAGAACATGGACACCACACCAGAGTTTGTCGTAGGACCATTCTCAGGCCATTCTGGAGACCACTCCAAATCGACAGGACCTGGAACATAAGGTCCTCTTTCCTTTGACCTAGATTCTTACACATTTTTACGCGCCTTTCCTAGTGTTTATAACTGTAATGCATGTTCTGCGGCGTTAGGAGTTGGTGTCTCGAGGAGCTACATTGTACATACCCCTTGCTCTCGATTGATACTCCTTACGTTGGGCGGCAACTGCCTCGCTCGTTGTATTACTGAGACCCCTTTTCTATTACTGCATTATGGTGTAGAGAAAGCAGCTTTTGTAGCTGTATCGTTCTTCTTCACTTCTTGAGCGTGGCACTCTTCCGCGTGCGTCCAACTTCTGGTAGTCAGACAGCAATAAGAAGAAACAAGAAACTCAGTTCCCCTTTGCTGTTGCATATCTAGCCCATGCCCAATTTGAATTAAAGTGATCACCCTCATAACTTCTCAACTCTCTCCTTCATCTCCCCGAGGTCTTCGCCCTCAACAGCGTCCTGGCTCTCCTTGACATACTTTGCTACTGCCTCCTTGATCCCTTCATCCCCATCGATAACATCAACCCAGCCCCTTACCCCTTCAGCTTCCAAGACACCGACCACGCTCTCCGCAACCGTCGCACGGCTCGTCTTGCCACCTGCTCCAATCTTTCCCATCTTCACCTTGCCCGCCGGTTCCTCTGTCAGCGTACCAGGCCTCAAACTGATTCCACAGAAGCGCTCATTAGCGGGAACACTGTCTTTCTCCTCCTTCGCTACTCGATCCTGAGAAAGAACAGTGAGGACCTCGTCAGCTGCAACCTTGGCTTTGAAGTAGTTCGGCAAGATCTCCGTGTTGACCTTTTGTGCCGCCTTCCAGTCCTCGTCGTTCCACCAGGGTGCGCGGCCACGACGGGAAGAGAGGTAAGATACAGTCAAGAATTTCTTGACAGAAGGTGTGTGAATGCTAGCTTTTGTGAATGCAATAGCTGCGTCACGGTCGACTGCAAACGTCATCTCCGCACCGCCCTTGCCACCAGCTCCTGATTGTTGTGAATATACATGCATTCTTGTTGAATGTTGTGCTTACCAGCGCTCCAGACAACCCAATCAGGCTTGACCTGCTCCAAAATGCTCTTCGCATCCCCTTCGTTCTTAACATCAGCCACACTGCTGACCAGCACGTCCAACTTTCCGGGCTGTCCTTGCCCCAGCTTCTCGATCGTAGATTTCTGAGAAGCAGTACGTATCATACTGGTCACGTTCCATGATTTGGCCAATAGGAGTGGTGTGAGGAGTTGGGCGACTTTGCCGTGGCCGCCAATGAGGAGGATATGGTGCGCCATTTTCTCGGATTCTAAGAGGAAGGAACAGGAGTATCAGTATTGAGTGTAGGTGATGGAAACGGTTTGTTCACAGAAGGTTGATGTTACTGTTGGGGCCGGTTAAGCGTACTCATTCGATTTCTAAGATGACGTCGTGAGCGTTGACGCTTCCGAGTATGGGCCGACGGAGCTCCACGCGCACTGCATGATCCTACCTCTCACGCACTCTTTCCAAGGATGAATCTGGGCGCTCCTTGCAAGTTCTGATCGACGCATGCCATGATACGGTAACGTAGAAACGCTATACACAATCCAAGAACCTAAAGGTCAAAATCGCTGAGATGCAAAACTGTAATCAACACGCTGTATGCGACCATAACGATGCCCAGATTATCTAAGCACCAAGTAGCCATGCGTGCATTTGGACAACAAGTGGGCTACTGACGTTAGGTCGTGTTGTGTGACTTTGGGTGCGCTGTTGCAATCGATTAGCTACATCCTAGCGCCTTGGCAATCCAGCACCTCAAGGTCCCTGCAGTCGTTACGCGACGCGATCATCAGATCACGCTTCATCGCGCCGACGGCCTGTGAACGTTGAGTAGACGCACCAGAGATCTTTTGTCGTTTTTGCAGAGCAAAACATGGAGCGACTGTTGTGCTGCACACGTGCCTGAGCGACCTGAAAATGTCCCTGACTGCACCTCGCAGCGGCAACCAGCATGTCGAAATCCGCTTCAATCCCACAGTCGGCTCGGGTCCAGAAGGTCTGTACTCTGTGGACTCACGACGACAACTTTTCAAGAGATGAAATCGTTTTCAATGGAGAGAAATTCCCAGAACTGCCCACTAGTGCCGGTGCGCTCCTCCAGATCGTGGCGATACATACGGACAATGCTGTTCGAGACTTTTACACGGAATCCAAAGTCGATACCTTGCACAACGATGCAAATGGAGATAGTCATTCAAAAAGACATCGACGGGACTCGATAACGATAACCATTGATGAAAATGGCTCGACTATCCCGGAGGGTCGCTATGTTGACGCGGACAAGGCCTATGTCTTTGTTCCTAAAGCGCTTCCCGCAACCATGGAGTCCAAATATCCAAATCTGCAAGTAAGTTATAGTCGGACTGCCAATCCGCATAGCTGACCTCAAAAAGGTGTCAATATCTGAGAGGATTGCCAAGGTCTTCGGGTTCCGCAACAGGATGCAGGTCGTAGTGACTGAGGCTGATGAGGATGCGCACGAGGCTCATCATGTGGAGATCGTTTTTCGGGACGAGTATCTCGCACGCGCAGACATGTGGCGTATGGCGATCGCTGAACTCAGCAAGCGGACGGTCTATCGAGGCCAAAGGCTACTGTTCATGGGTACCATCAAGGCCACGATCAAACACATTTACATCAACGGTCAGTCGGTTCATTCTGGCTACTTCTCGCCCAAGTCGAAGCCTATATTCCGCAGCGAATCAGCACGATACACACTTTTCATCCAGATGTCCAGAGAAATGTGGGATTTCGACACTGAGGGCGCCGGCGAGATCATGTTCAACAAGGTCGTAAGCGGATTTCTTCCAGACTTGTTCAAGAGATGGCTGCGAATAAATGCACGACATTTGGTCACCATCATCCTCTTTACAAGAATGCAATACGACGGAGAGCTCCTGGCCGATCGCCCGGAAGGGACCACGAGCAACACGTACGCCGATTCGCATTCGGGCACTTTCAGAGACTATTACAGAGTAGTCGTGAGCGACATGGCCAGCGGCGATTGGATCAATATTCTCTATCAGCTGAAGAAGGAGTTCAGGATGTTTCTTCGGGAGGTGTCTCTGGTCCGTAAGCCAGTGAAGCACGTCAACGAGGAAACGGGATCTGAAGACCCAGCTACTGATGTCGTCGTAGCTGGTCGACCTTCTTCCGCAAGCCAAGGCAATATCCTAGAAGCCATCAATCTGGCAGCAGCTCAATTTGCCAAAGACTACATCGATCGCGATCTCGTCCGCACGGGCATCTCCGTCATCGTTGTTACTCCGGGCACTGGCGTCTTTGAGGTTGACTACAACATGCTCAAATTGACCACGGATACCCTGATTGGGTCGGGTATCGGAATTGATCTAGTGTGTCTCTCGCCGATGCCTCTTCACTCCGTGCCCCTATTCAAATACCAAACGCCTCGTTCGGTGTCTGACCTGAAAGCCGAGCACGACAGGGAACAGCATGCTTCTCCGAGGATGTCACGGACAGAAGAGGACAAAACTCCCCGCCAGAGTCAACCAGACTTTGGTTCCATGTCACGCGCCTCCACCGTACGACACATACCGATGGACGTGTCCACCGACTCATCAGATGGATGGAGGTTCGCAATGCCGTACTGGGTCGATGTGTCGTTCTGGTCTGGAACGTCTGAGGAGATTCTAGAACTCACAAAACCACGAAAAGCTGACAAGATTGTAAAGAAGTCTCGTAAGAAAGGTCGCATCTTCTCTCTACGGTGCCGATTGTACGAGCTGCAGATGATGGGTGTCATGGAGAATGAGGTGGGCGACATAGCAATTCCCTACCTAGAAGAGGACCCAATGTACCCACACCATCTGCGCGGGTTGTTCGAACCGAATGGAGAAGGCCTGCAGATCGCACCAGCAACCAAGCCTCCCGCAGCTGCGGCGGGCTCGTATTCTTCGCGGGGCGACAAAGAATTCAACGAGGATCAGCTGGACGAAACAAGGGCTGCCCAAAAGGCCTGGATGGAGGCATACGACGGCGGAGTCTTTTCTCCTCTCATAGAGAGACACTCTGCATTGGACCAACTCCAAGCTCGCAAGCGAAGGCTGAGCGATGAAATCACCAGCGGATCACCAGACCTGTCACGAAGTCTGCGTCTTTCTTCTTCTTTCCGTAGTACTGGTCCGTCATTCGGGAAGACAGCTCGACCTCCATCAGACACGAACTTTCCGCAGCTGATGCGCGAGAGATCGAAAGACATCGAAAGCCAGTCTCCGCGAGGCAGCACCTCTCGTATGCCAAACCTCAAAAGCGAGGCCGTGCCGCGAGCCGATGTTTTGCGGCGGCAGAACAACATGACTAGAGATAATGCTAGTGCCGGACGCCCTACGGTACATAAGAGAGGTGGTTCTGGAGACTCCCAAGATCATCGCCAAACCGTAAACTCTACCCAGAGACATCCACCAGCTCCGGCTACAAGCCGGGGGTCATCCCCCAGGCGAACTGGGCTCTTGCCGACTAGTGTCGGAACGCCAGCACCAGCTAAGCAGGACCTGAAGAGCAGACCTTCCAATTGGTTTCTTAGGCAGATGAGCTTTGGTGGAAAGGCTGCGCCGGCAAAGCCAACTCTTGGCGATGCCACGATTGATATCAGTCAGGGGAAAGTGAAGCCTGCCATGTTGACTGTTGAGAAGAATCAAAAAGGCGCCATTGCGGAACGGCTGGCGAGCACTCGCCATACTTCTACAGGGAAGCCGTCGCAGCCGATTGCGATAAAACCTGCATCGCGCGCAGGCCCTACGTCAGCCGAATCTCTTGCGTCTGACCGCGCAAGCCGCTCGATCGAGACCGTGAGGGTAGCGCGATCCGATCGATCCAATGTGCCTTCGCAGCCTGGCTCAGTCGTGAGGGACCCTGGGTCAACGTTTTTGCTTGCAGGAGCGCGGGGTGCAGGTGAGCACGGTGGACCGAAACCAGACCTCTCTTCTAGTGGAGGTGGTAGAGAAGCTCCTCGGACTCTATCTCCAACAAGCGCGATTGCTCCTTGGGCAGTCCTGGTCAACCCGTGTAACCCGAAGAAAAACATTATAAGCTCTAAGAACCAGTACCGGCGCTGGCATCACGTCTTCCCTAGGACGCTGAGGACGGGCACGGTAAAGTGGAGGTCGTTGTGCTCACCCGCTGCAGTACCGCTGACCCACGAGTGGTTCCCTTCTGTTGACCAAATAGCGTCAGAGTACAACGAAAGTCCATATAAAATTACGCAGAATGAGGACGACGATATTCTGGAAGCACCAAAGAGCCGAGAGTCTCTCATCAAAGAGCTGATCGCCTTTCGCCTCTCCCACGGGTTCCAAATCATCGTTGGCTCTTCCGTAGCGGAGTTTTCAGGCCGGCAAGAGAAGACTCTCGCTAGCATTCTTGATCCCGAGTACATGTCTAGTGATGGAGACACTGTTTTCATGAGCGTTGGAAACAGCATCCACCAGCTGGTGTGTGTAGCTGGGGGAGAGGTAGAGGTAAGGAGATACAATCGGAAGCCCACCACAGCACTGGAGTCGTCTGCTGGCATTGATACGCCTTTCTCGTACAAACCTTTTATCCGCACTGCGTTTGAAGACACATATGACCCTCGAGAAGTTGTGTTACGTCCACCACGGAGAGAATACAACTGGAACATCATCGACACTTTTTTGGCTGGGTACCATGACGAGTTCTCGGAGATACTGCGCTTCTGGAGGGCTCGCTTTGTCCTAATTCCCGTGGACATACCAGCCATGCATCGGAGACCGTTGCCTATGCAGGACTCGCCTGAGGAGATCCGGCTCGAGGGAATTCGCAAGCTTACTCAACTGTGGCAGAAGTTCCGCTATATTCCTCCAGAAGAGCGCTACCTCCAGCCCGCGTCCACTTTGAAACAAAAGGACCCGAATCCGCTTGCAATTGAGTACCACACACGCGATCCCTCGGCGGTCGTTGCGGCCGGTCCGGATCACTCCCTGCTCAACGACACCGACAGCGAGTTCCAGACGTCCATCTTCTCCGATGCGGAAAAATACCACACGTCTAGTATAGACATCAAGAAGCTCGCAGAAGACTTGCAGGGCGAAAAGGGGATCCAGATGCTTGACCGTCGATGGCATCTCAAGTTGCACTACAACTGTTTTCTCGGCTTTGACCTCACTAACTGGCTGCTCTCAAACTTCAAAGACATTGAAACGCGGGACGAGGCGGTAGACTTTGGCAACGAGCTGATGAAGAAAGGCCTCTTCCAGCACGTGCAGGGACGGCATCATTTTCGCGATGGCAACTTTTTCTTTCAGATCGCGGCAGAGCACAGGGCTCCGCGGGTCGAATCTCGAACTGGGTGGTTTGGTATGCGCAAGACGGACAAGTCTGTTCCTTCCACGCCGCTGGCAGAGGCGCCTCGCACGTCGCCTCTTTTATCAAAGCACACCAAGTCACGTCCTGACACTGCCGATTCTTCGTCCAACAGCTCCGGTTCACTCGAAGAAGGGGAGAAAACACCAACACGCGGCGAACCACATAAGCGGAAAGTCGTCATGTCACGCGTTATGCGCTATGATGTAGACCCCAGAAAGCGTTCGTACCGACCCGAGATCATTTCACTGCACTATGATCGGTTGCATAACCCCGACAACTGCTATCACATTCGCATTGACTGGATGAATGTCACCGCAAAACTTATCGAAGATGCCATCGTTACCTGGGCCACGAGCGTGGAGAAGTATGGTCTGAAACTGGTGGAGGTGCCCATCGCGGAGGTGGCGGACATTGTCGATAACCATCCATTCCGTTCGCCCTATGTAGTCAAGCTTGCACTGCAGCCTCCCCAGGCTCAGCCTGAGGCGATGTGGGACTCGACAAGCTTCTCTCCACAGTACCCGAAAACCGACAAGTTTGCGTATCACAAGCTCCTGCTTCGAAGGCTCAACTTTGTGTTGGACATGGAAGCTGCGAGTGCCTTTCCACCCGACGTCGAAGTCACGTATTCCTGGGGCATGCCTGATTACAAGTATACACAGTTCATCCACAAGAGCGGAGGCCTGCTTGCCCAGATATCTGACGACGGAAACCTCCTTCTGCTAGCAAATAGGCTCGCGCACAACCGCGCCAAAGACCACAGCAGGATCCGGCCTGTGGATCCTTACGAGCACAAGAAAGCCACCACAGACGGTAGTCAAAGCAGTCGTTTACCGTCGACACCCGCAGTAGAGCGTGGCAACCCGCACCGCAGTCCCTTTGCGAGTCCTCTGGCACGACCAGTCCAAGATTCCAGTCTCCTTCACACTGCGCTCACATTCCACGACCCGAGATCAGCAGCGACCACTCCAGCGGCTGCGTCTAGTGTTCCTCTCACCCCTGAACAAGTCAAAGATGAGGTTGAAGCTTTCTGCTCCAACGCCTCGCTGCTGTCTGCATTCTATGCCGAAGCTTTCCGCCATGCTCCATCTCCGTCTCCACGGATTTTACCAATAGGGGAAGACAAGATTCCAAGTTTGGGACTGCCGCCAGCGATCAGTATCAGGGACGCTAGCCCAGCAACCGGAGGCTGGACACTGAGTAGCACATTTGGGGGGCCTGGCGGCATAGCTGGCCGTAGACAGGGTAGTGAGGGGAGCATGTATAGCATGGGGAAAAGGGGCAGTGTGGTCGAGGGCATGGAGAGAGCACCGCGGCGACAGAATAGTCAGGGGAGCGCTGGAACCGGAACGTAGGCACTCATTATTGACATAGGCGTTAATGGCACTGAGCATGTTTATTGCAAAAAGGGTGCAGATATGGTGTCTTGTGACTCGCCCTTGGTTCATGGTCGATGCATGCGCGGCTTGGCATAATGTGGGGTACGGCTTAGGAAATGGCTCCTCGCTACTGGCATGCACTCGAACCCCACTAACGGACCCCACGCGAGTGGCTTGCCAAAAGTTCGTACCCAAACACGACGCCGGCGCAACGTCGAGAGCAGCGCAATGGCACTACTCGAGCTGCTGGAACCTTTGCCAGCTGGTCAGTTAACCATCTCATCACAATCTATGTTGCTGACGTCGCCGCAGAGCTGCTCTTCATCTGGCACCAGCACCGACTCCCCATCTTGCTGGCTGCACTGGTGGTAGCGACGGTTGTGCGTCTCGCCATTTATTCGCGCGATCGGAGAGAGAAGCTCTCTGTGTCACCAGCTCCCTCGTCGCCGGTGCCGGTAGAGGAGAAACCCACCGTCCAGCTCAAGCCCGAATGGCTGCCCGAATACACCACGCTCAACTCGTCGGAGCTTAATGTCGACAACCATGTCGACGACGATACGATGGCGGTGGCTGCAGCCGCAAAAGTGAAGAAGGGGCCCAAGATGGTCAAGGGCAGGAAGACACCGAAGAAGCTTGTTGCGCCTGCGACGTTCAACCACCAAACGGACAGGATACAGCCATTGGTCTTCTTCCAGTCGCTATCTGGCACGACTGAGCGCTTCGCTAAGCAGTTCGCGCGAATTCTCACCGAGTGGACGAGGTAGGTTTGATGCGCAAATAGGTGTGAAGCATGCGCTGACTGTTTCATCTCGACAGGGGCTGCGATCAGTCCAAATCCTTCTTGGAGCCCCAGACGCTCGACATATCGTACATCGAGCACGACGACTACTTCGTCAGCCCGCCCAGGGGCGACGCCAACGTCAAATACTTCTACATTATCCTCGTACCGACGTACAACATCGACACCGTTCTGGACGTCTTTGTGGAGAGCCTGCAGGAGACACACAATGATTTTAGGATCGATACGGCGCCTCTAAGCGGTCTGGTGGGATACACTGTGTTTGGTTTTGGCGATAGGGAGGGGTGGCCGACCGAGGAAGAGGGTTTCTGCAGCCAGTCGAGGGAAGTGGACAAGTGGATGGCCCGGCTGACGGGCAGGAAAAGAGCATACCCGCTTGGCATGGCCGACGTCAAGAGCGAGGCCGAGGAAAGGTTGCAGGACTGGAGGGTAGGCGTCCAGGACGCGCTTGTGGAAATCGCCCAAGGACGAGGACTTGGTGAAGGCGTGCCGGGCAGTGGAGACGCTATCGAGAGCGACGAAGAAGACGTGGCCGAGGACAATGGTCAAAGCACGCGAGTAGACGACGTCGAAGACCTGGGTTCGATGGTCAACTCCTCCGCCGGACCAATACCCGTCGACTTTACAACCTACAAGAAATCCCCAGCCAAGTCTCAATCCCTCCAGGCCCCCAAGGAGATGGTGCCTACCACGTCCCCTACCTACGCCGCTCTCACGAAACAAGGCTACAGCATCATCGGCTCACATTCAGGCGTCAAGATCTGCCGATGGACTAAATCCGCTCTGCGAGGCCGAGGCTCTTGCTACAAGTACTCCTTCTACGGCATCGCCTCTCACCTGTGCATGGAAGCCACTCCGTCTCTCTCCTGCTCGAACAAATGCGTCTTCTGCTGGCGGCACGGCACAAACCCCGTCGGCACGACATGGCGCTGGATAACCGATGCTCCAGACATGATCTTCGACGGCATCACCACAGCACATTACAAGAAGATCAAGATGATGAAGGGCGTTCCCGGAGTCCGAGCCGAGCGTTTCAGCGAAGCCATGCGCATCCGTCACTGTGCCCTGAGTCTGGTCGGCGAGCCCATCTTCTACCCGCACATCAACGAGCTCCTCGGGATCATGCACAGCAACCGCATCTCCACGTTCCTTGTCTGTAACGCCCAGCACCCAGCTCAGCTAGCGTCTTTGATCCCTGTGACACAGCTCTACGTCTCCATAGACGCATCCAACAAGGACAGTCTCCGCAAGATTGACCGGCCCCTGCATCGAGACTTCTGGGAGCGTTTCTGTGCCTGCTTGGATATCCTCCGCAACCGTCGTTTCGAGCAACGCACCGTCTTCCGTCTCACGCTGGTCAAAGGCTTCAACATGGCTGAGGAAGTGCGCGGCTACGCTGATCTCGTTGAGCGCGCTCTGCCTGGCTTCGTGGAGGTCAAGGGCGTTACCTACTGCGGGACCTCCGCAGCTGGCTCTGCAGGCCTTACCATGGAGAACGTCCCCTTCTACGAAGAAGTAGCCGAGTTTGTGACTGAACTTGAGAAAGAGCTAAACAGCCGCGGACTTACCTATGGCATCGGTGCCGAGCACGCGCACTCCTGCTGCATCCTGCTAGCCGACCGCACAAGATTCAAGAGAAACGACAGGTGGGCTACTAGAATCGACTTTGAGCGCTTCTTCGATCTCTACGAAGGCAAGGTGGAGGGGACGAGAGTGGAGGATGGGAAAGTGGCGGGCTGGAGACCGGAAGACTATGTTGGCGAGGAGACGCCCGAGTGGGCGCTCTGGGGAAACGGCGGATTCGATCCTAGGGACGCAAGAGTGTACAGGAAGGGCAAAGGCCCAAAGGTTAGCGAGGAGGGAGGGAAAGCCACCGCGGCTGCTTTGGAGTTTTAAGCACGACAAAACAAAGTATCGAGGTTGAACAAAGTTCATCATTGTTCTATGTATGCATTGTATTCGTCAAGTCATAATTCAAATAGTGGTGACCAGCACTTATATAGCCGCCCACTCAACAGAGAACGCCCTCACGGACTCGTCCTCTTGCGAGTCTACGTCGGGGTTCTCGCCACCAATCATGTACGCCTTCTTCGTTCCTGTGCCGAGACGTCCTCCGCCAACAACGTCGAGCAGGTCGAACTTCTGGTCCCAGCCCAAGCCGGTAGCAGCAAAGTGGCTGTGATATCGAAGTGGGTCGCCTGGGTACACGTTGTAGTGGCACCCAAAGCGCAGCCCAGGCATGTGGTAGTAGCCCTTGGAGTGCAGATAGCGGAACAACGGATAGCTGTCTGGCACAGCCGGCGGAGGGACAGCAGGGTCTTTTGCGGGCGTGGAGAGAGGTGGGTATGAGGTTGTCGGTGTGACATGGTGTTTCTGGGCGGCGACGCCTTTCGGCGCACTACCCTGGGCGGGGACGGCTGGTTCAGCAGCAGGCGAAGGGGGCGCAGCGTCGAACAGCGAGACCTCGGCGGCAGAGGAGTCAATCTTGGGGGCCTTGACTTGCACCCAGGAGTCTGAGAAACTAGAGCCTTTCATGATGAAGCCTAAACCAGAGCTACCAAGATCCGAGCTATCAGTGACTGAGCTGGCAGGACTGGAGATGACCCTGGCTGCCTTTACTGGCGCCGCCGAGTCGGAGAAGCTTGAACCCTTCATGATGAAACCCAGCCCGGAGCTCGCGACACTGGAGTCGTCTGCTTGGAGTGTCTCGTCCGATGTCGTGCTCGCCGCAACGCTACGCTTGTCGACTTCCTCCCTCTTCAGGCCCTTCTCCTTCAACGCCCTCTCCTTCCGCCTCTCCGCCAGCTCGGTCTGTTCCTTGGTGACGTCCTCCCCTCGCTTGTCCATCTCCTCCATGTACCTCAGTCTGTCCTCTCGGCTCATCTCCGCAAAAGCCTTCTGATGTGCCTGCGCATCATCCACGATATACGCAGCGCCTTTATCGACGAGTACCCGAGCCTCTTCCGGCATGAGTTCAAGTGGTACGCCCAGAAAAACGTTCTGTTGGCTGAGGTTCGGTATCGTGCCGACCAGGAGACCGCAGATGTTGTGCGTGCGACGGCAGTGCGCAATAACGTCCACATCAAAGAGGAGGTAGCGGCCAGCCACGAGGGATATGGGGAATGGTTCTTTAACTGGTTTGGGAGCCGGAGCTGCCGCCATGGTATGGATCTAAGCAGAGGCTGCGTTAGCTCGTTGCCAAACGAGTAGAAGAGCGGTGAACGTGATCAAGAGATGGATGTCATAGTGTGATATACAAAGCTCAGCAGTCCTTTTGACAAGGCTATGAGGATTGACAGATTTTCGTTTGTTTTAATCATGTAAAGGAACAGTAGTAGAAGGAATTGATGCTTACCTACATGGCGAATGTCGTCGCGAGAACGAGTATAGGGAACAAGAGACGAAGAGCTCCAGGTTGAGCTTTTGAAAGGCTTTTTAGTTTTGGACCCACTATTATCCGCTTGGACCTATAAGCGTGGCTCGCGCGTGATTCGTTGAGGTGATCGCTTACTAAGAACTTTGAACGGCGCTGCATCTGTAAACAAGATCCGCCGAGCATCAACACCAAAGAATACAAAGATGGGACCGCCATACTTCGCGTCAACCAACGGCCAGGATGCCGCGCCGCCAAAGACGTACTACGAGCAACAGCGCGAAATGCTCGTCTCTGAGATTGCCCAAGTACGTGCCACAGAGCCCATCACGGAGCGCATTGCAGTCTCCCAATTTAATTCCCCAAACCATGTGCATTCTAACAAGGTGCCAGAGTCTGGAAGTTGTCCTGCAAAACATCAACAAATTGAACCGTTCGCTCGAGGAGGTCACGTCGGTCGGGAACGAATTCGCGCCCGTCGAGTCGCTCTGGAGCCACTTTGAGAACGTCATGGCCAAAGATCCGAGTGAGCAACAGGAGGGTGCGCAGGAAGGTGCAACGGAACACGAGGGCGAGACGGAGGTGCCTCAGGACCGGAAATGAGCGTTTGCAAGGAGACACCTTGTTAGCTTATTAGTTCGTGGACAACGCGCCCGGAGGTGCACGGCCAGCCGTCGAACAGGCCATGACGATAAGTTGAATGATGTAATGATACCCCAGAACGAGTCATTGGCACAGATCACTGTCCAGAAATATACTTCATTTATTGCCATGCAAAGGCAAAGTCGGCGCCAACTCCGGCCATGCGTACATACAGAATACCGAATACAGATACAGGGAAGAAAATGCTGCTACGTGGACCTTTGAATCGCTGTGTCCATTCTCGTGTCAAAACAAAACCCAAACGCCAGCCGACCATGTACATGAGAAGACTTCCCTATGATTAAAGAGGAAGCGAACATGTGCGGACAGTGATGGAGGTGAGCCGTATGTGGTCATTAAACATCTTGATCGTGTCGTCCAGCGTCGTGAATCTCGATATGCTCTCCTCTCGATAGACACAGGCTATAGCACTTTGCAGCCGCTGCGCTTCTTCTTCTTGCCGCCTCCAGCGGGGAACGCTGATGTGTTCCCTCTTGACGACGTGGCTGTGCCTACGCGGCGCTCTTCTTGCTCCTTGTGCTCCTCGCCCACGGCCATTGTGACGGCCATGTCGAAGATTTCCTCGACACCGTCTTGCTCTTTACTGCTGCACTCCATGTACGCAGCGCCCATCTTCTTTGCGACGGCACGTCCCTGCTCGGTGGTGACGGGCGTCAAGCCTTGTGTCTTGAGGAGCTCGATGCAGTTCTTCTTGTTGCGCAGGTCAGACTTGAGCCCCAAGAGCATAAGAGGCGTTGTTGGGCAGAAGTGGAGGACCTCTGGGTACCACTGGGCATTGTTAGCCGATGCACGGTCAAGTAGTTGGCGGCGTCTTACCTTGTCCATGACGTTTTCTAGTGAGTTGGGGCAGTCAATGGCGAAGCACACGAAGATGACATCGGTCTCGGGGTAGGAGAGGGGTCGCAACCTGTCGTATTCCTCTTGGCCGGCGGTGTCCCACAGAGCAAGCTCAACCATCTTGCCTGTGGGCGGATGGGGCGTGTGAGTGATGTAGTTCTCGAAGACGGTTGGTACATATTTCTACGTCGCATTAGCATGGCATGACGTGCACTTGCTCGGGCGCGTACCTCTGGGAAGTTGCCGGAGCTGTAGCTGATCAACAGACATGTCTTGCCGCATCCACCGTCACCAACAACAACGAGCTTCTTGGAGTAGGCCGGGGGCTCGGTGATGGCGGTGTCGCGCGTGTTGGTGGTTCCATAGGAGCTGACGGTGCCGTTGCTGTTGCGCTCGCTCGGTGTGCGGGCGTGGGTGCGGACTGGTGTGATGGACGAGACGGGCGCCTTTGTGCTCTGCTTGCGCCGGAGGTAGTCGTAGTTCTGGGAAGGTGCGGTGGCCATGGTGAGCGGGTGTATGAATACGGAGAAGGAAGATGGTGTTGGAGTTGGTGTTGTCGGTTGTGTGGGGAGCGAGTGGTCGGGGCTTAAGAGAGTCGCATGTTGACTGTTAGAGTGCTCGGTCGCATATGGCAACCACGCTATGTCACCAGCGGCTCGCTAAGCTAGCGCCCAATTGCAGCGTGCCTGTCCATGTCTATCGATCGGCCGTGGGTAGATTACAGCATGCCATGGCCTCGTCTTACCTCCAGACTCCCTCTGCCCGCGCTGGACATGCTCGTCCGATTGACTCGCCCACCCCCTTTCTGCGACCGCTGCCATGAGTCCGCGACATGAGCCCAAATTGGACGCCGGCAACAAGGGCCACGACCACTACGCCCAGCGACTGCCCCGGTGGCGCAATGCCCTGCGCAACCGCCTCATACCCATTGTGCGCTGGGAAACACCATGGCTTGCCCTGATGCAGGACAAGATGCGCTCGCCCGCACTCGACTCGTACTTTGCCTATACCGCCAACCTCGGCACCCACACCTTCTTCATGGTCTTCCTGCCCATCCAGTTCTGGTGCGGCTACACTAGCATCGGTCGAGCGTATGTCGGGCGCTGTCATTCACTATCGTGCCACGTCTGACGTACACAGGACTGTCTTCATGCTTGCAGCCGGTGTCTACTGGACTGGCTTCCTCAAGGACATGCTCTGTCTGCCCAGGCCCCTGTCGCCGCCCCTCGCCCGCATCTCCATGTCGGGCTCCGCTGCCCTCGAGTACGGCTTCCCCTCGTCCCACTCTGCCAATGCCGTGTCCGTCGCCTTCTACGCCATATACACGCTGCGCCAGTCGGCCGACCGCGACACCTCCAACTGGAACATGGGTCTGCAGGCCCTCTTCTACTTCTATGCGCTTTCCATCATCGCGGGGCGCTTGTATTGCGGCATGCACGGTTTTCTAGATGTCCTGGTCGGGAGCATCATGGGTGCCTTGATTACGGCTTTCCAGCTTGTATGTGGGGACTGGATGGACTCGTTTGTCTTTAGTGGAAGTTATATGGACATTTTCATCGCAACTCTGGTCGTGTGCGTTCTGGTCCGCGTCCACCCGGAGCCCGCCGACGACTGTCCATGCTACGACGACAGCGTGTCCTTCTCTGGCGTTGTCATTGGCATCAATCTCGGTGCATGGCACTATGCGCAGACTGGTTACGCAGTAAAAGACGCCTATCCGTCGTCCGTCCCATTCGACCTGGAAGAGATGGGTCTGCTGAAAGCGACCATTCGCATCCTGCTCGGTGTTGTCGTCATCTTTGTCTGGAGAGCGACTATGAAGCCTGCCTTGTTTACCATATTGCCGCCCATCTTTCGCATTCTAGAGCAAGCCCGCTGGAATATGCCCCGCGCCTTCTTCCTGAACGCCTCCAAGTACAAGTCTATCAAGCCTTTCGCTGACGACGACAACGTCATCCCACCTGCGTCAGAGTTGCCGCACATGCTTAAGAATCTCGCTCACCCACGCAAGAGATCTGTATCTGTCGGACCGCAATCTGCCGCTGATGCTTACGAAACACTTGCCTACCGAAACCGAAGGCGACGGGAAAGCGTCAATTCGCTGGATGGTGCTGTACCTGAAGACTCGGCCTGGGTTCCCAGTCCAGCTGTTCTCGATACGCCCAATATCGAAAAGGGGGAGCCATTGCTTGGTGCCGGTCTCCTGCCTACACCCATGGCATCACGTGTGCATTCGTATGAGCAGATGATGGGCACAGGAGAAGTACAGACGGAGGAGAAGAGTATAACAACTCCCCCAGAGAGCGATACAGACGTTGCTGGCGACGTCTACAAGCTTACACAGAGCCCGACTGAAGAGGAGAATGAGAAGCGAGAAATCTTCATGAAGCTTACGACGCCACGAGTGCGCTATGACGTTGAGGTGGTCACGAAGCTGATTGTGTACACTGGTATGTATCGCGCATCGATAATCTCAGCGATGACTGACCATGGCAGGAATCGCATATATAGCCGTTGCAGCTAACCCGATGTTGTTCGAGTTCTTGGGTCTGGGCATGGGCGATCAGTCGTAGTTCGCTTGTCACGTTTCCTTGCTGTGCATTTGTCAATAATTTCCTGGTCTTGACGGCCTGTCTAATGAAATACTGATGTGGATCAAAAATGACCTTTCTGTCTCGAAACTTGGTTAGAATTTACGGGCTTAATACTCTTAGCCGTACGTGCCACCCTTGACAATCTCCTTTGTCTCGCCCATGGTGCCAAAACAGCAATGCTCGACCTTTCCCAGAGGTCCCTCTCTGGGATCATCCTCAAGTAGCACGCCAAAGCGTAGTTTCGTCTGTGTCAGCTCTTTAGGAAAGGGATCTCCGCCCAGACACGCACCCACGCTCAGGTGATCCAGGGTAGGGTTGCGGGTTGTGGCCATAATACGGGAAAAGAGCACGTCAGACGCTACTCCATTCTCATAAAGTGACCATGCGCCGACGAGTATAAAGGCAAAAGTGATTGCAATGACAATTGCGTACCCAATCCAGAGGGAGCGCCTGTAGTACACATACACCATCATGGTACGTGATTTCACGCAAGGTACCTCCTGGTCCTGTGCGACGACCAGCTTGGGCTCATTGAGCAGGGTGATGAGGATATCTTCGAAGAAGTCTTGTATCTCGGTCTTCAGGTCCACCAGCGGATACGATGTGCTGCTGTTGGCCAGTCGCGTTTCAGACAGATCCGAGTAGGTGACCAGGAATTTTTGCTGCTCGATCTTGCCACGAAGGAAGCGACGTAAAAGCGAGCCCATAGTGTGATACGAGGCTGTCAACTTGTACTTTTCTACATCTTGGGGCTTAACGGGATCTCCGCCAATGACAGGACGCAGAAACACTCGGTCTCGACGCGTTGCAGACTGTCTGGGGTTAAACGTCATGTCGAATGTGTAATTGGTGTACTGCATGACGCATTTGAATATCCTAGGCTCGTGAACGTTTCCCCATTTGGCTCTATACGAGCTGTCATCTGGATACGGTGTGGACGTATTGACGCTACATGTGGGCGTTCAAAGTCAGTATGTCTCAATGCAGTTTGTACAGGGACACGTACGCATACCCGATCCAAAGAACAGGTTCGCTTTTAAAGACACCCAAAGACGTCCCATTGACTCCCGGCTCTTGGTGCCCGTAGTCGCCTTGGTCAACGTCCGCAGAATACACAAGGCTCCCATTCGGTGCAAGATCAGCAAAGGTGAAAGGCGCATCGGATCCATCGGTATCGTCAACATCGTCGCATTTGTACCCGGGTGCAATGAATCCAATCGTGTACGTGCAGTTCCAACCGGATCCACAAAACACTGAAGATGCATTCTCCCGGGGTTGTGGCTTCTGCATGTACACACTACTAAAGGCCAAGCGGCGTGCATTCTTCGACGGCTGGTCATAGTAGTCGAAATAGCCCTCGTCTCTAAGATCTCGTTTCTCTTCTGCAGCTGGCTGGGTGGTATTGTAGAAGTTTAAGCTTTTCAGCGAATATTTACTCATGTCCCGGAAGTCGTATGTAGACTCCTGGGCAAAGTTCAGGGTAGCCACAGAGCACGTAACATTGTCATTGAAAGTTCTGAGCTCAGATGTGAGCGACGCCGGAGACAGCACGGATGCAAGCGGTAGTAACTATGCCGTCAGTACAGACATATCGTCAAGACTTGTAGACTTACCCAAGTACAGGCGGCCATCAATGTGGCAAGCTTGCCGTTTCTGATCATCTCCCAGTTTAGGAAGAACTGCGTCGGGTCTTCTGTTGCAGAGAACAGGCCATCAATGCCGTTAATCGTCATCGCCTTTCGCCGAAACGTGTACCATATCCGCTGACGATTACACATGATGACAGTCCCAACAAGCGTGCTTTTCACGAAGAATGCCAAGGCCGTGCCGTACCTGACCATCTTCAATTGCTCGATGGCCGGCTGCCCGTCGAGGTGCATGTAGAACGAGTGGTGGCCCACTGCTGCCGCGAACCCAGCCAGGAACAACACTATGATGAGTGCTGGGGTAGTCCAATATATGTGCCATTGCGCCAATTCCCCAGAGCGGCGGTCGACCAGAGCTTGCGTGTCTGCATCCCAGGCCTTCTTGTGATAGAGAGAGTTTAGGGTGTGTGTTGACTCCCTCGTCGAGCGTGCGGAGAGACCAGGACTCGTGTATCCTTCACGAACAGGCTCATATCGACCCTCCCCATGTGACAAGCCAAAGTATGCTCCCGGCTGCAGCCCTTCTCTTGTGTGACTGTCCTGCGGCGGCTGAGATAGATAGGCGAGCTCGATAGGATCGGATTCTGAGCGGAACGGGTCGTAAGGTTCGGGACGCGAATCTGGGGAAACGTCTCGGGAAGAGTACGCCGACTGAGGTCCTCGGGAGGTCATCGTAACTGCGATTCTGGGGATCTGGGAGACTGCAGCACAGTCATGGGAACAATACCACAATGCTAGCGTTCGGCGGAGGGGTTACACATGCGACACAGCGAGTGTACGCAACATCTCAACAAGAAGACGACTGCGGGAAAGGCTCATGGGCGCACATGCTATCGCATTCACATTCCTCGAGAGGTTGGAGTAGAAAGGAGACGGTGCTGGAGCTTATCCGAATGGCTTCGACATGGCCCCGCTAGATATGGTCCATTCCGGGGAACTGCGCTTTCGTGGCGCGACGGACTGGCTATTGGTAGGGCATTAACGCACTAAGCGCTACTGCAGGCGGGTGGCTGGAAGCTGAAGAAACTCGATAGCTGAAGTGCTTCATTTTCTCGACGCGCTCGATGAGGCGAATGCAGCGTGATAACTATGCGCGTTGGGGGTGTTCGAGTTCAAGTTTAGTGACGCTGTTTCTGTTGCCAAGCTGCGTCATGAAGCTTGATATACAAAGCTAGTATTTCTCAGTCGCGCCTTACATGGTATCTTGCAAGCTACAAAGCACATAAGTGTGCATTGTAAGCCATATTAGAAATGGCCCGAGGGATCATGTAGGCTACATTCGGTTTTCGTAATAGCATTGGAGAAGCCGCAGTCTACAAGAAAAGCTACTCACCATCCACCTAGTATACCGCAGCAATGTAAAGCCGACATAATCAGGTAAGCACAATTGCCCCGTCGGTTGCATGTTCACTAACGAACGTGTCGCGCATAGAAGGCAGTGGAAGACAGAGCGGGGCATGAGTAGGCGCGAAACCACGCGACATCCTCGTGTTTCTTTACCAGCGGACCCACCTCGACTACATTGGGCTTACAAATGCCGCTTTCAGGAACGAGCTTTGCCGATGTCTGCCATGTTTGAACGCTGTTCCATTCTTTACCCTGAACCTTCGCCGAAGATCCGAGTAATTCCCGGCGATGCAGGTAAAGCAGCATTTGCCGCACTGACGGATCCGACTTCTAGACCGGCGGTTCACGAGCAACACCGCAACAGGCAAGCCGCTATTGGATCTTCCCCATGGTACCACTCATGTACCAAGCTAATCGTCTAGGATAGCCGCAGTCTACAGGGGAGCTAGGCTGTGACGTGAAGTGAGCTAGCCCCTGTTGTTGTTGCGTCACTATTCGGACCTTCGACCACCCCACATGCACATGGCAGTACATAAAAAGAGCAGACACCGTCATGGCCGAGACGTCATAAAGCTCCCAATTTTTCTTGAGGACTTTAATTGAAATATCACGACGCCCGCTCTCCAAAACCAAATCATTCATCAAACACAAACAACTACAACATGGCACCATCAACGACAAAGGCATGGACGGTCCAGGGCCAGAACGGCTTCGACTCTCTCACATTCAATGAGCAGGCCAAGGTGCCTGAGATTGGAGACAAGGATGTTCTCGTAAAGGGTATGTACAATCCATTGAGTGGTTGTTCGCCGCAATGCTGATCGATTGACAGTTCACGCTGCGTCGCTAAACTACCGCGACCTTATCATCCCCATGGGCAAATACCCCTTCCCAATGAAGGACAACACTGTACCCGGTTCAGACGGTGCTGGTACTGTAGAATCGGTCGGCAAGCATGTCACACGCTTCAAGCCTGGAGGTTCGTATTTTTCTACACGTGTACAGATGCACAGTCTAACATATCTCAGACAAGGTGGTCACACTCTTCAACCAGGGCCACATTGCCGGCTCCCTGGACGGAAAATCTCTTGGCACAGGCCTTGGAGGCGCCATTGATGGCACTCTCAGAGAATACGGCGTCTTCGATGAGGCTGGCCTTGTCCAAGCCCCGTCCAACCTGAACATGCTCGAAGCCTCAACTCTCTCCTGCGCCGCTCTCACGGCCTGGAACGCTCTTTACGGCCTGGAGTCACGCGCTCTCAAGCCCGGTGACACAGTCCTCACACAAGGTACCGGCGGTGTATCAATCTTCGCTTTGCAATTCGCAAAGGCAGCCGGCGCCAAGGTGATTGCTACTACGAGTTCCGCAGAGAAAGCCAAGATTCTGAAGAAATACGGTGCCGACCACGTCATCAACTACAAGGAGACCCCCAACTGGGGCGAAGAAGCTGCAAAGTACACACCCAACGGCGCAGGCGTACAGCATGTTGTCGAAGTCGGTGGCCCGACCACAATGGCGCAATCTCTCAAGGCTGTCGCTATTGATGGAGTCATCTCCATTATTGGCTTCATTGGTGGCGGTGGAAAGGAGCAGCCTACATTCCTCGACTGCTTGAGCAACATCTGCACTGTACGTGGTATCTTGGTGGGTTCCAGACTACAGATGGAAGATATGTGCAGGGCGATTGAGGCCAACGACATACATCCTGTCGTCGATGAAAAGGTGTTCGAGCTCAAGGATCTCAAAGAGGCATACCAATACATGTGGGATCAGAAGCACTTTGGCAAGCTTACCGTCAAGGTCGCTGCTTAGAGTTTGGGATGTAGCAAATAATAATATACGAATTACTTCACCACCCACAGCAACATGAGCTCTACATGATGTGAGCAGAAATTACAAACATCCGGAGAATGGATTAGTGCTACGCTGAAGTATCTACGAGAACCGCCCAGAAAATTCCTTACGGTTGTATCTGGATGCAAGAACAAAAAGAGCAAAAACCATCCACTTTCGAAACATGCGTGCCATCTGCCATCTAGGCGAAGAACAAAAACAGAATAGAACAAAACAAAACAAGAACAATGCCTCCCAACTATGCAAAACAATCATGCCACTGAGGCGATGGGTATCATGGGGTATCAAGGTCGTGACCGTCGTAAAGAACCTCGTAAGCGACCGAACACCATGCTATGCGCCGCAAAACAATCCCAAAAAAAGTCCCAGCCAATCAGTAATGTAAAAATGAAAGTAAAATCCGTGATTTTGAATAATGAAAGCTTGCTCACTCCAGTTCGGTAGTAGGCTGTCCGGCTAGCAGAGTGGCTGCAATACGCTTGCGCGCGTCGTCCATACCGTTAGTAGCAACAACGCGGTCAGGGGCATCGCCACGGATAAGGACCAAAGCATTCATAAGAGTGAAGACACCGCAGTCGCTTCCGTTCAGCTGCTGTCCGCTCCGCTGGGAGGTTTCTTTGGTCCATTCCCCAGGAATCCAGTGTTCGCCAAGCTCCTTCTCGAGGTACGCCACTAAATGGTCGATGTACTTCTGTCCGTCAAGGCCCATGGAGTCCAGGTACTCGATGGAGCGTTCCTGGGGATAGACCACAAGCAGGCGCCAATGTCCTTTGTCGCAGATGGGGTAGAGGATAAGGTCAGCATCTAGGTATTGCTTGCCTTTGAGCTGGAACCTATTGGTCCAGCGCGAGGTATCGGGGGTCTGATACCAGAAGGACGAGAAGGCGTGAAGTGGAGGTGCGGGGCCGTTACGTTTGTGTGCAAAGCCCATCTCCTTCTTCTTTGCGGCGACAAGAATGGACAGATATTCGTTGACAATGTTGTCATTCAGCCAAGCCCTCGGATCGCCGTTGAAGTCCCGAGGCAACAAGGTCGCAAAGTCCCGAGCATACAATTTCTCTTCAATGACCCACTGGCTGGCGTTGCGGCCGTGGTTGGTCTTTGCTGCGGCATCTTGCAGTATCTCTTCTTCTCCAGCAGAGAGCGGCGCGACAAGTGGTCTCGGCGGCGGTGGTGCCAGGGCAAGCTTCCTCTGTACTTCTCTCTGGAGATCCTCGAAAAGCTCTAGTGATAGCTGGGACTCTTCAAGCGATTCATCTGGGGCATTGAAAGTGTCTATAGAGACACCGCGCCATCCACCGTCCTTGGCAGGAGAATCGAAAAGCGTAATCTTCGGGCTACTGGCTGGTGAAGAGCCGGAAGAGGATGCCGCCTGACTGCCGTCTGATGCGCCACGGTTAGGATTCTGGAACACATCATGGTAGTTCTTGACCGGGCTGGAGGTGATAGTCTCTAGCGTGGAGTCGAGCATTTCGCTAACTCTCTCATCAAAGTAAAAGGGCTTGCATTTAGCATTCTTTTCCCAACGTACTCCCTTCCTGCGCGGCGGAGTAGGTGCATCAAGAAGAAACGACAAGTCGTTTTCGTATTCAAACTCTGGGGTAGCAAGCACAGAGTCAACTTGCATCGGCGAACCATCAGTTTCTGATGGAGAGTCGTGAGGTTTGTGTGTGTGTGGCGCGGGAGGAGATGCATACGACAAAGCATCTGTAGTGGAGGAGTCTTCAATGGCTGCCTCGGGATTGGTTTGAGGCGACTGGGTCTCGGCAAAACCTTGTTCCGCAGACTCCGTCAGAGGCGCGGCCTGTCTGCGCTTGATATCATTGCCAAGCTGCAGCTTCAACAGCTGGCGTCGCATAGGTGTAACTGTGGGCAGTTTGATAGCACGCTGGCTATTGCGGCTTGAGCTGGGGGTTGCTCTTGCGGATCCTTGCGCAGATGGTGTAATATGCTGAGAGGTATGGGCAGTAGGAGACTGAGAAAAGAGCCATGCCGGAGCTGCATTGTCGCAAGCAGGCGATTCGTATGCATAGTCGTGCGACTGGGGAGACGGGGTTGGGCTCGCTGGTGAGTCAATCTGAGTGGAGTCCCAGGACACGTTTATGGGAGAGCCAGTCTGGTAGTTCCGTCCCGGGGTGGACGTGAGAATGTTGTCGAAAGAGAAGTCGACATTGACATCGAGGGATGCGTTTGCGCCTTCAGAGTCGCCAAATTCGGGCTCGAGGGATGTGTTCACGTTGTTGAAGTAGCCGCCTGCGGGTGTAGTCTCTAGTCCGTAATCTTGTGTATTGGCTGGTGACGTATGTCGAATTGGTGAGTCGCGGAACTGACGCGGGCCCAGGCTACTCTTCCACGACTGTGACGCGCACGCCTGCCTTTGGTGTTCGCGACGCGTTTGGTTCGCGCGCGCGCGCACTGAAGGGGAAGGTGTCGCGTACTCTTCATCTGCCACGCCTGCAGCAATGAAGCGCTTCTTGCTGGAGCCAGTCGAGGAGATGATCGGGATCGCCTTGATCGTCTGCCGGCGGAGGTATCGGGTTGCGAGGCGCGCTGGAAGTGAGAGCAGGCTGGCAACGCTGACGGTTGCAGCCCACTTGCCGAGCGTGCTGAAGAGAGAGGCGCGCGGAGGTATGACTTCCTCGGTGGTGGTGGTGGTGTCGTCTTGCGGCCATCCTCCTGGAACATGCAGGTATGCTTCGGAGGAAGGTGCGGTGTGCTGCGCCTACCGTCGTTGTGAGTTTCATCCAGGTCAATACCTACAGCGAGCACTTACCTGCAGTTGTGGAGCGCCGGAGCCATTGGCAGTGACCACTGGCACATCCGCAGGCATGCTAGAGAGGTAGGCGCTGTATGCGCGTTTTGCGGGCATTGTTGCTATTACTTGTCGCGTTGGTGGTTGCGATGGGCAATAGTGACAATCAAGTGTGAAGTGGAGAAAGGACGAGGGTCGCGGTTGCTGCACAAAGCTGCCCGCAGTAGCGTCCGCCCAGTTGTGCACGGATCCCAGCGGCAGTTCGCGCTAAATCCTCTGCGGCTCTTGGTACCCGGCGCGGACAAACGATTCTCCGTTGCGGCCAGCGCTCCCAGGGCTGTATATGCCTGCGGTGCGTGGTGTTGATTTCCCCCATATTCCTGTCATAGACCCTGCTGCCGCCCTTGATATCCCCTTGTACGCCACACCGTCTCTGATTATACCATCCCTCGAATTGAAAGTCGCTCCCGCCTACTGCCTCCATTCGCGTCTGCTGCACGTCATTGGCCGAGTTTGAAGGGCAAGAACCCCTCGACAGCTCTACACCACAACAACCGATCGTCCACCCCACCTACATCGATCCCGCCGCCCCGCAACCATGGATACCAATATGGAGGACGTCAAGATGCCAGAGCCCATGCAGCTGTCGTCTGCCCCCACGTCTGAGCCGACCACAATCCCCACGCTGGATGGCTGGATCGAGAGCCTCATGAGCTGCAAGCAGCTGGCCGAGAGCGATGTGCAGAGACTATGCGACAAGGTATGCGACATGGCCTCGCGCAGAAAAACTGTCCATATTACATCTTCTGACGAGCATTGTGCTACAGGCCCGCGAGGTACTCCAGGACGAGTCCAACGTACAGCCAGTGGTACGTACCATCCCCCCCTGCGACTCGGATATCCACTTACCTTGGTACAGAAATGCCCCGTCACAGTCTGCGGTGATATACATGGCCAGTTCCACGATCTGATGGAGTTGTTCAAGATCGGCGGCCCCAACCCGGACACAAACTATCTCTTCATGGGTGCGTTGCCTGCCCCAGCGGCATTCATCCATACTGACATCAACAGGCGACTATGTCGACCGAGGCTACTTCTCCGTCGAGACTGTGACCCTTCTGGTCGCGCTCAAAATTCGATACCCCCAGCGCATCACCATCCTCCGTGGCAACCACGAGTCCCGTCAAATCACCCAAGTGTACGGCTTTTACGACGAGTGTCTCCGCAAGTACGGCAACGCCAATGTGTGGAAATACTTCACAGACCTTTTCGACTACCTGCCGCTCACTGCCTTGATCGACAACCAGATCTTCTGTCTGCACGGTGGTCTCTCTCCTAGCATTGACACGCTCGACAACATCAGGGCGCTTGACCGCATACAAGAGGTGCCTCACGAGGGACCAATGTGCGACCTGCTCTGGTCCGACCCAGACGACAGGTGCGGCTGGGGAATCTCACCCCGCGGTGCAGGATACACGTTCGGTCAGGACATCTCAGAGGCCTTCAACCACAACAACGGCCTGACCCTAGTGGCACGTGCTCATCAGCTAGTCATGGAGGGGTACAATTGGTCGCAAGACAGGAATGTCGTGACCATCTTCTCGGGTAGGCTGTTCCCCGTTCCGTCCCTAATTGCATGACTAACATTCTACAGCACCCAACTACTGCTATAGATGTGGCAACCAGGCCGCGATCATGGAGATTGATGAGCACCTGAAGTACACCTTGTAAGTTTTTCACCTTGCTGAACATCGTTGCGCTTCTCTAACGCAACCACAGCTTGCAATTTGACCCTTGCCCACGTGCTGGCGAGCCCATGGTCTCACGAAGGACCCCCGATTACTTCCTTTAGATGGGCTCTCAATCTGGACTCTTACCGCTATCTTAGCACAGCGCTACACTTGAAGGCATCACTGAATACACTGTGTACGATTGCGTTCCTGGTCACCAAAGCCGTCAGAAGTGGCGGGAGATGCGTGACACTGACGTGCTCGCTTGAAGTAAGGCTCGCACTGTCTAGAAGACCCCAAGAAGCCATACTAGAGACGCGTGGGAAAGTTACAACAGGTTGTGATGTAGCTTGTGCACAGACTTATAATGGTGGAGACTTGATTGCAGTGCTTGGTACTCCCTTTTTTGTGAAGAACGTCCGATATTCTCGATTAAATCTTGCGTCGAGACTGATGATTTTTATGGCGATATCGTGATCGTGTTGTTGTCGCAGTACTGCAAGGAAGTGTTCCAAAAAACCAGACGGTCACGACTTGGTGACAATGTTCATTTCAGACTGAATGCAGACTTGTGATCCGTTCAGAGACCCAATTGTTGTAATTCAGGTCCTCTGGCATGGACAATAAAGTCAACGTCCGGCGTGTCCGTGGCTGACGATACAACCGGCAATGGTAGCTGAGTCAGCCACATCTACTGGTGCAACTCGAACTTTTGTCCACCGCGAACATCTCGAGCCACACCACAGCGCCCACCATGTCTCTCACATTCTTGCGACTTCTTGCGCGGCCCTCGGTCCTCTCCATAGCCCCATTCGCTCCGGTGCGATCAACCCGACCCTCAATTGCCGCCACCGCTTTCCAGCACAGCACACCGGCTTTCGCAGTCAGCCCAGCACCAGCATCGCGCGCAAACAAATGCACATTAATACAGGTCCTGCGACAAGGGCGGATAGCGCAGAAGGCGCGAAAGCTCCGATCGCCACAATTGAGGGATAGGCCGGAGCTGAAGGGCGTATGTCTGAAAGTGGGAACGACGAAGCCGAAGAAACCCAACTCGGGCGAGAGGAAGATTGCGAGGGTCAGACTGAGTACGGGCAAGGTCATTACAGCCTATATCCCAGGAGAAGGTATGGAAGAGCGGCGTGGAATCAACTGGCGGAAAGACTAACCAGTGGTTAGGGCACAACGTCCAGCAGCATTCAGTTGTCATGGTACGAGGTGGCCGCGCGCAAGATTGCCCTGGTGTCAAGTACCATTTGGTCAGAGGAGCGTTGGATCTGGTAAGACATACAGCGGTCAATGTCGACGATGCTAACAGCTTGTAGGGTGGTGTTGGTAGCCGGATCACCTCGCGGTCCAAGTACGGAACAAAGAAGCCCAAGACGGCGTAGGCGGAAGCTGCTGTGGAGTGTATATGATTGTACCATACCCGCATCAATGGCGTTGGAATACGGAGAACTTGGAAATGCCATGTGTAGTCATGCAAGGTGCGTGATTTGGGAACTCGCGTGAATCATGATGCTCGACCTGTCACAGCATACCAGGAAGCCCGTTGTCATCAAGTGCACGCTGAAGGTATACGCTGCTACTTTGTCTGCAGGTTTTCCAAGCACAACAAATTATACACCTTCAAGGCCAGCTTCGCCTAGCTATAGTTTCAGGTGTACAATTGGAGACACGAGCTCACTCGTACCCGACTAGTTTTTAGCACGTGAATTCATGGTATCCATTACCATTTTAAGGAAAGACTGTGGTGTGTTTGCGAAGAAGCTTGTGTGACGTGTTGTCCTCTAGCCTACTGCACCTAAACGCAAACAATCTATCCTATCTCCTACTACATTAGTATAAGGCATCGCCCATCTCATTGGAGTAAGTTTCGTGTGCTGGGTACAACCTATTCGACAAGCTCCATACCTCGGAGGTGGAGCGGAGGCTTACCCATGCAAGTAGCTGCAGCCCGCACGCTCGGGTCGCGTCATCCCCACGCTTCACACGGCCAACTTGCGGACCAAGCTACCACCCACCCTCAAGCATTCCCATAACGCTTGACACAACTGTTGCTGCGAATTGTGTCTACTTCACAGCTACCATGTTTCCAGTCGAATAACTGCCTAATCCCTTCGACGTTTCACGTAGTTCTGGTTCTACTCGGATATCCGCAGTCGTCGGCAATGGAGACTCCCGGCGCGTTTGCCAACGCGACTTCCTTCTTGCCGTCGCCGGCGGACTTGCTCATGGCACTGCCGCGTCTGTTCTCCAAAGCCAGCTCTCTTGGCGACATGATGCGCTCGGGCGGAAGCGTTATCGCAGAGCCGACAGCCAACTTGACTAACAGCACCATGACAACTGCAACCCCTGGCTTCGTGCAGGAATCCATTGCTGCTGCGGCTTCGGCGGCTGCAGCACCTGAGGGCGACATGACAGTATGGCAGGCCTTGAGGAATGTAGCCGCCTGGTTCAGCTACATCACTTCCAAATGGGCCATCGCAACCTTCGCGATCGTAAGCCTAAACTCATGGACTCTGCACTTTTCGTACTAAATACATGCTCGCAGGCAATCATCCTCAACAGAACTCACTTCTATGGAAACAGCCGCGTTCCGCTATCCTTCGACCGCCTTTACCTCCGTTTCGCTCTCTACATCATGCCCCTGGTTCTGTTTCTCTACCAAGCACAGAGCATCCTACGAGCCATACGATGCCAAACCTCGCCAGGGTGGTCGACAATGCAATATGGAGCGGACGAACGGCAGCTGGACACAGACTTTGGCGGCGAAGGCGGTTATCTGTGGCAAGTCGCATCGGCGGTGCTCTTCTGGGAAACCACCGAGGACTCATGCCGAGCTGCAAACATGCTACCCATGGATCCATCAGGCACGCGGTCCTCTGGGTCACTAGCGCTTCTATGGCCCATGTTTGTGACCCTCGGGTTTGGTCAGTTTGTCGATACCCTGGCGTGCGCCCTGCAGGGAAGACGTCCGATCCAGGAAGTCGGCATGACCATATTTGAACATTCGCTCGCATTTGCAGAGGCAGAGGCAGTGGTGACGAAGCCGCTGGCGGTCGACTCCACACGCTTCTTCAAACCAAAGTCGGTCTTCACCCCAGACGGCACCTCCCTCATGATTCCAAGGTCGAAGCTTTCCAGGATGGCCAACGTGCCGCCAGAAGTATTGTTGATATCTCTCATCTCTAGTGTAAGCCACTTCGTAAGCAACCTGTTAGCAATTGCTGGGGTGCGCTCGAGATGGCGATTAGTGACGACTACGATGTGTGGGCTAGCATACATGTCAGCTTTCGCCTGGAGTTGTGTCCGTCTCACCAGGATGGTCACTGATCCAGATCACTACGTGGGCATCTTGAGATTTCCCACTGTTTGCATCATTGGGTTCATCCCACACCTGCTGATACTCGTGGGCATCGCAGTGTGCGCACTAATCTACCTCTTGGCTTTCCTTGTTACCGTAATATCCCCGCCTGCAGGACGCACCGAAAATCTGACATTGGGAGAGAGGTTCTCTTTGGCCTATGGTAATCTACATGCCAACATTCATCTATCCTCGATCACGCCCTTGACCATCAATTGGCACGAAGACTTCTACACCACTATACTCAAGGTAGGCTATGTCATCTTGACCTCGGCGAGTGAAGCCGTGTTCCTTAACGAGGGAACCAGAGTCAACGTCCATGCAATGACCTGGCTTGAAAAGCAGAGATTACAGGAACTGCTTGCTCGACGGCGAAAAACCCGAGAGATGATCACCAACATCCCATCTGAACTCAGAAACGATACGTTTGCGCAGGGCGTTGAGGTGACTGACGAGCTTAGTGATGTCAGGACGGATACATCATCGTCAGGCTACGCAAGAGAGCGCAAGACGCGAGGTGTAGCCTCTGCAGATTCTTCTAATGCCATGGGACAGAATGACCCCGCGCTCCAGCAACGCAGTCGCTATCTCCAAACGTACCAATTCTTCTTCCGCATATCAAAGTTGATCGTCCTCAGCCTTGCAAAGATCACAGACTGGGCATTGGCCAAGGTGGGGATCAGCTACCGGCCTAGATGGCTACGACGTACTGTGGGACTTGGTGATGATGATGGAAAGATGTATGCTTCAGCAGCTGGAACAGGCCGATACCAAAACCAAACTACATCAGCAAAAGAGCCATGGCTTACCATGGATGACCGGTCCCGGGTTCGTCAGAATCGAGACTTCGACGTGGAGTCGTTCGCGAAGGAGAGGCTCCGACAGAGTGGCTTTTACTCTCAACCAGATGCCGAGGACTCAGAGAATCGTCTCGACGACTATTTGTACTCCTGGTGGCGCAACGGTAGTCTCTGGAACGAGGTTGATAACAGCCGGGACTATGTTGTTCCACAAGACGACGACACTACGAGTGTCGTATCCTATGCTACCACGACAGACAGCGACGAATGGTCGGACGTTGAGGATGGCCAAAGGACGCCTACACGCGATACCTACCAGCGGAGTCGGGAAGAAACACCCTTGGCTGACGATGCGTTGGATTTCTCCCGTCTTTCTCGACTCCTCGACCCAAAGACCAGGGAAGATCGAGAGGAAGCCAAGCTGCTGTCACGCCATCTCCAGAGCTCCAACATCATGACACGCTCGCAGTACCGCAGGGCTGTGGAGCGCGAAGAAGCCAAGATCCTAACAACATCACGCTACAAAATGGGCGATAGTGGCAGCATGTCTGCAGAAGAAGAGGAGCAGCTTCTGGAAGACCTCATCCTCAGTCGCCGGAGCGCGGCTGCACCGCAGGGCGCGAGCAATGCTGGGAGCTGGGACATGGGAGCAGAGGGCATGGGCTCGGAGGGACCACAGTGTGTGGTTTGTCAGATGTCGCCAAGGACTGTGCTGGTATGGCCGTGTGGGTGTTTGAGCTTGTGCGACGATTGCCGGGTGGGATTGGCGTCGAAAAACTATACTGCGTGTGTATGCTGCAGGACGAACGTGGCCGCATACTCACGGCTGTATGTGCCTTGATTATGACTGTTGATCGGTTGGCGTTTTGTTCTTGGCTGTATATATAGATGATTCACACAAAGAAGCCCCTTTCTTCTTAATTCTACCCTAAGCACTAATTGGTCCTAAAGGCATACATTATGACCTTTCTGCTAAAGTTGACCTCGAAATTGCGTAGCTTTTGCGAGTAGGAAAGACATAACAAGCTCCTGTGATGGTGACTCTTTCTTTCGGAACTTATCGGAATGGACCAGCTAATAAGATACTAAGCGGTACTCGTGACGTTTCTACGTGCCAGATGCGAAGGTAATAGTGGGTCTGTTGATGCGATTTGCCAGTGCCATCGCTGTTGCTACCCCACGTTCGCAGCTTCCATCTCGGAGTGGCGATCGTCATATCAGTCACTACATTTCTTATCTTGGCAACCCCAAACCGAGTCATCAACTTCACCCCCAAACTCTCCTCGCACCAACACCACGAAACCATACACCCTCGCGAACGCATCCATTCACTTTGACTGAGCACTGCCATCCAGCTCGGTCGACTGCCCTCATCCACGAACCATTTCCACAATTTTATGCAGCCAGAGCCTACAAACGTATCACAAAACGTTTCCCACGTACAGACCTTTCCCGACCCCGCCACCGCATCCCAGCATGGACAGCACCGCAGCGATGACTTGCAGGACCCTCTGCAGCCTCACTCGGGTGAGCTGTGGGGAGAGACGGGAACACCGCCCGATGCGACGCGTCCACACAAGGCCAGCAATGGAATTGTCGATACTGTGCAACCAGACGGACTGAAGCGCATCGCGTCCCCCTCACCGCCACCGAGGGATAGAATCACTGAATACGAGAATGCGCTGAAGATTTCACCACGGAAACCTGCTGATGGGCCCCTGTTCGAGATTATCAAGAGTAGCAAGAAGCCTAGCGACAAGAACTCTCCTATCTCAAAGCTGCCAAATGGTGTGTACAACGCGAGACTGACAGTGCTTAACATTTGGACACAAGCTGACCTTGCGCAGAGGTCTTGATTCACGCCATTGCCCACCTGTCGCCGAACGACCTTGCTGCCGTTTCCCTTGTCTCTCGCCGTTTCCATGATGCGGTCACCACCCCACACGCCTGGCAGGTGGCTTTTGGTCGCTATTTTCCCGGCCCCCTTTCGCTTGAAGATGCCGCGTTCCGCTCAGCTCTTGAGGGCGATGGCTTGGTCGTGCGGTCAGAAAAGAGACGCTTCACTAGGCTTACGGCATTGGCTTCGTGGAGGAGTGAGTACATTCTACGCACCAGACTCTTGCGGTCGCTCGTTAGAGGCAAGCCTGTGCAGGTCCCCTCAACACCATCCCGCGCTGCTCAGATGCAGACAGTCACCCCAATGATAACCTACGATGCCAAGACGTATACCATCATAAATCACTTGCAGGCAACGTTTGGCTCTGGTCTGAACAAGAAGATGCCGCGTTTCATTCATGGTGCAGACGATATTGGCATGGTGACCAGCAGCGATCCGACGACTGGTAAAGTCGATCCGTGGGGACAGAGCGACCCCCATTTCTACGGTCAATTTTCAGAACGCTTTCCTGGTGTCGCTGAGTGGGGACTGGGCTCCGGAGAGGTTGTCGGACGGCCCAACATCATGGACATATCGCAGCCGTATGGCATGATCTATGGCCAGGGCTGCCCAGAAGGCTCCTGTTACTATCGTTCCCTTGAGGAGATGCGCGGTCGCTTCGTAGCTGAACCCAGCGATTTCTGTATGCCAGAAGTCGGTATACCGAAGCTAGGTATCGACGGTGGTGCCATCTGCAGTGTCTGGATCGCCAAGTCGAGCACAATCCCCACGCTGTCGGAGGGTTTGATTGGGATGATGATGGGCTCTGCAGCTGGTGTCGTCAGTGCTTGCAGTATTGGTACAGATGGTCTCCGTACATCTCGCGTACAACGTGGCGAGCTGACTGCGCGCTGGGTCCTTAGTCCAGGCGTACCCATCATCGCCATCGCCGTAGACGAGCAATACTCAGCCAAGCGCTATGCTCAGAACCGCATTTGGGCGGTCGCTCTGAACGCTCTCGGCGAGGTCTTCTACTTGACCAAATTTCCAACTCGCAGCCAGGCCCCAAAAGATGACATTGAGCAATACTCAGAATATCTAGGCTGGCTTACTGGTCGCAGCGTGTACTGGAATCTGGTAGAGCCTAGCCGGCGCACTGCACGACCAGATCCATACAGTGACGCTGATGTTGACGGCAGCTACTCGCCTCGAACATCGTGGGACGGCATGTGCTTGAGCAAAGAGCAAATCATCGCCGAGACCAGAGAGATACAACAGTTCCTTCGCAAGGAACCTAAGCATTTCCGAAAGACGTGCCTTGGATGGGATATGCGCCGAAGACTTGAGGTCGATTTTGCTGGCGATGACGGCAACCACGCTGGAGAGGCCATGGTTGTCTTCGAATGCGGGCTTGAAGAAGGGGACGTTGCGGACATTAAACGTTTCACTCGATGCAAGACTGACCAAGAAAAAAGTACAACTACCTCGAGTCGTATCATGACGCCTCAGCCTGCGCCGACTACATCCCTGTTCGGCGGTCCAGGCACGGGAGCTCTAGATTCTTCTTCTCTTCGCCAGCGTAGTTCTTCGTACATGTCGACCACGAGTTCGCCAGAACGAGCAAGCCCGTCCGAAGAAGAATGGAGGTGTTCAAAACTCACTTTCGGCGGCTTCAAGAGCACCCAGCTTACCACTACCACTTTAGACGTCTCTACTTTCGCCACTCTAACCCTATCTGAAGATCCCGCGCTTGGTTTCTCGACTTCTTCCACTGCGTCTTCGCCCTACGCTTCCCCAATGTCAGTTGCAAGTCAGCCTGCATCTCCCTCCGACATTCCTGGTCAGCGCGCGAGATTTGTAGCTGCTGGCACCAAGTCTGGTGTGGTGCTGCTTTGGGATATCCGGGCGCCCACATCGCGCTCGTCCGAGTATACAAACAACGTCGACCCTCTTCGGATCATCTACACCGATTCACCAGAGATCTCATGCTTGGCTGTCACCTCTCTTTATCTCGTAGCAGGCGGAAATGACGGCCTGGTACAGGCATGGGACCCGCTGGCTTCGAGTATGTCACCTATCACAACACTTCACTCTCGACACGCTTCGCGTGCTCGGAGACAGCTCGTACAGGCTCAAGCCTCTGTCCAAGGAGTCGGCATCAATATGTTCGCTGCCGGTGCCGTATGTCTGGACCCTGATCCGACTGTCTTGCGAGGCGCAGTATCGCTAGGCAATCAGCTTCGGTTCTGGAGTTACAGCTCATCTGCCGCTGACCAGTACAGAAGCAGCAAACGTAGACTTCGAAGAGCTGAACGCGGAAGTAACAGCACTGCCGAGCGCTTTGCTGGCACGGGCAGAGTCAACTTGAAGAACTACATCGCCAACGAGCATTCTGAGCTAGAGCGTGACAGGCAAGAACGTCAAAAGCAGGCCGAGCGCTTGGCTGGTCGTTTTGGTACGGAGCTATTGAGCGAGGACGAAGCTTTGGCATACGCCGCGATGCTTTCCCAGGAGACCATGGAGGCGGAGGAGCTGCGCCGCATCGAGCGCGAGAGTAGCGCCCTCAGCAGTGAGACTGTAACGCCAGAGCCGAGCAGTCAAGCTCAGCCTTTGTCACCTGCCGTCAAAGATGATGAAGAGCTGGATGCTGACATTGCTGAAGCTATTCGTCTCTCTCTTAATGAGAGCTCTGGTGCTGACATGTATGAACCCGCCACTACGCCGCCTTCCGCGTTCGACATTCCAATCAAGTATGCCAAAGGCAAAAAGTCTCTGCCGTCACGTTCTCAAGGCAGCACCCCCAGAAAAGACAGGAACACTGCTGGATCGAGCAACGAGAGCGAGATGTCGGATTTGGAGTTTGCCATGCAGTTGAGTCTTGCTGAAGAGCAGAGTAGGAAGGATGCTGAAGACGCTTTTCCACCGCTTAGTCCAGCGGCTGGCAGCAAGGGTAAGGGGAGGATGTGGTAGTGTGGACGGCTAGCTGACTGGCTCTCCTGGGCGTTTTTGTTTTCATTTCTTCCAGCCTTCCTGATCCTTGATTGCTGGATTTCTTCACTTCATCGCTCGGCAAGCACGTCACCAGTGTCGCCTTGTCGTGCTTCGTTACACCTCGGAACGGGTTGATCTTTGTGCATTTGCGCTTATTCCGACATGTTTATTGTTTGTAGTACGAAGAAGTTCATCTCTGGCCGATTCATCCAAAGGTAGACACTGTTACTTTTCTACTCAAATTGTAACAGTCCTGCGTAATCTTCCAGAATAGGTTTTGCGCTTGGAAGTAGATCTCGTAAGAAGGACTTTCTCGTAGATAGCCTGGTAATATTTTTTCCACATGCTCAAAATAGTCCTGGCACCCGTCCCTGATCAGTACGACTCGACTTTATTGGCACTTGTCTGCTTCTTCATTGTCCGCTCTCAATGCGGTTAGCTGGGCGCCTTACCGCTCATACCCCTGACCTTTTTGTAGGCTACCACCACGATGTGCTGTCCGCCTTCAACAAAGTATGAATGCAGTAGCTTCGGAGAGTATTTGTTCGTAAGAGTTTGGAACCTGCAAAGTGATCTCGACTCAACGGCACCGGAGTGTTTTGTCCAACAACAGTGAAGGGTCCTTGGGATATACTTTTCTGTGAAACCCTCAGCGTGCTGCATCCACGTTTGGGAGACCAGGTGAACGGGCTTCGAGAGCCTCTCGTCTAAGTTTTGATACGCTCGACAACTACGATACCAGTCTCACAGGAGCGCAGAGCTTGCTCCACATCAACCCCAGAGATGGCTGGGCTATCAATCACATCAGCGTTACTGTCCCCTATCAATAAGCTTCGCGGGAAGTCAAATCCATACCAGAAATCCGGCAATGCCAACAGAACGTCTCACCCCTCAGATACACCCACCAGCGACGACCTTCTCGCTGAAGCACGTCGAGCGGCTGGTCGTGATCCCGTGACTGGACAACGAACTCCGGGCCCCACAAGCAAGAAAGCGAAGAAGCAAAAAATGTCCTTGGAACAAGAGCAGCAGGCCGCAGAAGAACAGAAAGCGGCATTCCTTGCTTGGGCAGCAAAACATCCACAGGCGGCTGGACGACCGTACGAGAGTTACGAGGCTTTTGTTCGGGAGATGGTGGCGAAGCGGACAGGGAGTGTTGCGCCTAGTGGTCGGACGGAATACTATGCGCCTCAGCAGACGGTGGAGGAATACTACTCGACGGGTGTAAGATATTAGACTGTTGGCGCGAACCGAATTTCTTTCTGCGGCGGCGTATGGTTTCCTGAACGGCGCAAATGAAATGTAAGGATGTCTTCTGTTGTAGGCAGCGAGCTTGGAGCAAACCAAGTTGCCCAATGTAGTCGTAGGTAAACACGACACGCGATGAGCGACTTGATCTTACCTTCCTCAGCTCCGTCCACTCCTACTTCATCATTCACTGCTGCAAGACAACCCACACTGTCCTGCGACTCTCCCACGTCCCTCTCACGTCTCTTTCAACAAATCGGCATCATGGGTTCAGTGATGCTACAGCACCTCCCCTCCGCGTGGCACGTCGATCAGGCCATTGTACGCTCCTCCTTGCTCACTCTGTGCCGGCCGCTCACACTACGTAGCTCAGTGAAGAGGCCCGCATAGTGTGCCTCCGTTTCGGAAATGACTATACGCCCGAGTGTATGGAGATGGACGAGATGTTGTACAAGATTGTTGACGCAGTCAAAGACTGGGTTGCCATCTACGTCGTCGACAACAAGGTGAGGTCCCGTCCCTCGCCTGTGCTGTCGTCCCTCGCCTGTCCATGCTGATGTTACAACAGCAAGTCCCAGACTTCAACGCCATGTACGAGATCTACGATCCCTGCACCGTCATGTTCTTTTGGCGCAACAAGCACATGCAAGTCGATTTTGGCACGGGCAACAACAACAAGATCAACTTCCCTATCGGCACGAAGCAGGAGTTGATTGACATCTTAGAAGCCGTGTATAGGGGAGCGAGCAAGGGGAAGGGGCTTGTTGTCAGTCCGAGGGACTATTCAACTAAATGGGCATACTAGTCTGGACTTTGGGGTATGAGAGAAAACGAGGTATCAGGGGACACAAAGCATATCCGACTGATCCAGAGCACTGCAAGTCTGATGAAAGCAAGAGTGGTGATGAGTACTTTTCCAACTTGGTCTATCAAACGGCATCCTTGCCAACTATTACCCACAGCGAAGCAAATAGGCCTGGGCAGTCGCCAGAGATTTTACGCAAGCCAACCAACGCCATGCCTGTTATGCAGTAACCCCGCAAGAAGAGCAGATGTAGCAGTATCAATCCTCGCTATGAACAAAGCAAAACAACGCCAGAAAGGTATGCACCGCCCTAGCAAGAAACGTTAACAAGCACCACTAATGCTTGGAGGAAAACAAATGCAACTTCTTCTTCTTCTTTTCCTTGCCCTCCTTCTCTTCCTTACCAGGCTTCGTGCTGCTCTGCGAGGACGAAGGGCTGTGTTTTTGTGGCTGGCCGTTGAGATTAATGGCGCCCATGGCGGCGGTTGGGGGCTTTGGACCAGCGACTCTGGGACCGGACGGTAGGCCTCCAGGCATAGGGGGCTTGGTGCCAGCAGGGGGCGGCGCAGGTTTTGGCGGCTCAGGCTTCTCGAACAGATGGGCTGGAGCTTTCGGTTGTGGCTGGTCGATAGGTAAGCGCAGGTTGCGGCGGTTCTGACTGAGATCGCCAACTTGGCGGAGAAAGAGCTGCGGCTTCATCATGTGCGATGTGACGAGGAAGACGTCTCTTGAGGTCTTGTTTGAAACGTCGTAGCAGGCGCGGGCTTCGGAATAGGTTGCACCACCAGCTACGAACACGATGACTCGCTGACGGGGCTCTGCACTTGCGAGCCGCGACTTGGCCCATGTCGGCTTTGCAGAGCGAAGTGACGCAGGCGCAGCATTCTCTTGTGCCATACTCGCGGCATCGTCGGGCGACATCTTTGTGAAGGGAAAGACATCCTGCGGCAGGCTACCGCGGACATGCTCTTCTAGCATATCTTGCAACGCGGGATTGAACCTGGACAAGCCGTAATCCTCAGCATTTGGTGGCGGGGCTGGCTTAGGCGGGAAAAGCGGTGGTGGAGCGTCTCTTTTCTCCTTGAGCTGTCTGGCGACTCGCGCTCCAAGGAGGTCAAGGTTGCGAACGACTTCGCCGTCAGTGGGCGGCAGCTGTGCGTGGAAGAGGAGCTTCTGGAGGTCGGCTGGTAGGATCCCATTCTTAAACAGAACGTATAGCGCGACAAGTCGTAGTCGGTCAGCTGGCGTTATCTCTTCATCGTCCAGGGTGCGCACGATCTGGTCAGTCATGTTCTTGGGTTTCCGGTAGTCTTCATCAAGGCCAGTAGCCAGGCACTGCAAAGGTTAGCAACGGTGCGAGCCTACGGTCAGTGCGACTCACCTGCTCGACGGAAGCCAGATCCGGGAGCTTGTGCTTCTGGAAGATCTCCATGCACTTCTGCGCCATGGTGAGATGAAGAGAGTAGGCTTCCTTCATCTCCTGGAACTGCGGCAGTCCAGCGATCATGTCCTTGATTGCATTCAGTCCATTCATGCCGGCGGCGTTCTGGGCGTCCTGGTTGGTGAAATGGGGGTTGTCGGCGATGAACTTTTGGAAATCGCTGATCAGCTTGTCGAGAGTGTCCTTCATGTGCCGGTGGCGGTTCTCGACCCATATCTTGTCCTTGTCGGATATCTCCATGTCCTTTTCCTCGGCCGCGGGATCCTCCTCGTTGACAATGGTGCGGTACGTCACCTTGTCGCTGTCCTGTATCGGCAGCAGGTCCATGGCCATTGCTTGGTATGTGAACTCGTGGAGGAAGGGAGCCATGAGGTCCATGGATCGATCGGTGATGTAGAGGGCGCCGCGGGGCCGGTTTGACTGGGGGGGAAAGTCTTGGTTGAACTGGGCGTACATGTCGAGCTTATCCTGGACGAAGCGGGCAAGATGTGAGCACAAGACGCTGGCCTCGTGGGTTGGGGCCCGCGGTCGGTAGTAGCGGATGATGGGGTATTCGCCCAGTGCGACGCAGATGCCAGTTATCTGGGCGGTTAGCGGAGGTGGCTTGGAGAGGAGAGGCGCCTACTCTTTCAGCAATGTCTTCCATGTGTCGCACTACGAGGTTGTTGCACTCGGGGTGGTAGAGAATGGGGAAGCTCCAGGGGTCTTTGAAGGTGACGAGGTGCGACTCCTGGGGGTGGAAGTCGAGGTGCACCGTCCGGAAGCTCCGAATCTGTTCGCGTGCCATCTGCGACCGGTCTATGCGCTCCTTGAGGTGTGGCGGCAGCAACGTGGTCCATATCAAGAAGAAGCCGCGGTATCTGCGCTGGTCGAACTCGGCCATGATGCAGTCGACGATGTGCGGCTTGGGTGTGATGATGTATATGGCGTCCATGTCGCGTATCGTCTGCCGCCGGTCTTCGATGCGCTCGATGTCTGCGAGGTCAGAAAGTGGCGCTCCGGCAGGGTTCAGCGTCGCATACTTGTAATGTTGAGGTTGAGGATGTCATCTTCCTTGACCACGTTGTTGATCAGCTTCTGGCTGTCCTCGTCCACGATGAGTATCTTCCAGTCGCCGCGGGTGGTCTGCTTGATCGAGTTGAGAATGACTGTGTGTGCTGTCAGCAGCCGTCTCTTCTGTGTGCCCAGGGTCGCCGCATACGCTCTCGTTGGATGTCTATCATGGACGCCATATTGGCGGGGTAGGGCAGCCAATGCCGCCGAAGGAGAATAAGCCGGTGGAGGGTGCAGCTGTGTCGCAGCAGAGAGCCGAGGGTGCGTGTTCAGCGGCACTGGATGGACGCGGCGGGCGTGGTGCTGGGCTGGGCTGGGCTGGGTGGTGGTGGTGTGGGGAGCGCGTCGCAGCTAGAGAGGTCGTGTCGCAACCCTGCAAGGTTGCGGCGACGGTCCCTTGCCCGCCGGAGGTGTCTAGCAGATGCTTGGCTGACTTTTTGTTCGACATGACATTGTCGACATGACATCGTCGACTTGACTTTGATTATCTGCTGCTCTTCTTTTGTTTACGCGCACGATACCCACCATTGGCATGCCTCTACTGCCAGCGCGGCGGAATTCGCTGTGTCTCATTTGCTCTTTCGCCGCCCGCTCACGATCGCATCCCCCACGCCTCCTACCACGCATCCAGGCCGCGCAACGATCACAACGCTCGGACAGCAAGCCCTTGTCGTTCAATCCGCTCAAGCAAAATAACCCATTCCGATCAGGAGCCCATCGTTCCATCAGTCCTTCGTTTGACATAGTCCGGGCCAAACTCGACATAATACGGCGGGAATTCGTGAAGCCAGAGTTCCTCGACAGTCTTCAATTAAGCGCCAAGGAGTTCGACGAGGAATGGCTCACCTTCGAGCGGTCCATCAGCCTATGGATCAAGCAGGCGCCGCCAGAGTTGGTGTCTCTGGTAGGTGAGGCCAAACGGAGAAAGGCTACGCTCGAGACGAGGCTGCGATACATGTTCTATGCGCAGGCCTGTGGCGGACGCTTCACGACGGCAGAGTTGGAGCACCAGAAGGAAGTGGCGGATTTGCGCTATCCCGCCGAGTGGTACCCGGCGACACGAGAAATCACTCGCACAATACACATGCATGTTGGGCCGACCAATTCTGGAAAGACCTACCACGCCTTGAAGCGCCTTGAACAAGTCGACTCGGGCATCTACCTCGGCCCACTACGTCTCCTCGCCCATGAAGTCTACACGCGCCTGAATGCAAAGGGAAAGCCATGCGCTTTGGTTACCGGAGAGGAGCAACGCATGCCCGACGACACTCGCGCCAACATGTACAGCTGCACTGTCGAGATGGCTCCGCTCAACACCAAGTTTGACGTAGCTGTCATCGACGAGATCCAGATGATTAGCCATAAAGAGCGAGGGTGGGCGTGGACACAGGCATTCCTGGGCTTGCAAGCCAAGGAGATCCATCTTTGTGGAGAAGCCCGGACGGTGCCGCTGATGCGCGAGCTCTGTGCCCTCGTTGGCGACAAGGTACATGTACACGAGTACGAGCGTCTGACGCCACTCGAAGTGCAAAGTCAAAGTCTGAGGGGAAATCTCAACAAGCTCGAGAAGGGTGATTGCATCGTCGCCTTTACCGTCCTGGGTATCCATGCGTTGCGCTCAGAGGTTGAGAAGAAGACGGGGAAGAAATGCGCCATAGTATACGGAAGCTTGCCGCCCGAGACAAGAGCCCAACAGGCACGCTTGTTCAACGACCCGGACAACGACTACGATTTCCTAGTAGCTAGTGACGCCATCGGCATGGGCCTCAATCTGTAAGTGGAACCTTACTCCGCTCTGCGGCTGATGCTGACTGGTACAGTGCTATCAAGCGCGTCATATTTGAATCTACCGTCAAAAGCAATGGTTTGGCATATGTGCCCTTGCAGATATCCGAGATCAAGCAGATTGCGGGTCGTGCTGGCCGCTACAAGACCGCTCACCAAGCAACCACTACTGATTCGGAGCAGACCTCGATTGCTGACAGGGCTGTCGACCCCGCCATCGGCCTGGATGACAAGCAACCGGATGCCGTCGAGGCAAAGAGGCCTGAAGCGAAGACTGCAGGATGGGTCACTACACTGGACCACGTCGACCTCGCCAACTTGAAGCTGGGCATGAAACGCGAACCCGAGCAGATCAATTCAGCTGGCCTCTTTCCTCCGTCTCTCATCGTTGAGCGATTCGCAAACTACTTCCCTCCAGGCACGCCTTTCAGCTACATAATGCTACGTCTACATGAATTTTCCGAGATACACCCTCGATTCCACCTCTGTGAGCTCAAGGATCAGCTGGCGATTGCCGATAACATCCATACTGTGAAAGGTCTGAGCATCCAAGATCGTATCATAATCTGCGCCGCGCCTATCAGCATGCGCGACCCGCATGAAAGAAAATTCCTTCGCCAGCTAGCTGCATGTATCGCAGAAGGCAAATCAGGTAGTCTGTTGGACCTTGACACTCTTCCCCTCGGAACGATGGACTTGCCTCCTTCCGGCGACCGCTCATACCTTTATCAACTGGAGCAGCTTCACAAAATGATAGTGTGCTATCTATGGTTGAGCTACCGGTTCCCCAATGTCTTCACCACTAGGTCTCTTGCCAACTACACAAAGAAGCTTGTTGAAGATCAAATCGAAAAGACGCTGAATGACTTTTCTTTCATCGAGCAGGCGAGACTACGGATGAATGCAATGAGAGGACAAGCAAGAAAGGCCATGGCCGCGGAGCCTGAGGATGAGGACGAAGTGGACGGGCCCGCAGTAGCAACGTTGAAGCAACAAATTGCTGCGAATAGATACCCAGATAACTTGCTGGCCAGCAAGTTGGACTCGCTCGCAGCCGAACACGAGAAACGCAATTCGAAGCTCTCGGACGAAGTCGACGAACTGTTGCAAGGTCGCACGCCGGACGAAGCAAGCCGGCACGATGTCATACAAACTAGTCACTAGATGATCTTGTACAAATACACGAGATTCTCCCAAGTCATACACAACGGCCCTTTGCATGAATGCATGTATTACGTATTGTATCTTCTAGTTATCTGTAACTATGTTTCCCCATAGCCGACACTGTTGCAAGACAATGGCAATGGCACCATGTTGAGTGTTTGTAGAGTTACGACGAGACGTCAAAGTATTAGATTTGTACCACCACCTTCAATTCGAGACCTTGCCCGTCGCACGTGCGGCCACCAATATGAAGAAGCTCGACTCTCAATCATTCAAGAACTCCCACCAACCCACTCAGCCCCTCCATTCGCCGCCATCACACTCCCGCTAACCCATCTACTCTGCTCACTGACTAGAAAGCCTACAACATCGGCTACATCCTCCGCCTGTCCCATTCTCCCTCCCTCGGCGACCTTGACCTTTGGTAGCCTCTGGTCCTTCAACGCCTGCACAGCTTCTGGGGGAAAGGACCGTAGGCCAGGTGTATCCGTGAGTCCCACAGACACAGCATTTACTGTCGTTCCTGGAAAGCTATGCGGCAACTCAATGGCCCAAGATCGCACCAGCGACTCCATTGCTGCACGCGTAGCATTGAACAGTCCGGATCCAGGAGAAGGATCTCGTACGCGGTCTGAAGAGATGACTACGACGCGGCTGTGTGGCGTAAAGAGATCCTGACGCACCAGATTTTCCATGAGAACGATTGGCCAGTGCAAGTTTCCTGTTAGAGATTGGCTGATGTCTGCTTCGCTGGCGCTACCTATCCTAGGTCGAGTATTGAAGGCTGCGTTGAAGACGAGTATGCTGAGTTTCTTGCCGGAGAAATGGTTAGCGAGAGCTGTGAGGAGAGTACCGATGGAGGGGAGAGATGTTATGTCTGCGACCGCGCCCTGCATGGTTGGCACCTCATTGTTGGAAGAGGCATAGAGGTCACGGACTGTGGATGAGAGCGTGTCGAAGTTGTGGGCGGATTGGGGGGACGAGTAGGTTCCTAAGATGGAACAGCCGCGTGTTGCGAGTGAGAGAGATATCGCCCGCCCTATCCCTTTTGATGCACCGCTTACTCTGGGTTAGGTCTTCTCGAGCTATGTATGCGAGAGAGCATGTACGGGTTGAGAGGAATAACCTCTTCAAAGGCACGGGGAAACTCAAGTGTGGAAACATGTCTTACGTGACAATGGCGACTTTGCCCTTGAGATCCTGCTCGCGGAGCTGTGGCGCAGGTGGTACGTAATCTGCCATGTCGACTTGTGCATGTAGGAACCGCAGAGAGTATGGGTCAAGTGTAGCTTTAGATGTTGTTTGACTACATGCGATGTTGTGTCACGGGCGGGCGAGTCGTGGAAAGGGGCTAGCGCGAGATGAGCACATGGGCCAATTTCCCAGTGCCGGGCGCATCCGTCATCCATCAGCCTCTTTCACGGTCACCGTCGTCTCCCTACCGAACGCAGCCAAACTCCAGTCTTAGCCAGAGCATAGCTACGCCTATTCCGCTTTCCCATCGACGTGGAGATTGACTGCGCGACCAGCCGCGACCATGATGGCGCCTTCTCACCTGCTCGAGATCCCCAGGCCCAAGGTAAGTCGAGCAACACGGCGCGCCCAGGCAGTCGATACCACGTGCTGCAGCAGGACGAGACTGACTCTGGCCTGCAGACGTTCCTCCAGAAGATGTCGCTCCGCACAGGCGCCGAAGTCATCACCTTCCTACAGGTCATCAACAAGGCGTCCGGCGTCTACGGCCTCCTCGCGCTGCTTACGGGAGCGAAAATCGACGGCTGGCAGCTGTCCATGTACCTCTACTCGACCTTTGCGCTCGTCGCCACCACATTCCTGTACAAGCACATCCGGTTACAAAGTCCCTTTGAGTCGGTCCTCCTGGCGCACCTCTATGCGCTCGACTCGGTCATCAACGCCCTGTACACAGCCTTCTTCGGCATCGCATGGTTCTACACACTCGCCGCACACCCCGACGAGAATGCCGGCCTGTCGCCTGGTATGAAGGACAACGCGGGCTTCACAAGCCCCAAGCACAACGTCACGCAGGTTGACATCATCGCCGAGCCGACCGAGGGCATGCAGGCCGGCCAACACGCCGTAGCAGTCGGACAGGGCGCAGATGGTGGCGCGGGACTCGGCAACGCCGTCTTCCAGAGCGGAAGCATCATGTCCATCTCCCTCATCTCCGGCTTCTGGGCCCTTCGCGTCTACTTTGTCTTCATCATGCTGGCCTTCGCCCGCCAGTGCCTCCGCCAACACATCGCTGCCAACGCCTCCTCCGCTGCATGGTACAACTCGAACAACATGCAAACATCCGCCACTGACCTCGCAGAGAATCCCTTCGCAGAAGGCAAAGAAGAGGGCAGCGGCTGGAAGGGCAAACTGGGCCGCGTCATGCTCAGCGGCTCCCCCAAGTACTGGCTCGGTGCCGATGCCGCCGAGGGCGAGGACTGGATGCGCAATCTGGGTGGCAGATTCAAGAAGACCACACAGCTGGACCAGCCTGTTGGCTTCAACGAGCGTGAGCGCAGGCGGAGAGCTGGAACTGGCCCTCCCGTACCGCAGCTCAAGCTGAACCCCGAGTTGCCCAAGTAGACCGCATTGAAGAGAGCAACGATTGACGACAGCCAGAAGTTGTAATGAAATGACCTAGGGTTGCGCACCACGAGCCAGCAGCGCATGTGTACTATATACATCTATAATTTGGGCTTGCATGAGACATGCCTCGCACGACAGCGAAGCATGTCGAAGCCGCTATTTCTCCGCATAGCATAGCGTTTACATCTGTCTTTCGATCTAATATTCAAACACTATCTCGTCAAACCTGCTCTTCGTCTGACTCACCCGGCTAGAATCTTGCACGCTATCAACACGACCATGGCGGCGCGGAGGGCGCTTACAGGCATACCCCACCACACCCACGTTGCCAACGTTGCGCTAAGCCCCACTTGGTCAGCGCACGTGTGTTTGGTGAATGACGGCCGTCTCACCTTCACCGCCGGACATGTCGTCTGGTCCCTGAGACCGGTAGATTGGTAGGCATGTGCCTAGTTCCGGCGTGCCAAGCGTGTTGCGTGCCACTGTCATGCCTGTTAGAAACGGCCGCCGGATGACATGTCGTGCATCGGCAGACGCATTGATAAGGGGATGCGGTGGCCGCGCGAGACGGCGTCGAATTTGCAACGACTATGTGGCAGCTTTTGGACGTGTTCTTTGACTAATCTTGTTCTTCATCACATGCTGGCACATTCGGTCTATAGTTGTAGTTCATAAGGGGTCTCTGGCGCTGGTACCTGGATTCAGCCTCATTTCACTATCTCGCATCTTCAGTCAGACAACAGAAAATCGGAGTCGCCATTATGGGTATCTTTCGCCGGTCCATGAGCTCTAGCTCTGCACAGTCGTCGCGTCCATCGACCATCGACTCATCTGCGTCCGAAACCGCAAGTTCAAGAACGAGCATGGAATCTACTTTCGAGGAGCACGACGTAGCAGATTCCATGGCCACAATCAAGCAGCTGCCAACACCGGCGCGGAAGACTCCGATCCTCAGTCTCCCACTCGAACTCATTCAGCAAGTCAATACCTACCTCGACACTTCCTCGGCAGCAGCCTTCTGCCTTTCAAGTCGGTACGTGTACTACGCTCTCGGCACTGAAGTCCTTTCTCGCCATGTCGAGGGAAGCAAGAACCGCTTCGAGAAGAGAAAGACCATCGAGGCAGTAGTAGAGCGCGCCTTTCCCGGCCATTGGTTTTGCGCTTGGTGTGATAGATTCCATGCCTGGAGTGCTGAAGACGGACCGAAGAGCCAGCATTCAGGGGGTAAAAGAGACTGTGCAGACTTCAATAGCTACTTGGACGCTGGGAACGGATACAAACTCCGATATCACCATGTCCGACTTGCCGTCAATCGCGCATCGTGGGGAGATGAGCACGGTATTCCCCTTTCCGCGTTCACTTACGAGAAGAAAGAAATGGCGCGAATCTCTAGAACGCCGGTTCCCACTAAACTCAGTCTCTCAGCCAGGATCGTTCAAGGCCATGTTCTCTTACACAGCTCCTACGCAATCATTCTGCCCGCTTTCACAACGAGAAATCGCAACCTCTTAAAGTCGCTCTGGCCTCTCCTCCCACATATCGTCACAGGCCACCGCGATACACCAAATGGCCATACCGGTCTCATGGCCGCCATCGACAATGTGATCCGCCGAGGCTGGAAGTACCAGTTTACGCAGAACTGCTCGACCTGTGCGACGGATTGGAGTGTGACTACCCAAGACTTCTCACATGCTACTGGTGGGCAGGTCAGACTAGTGGTGCAGAGTTGGCGAGACTTGGGCACGGGTAGAACTCCATTCGAGACGGGATGGAGGTCGCACGGGATAGGGAGCGGTGATGATAGCGGGGCTAACACTTGTCTCGTGAGACTTACCAGCCTACCTGCGGGATCCGTCAGACACGCGTTCGAGGCTGCGTGCATAGACTATGTAACAGACAAGGCTGACGTCGCTGATGTGGCTGCGAAGAACATATCCAAGTCGCGTATTTATCGGTCGTTCATGAAGAGGACCATGTCTGAAGAAGACGATAGTGCAATTAGACGGTCCAGTGCAAGACCGCGCTATTGGCGTACGCGAGAAGAGAACGAAGAGGTGGCGCGGAAGTACGAGGAGGATAGACGAGATGTGGCGAGGCATGTTGCTGAAGAGTTGGTCCGCCTCGACGCTCAGCGTGGGAGAGGATTGGTTTAGATATCCAAATATATTCTTGTATCTATTTAGATGCTGCGCTTCAGTGACTGACATGACTGGATGTGCTGCAATTGGATTATTCGCCACTGCACAGCCTCCGTATAGTATGTGCCATGGTATTTCAAAAGTTTCATGTCGGAGCATATGGATGCAGAACAAGCGGGTCTACCGCCTTTTGTAGAATTCGATGTCGTGCGATCGAAAATCGGGCCAAAACTCCAAAGTGAGGAATTGACACAGTGGATTTGAAGTTCCCATGTACTGATTTCGTACACCTGCTCTAGACTCATTGCTCGGGATAGTGACAGATTTACAACAAAGATTGGGTGACGCGGCTGGCCTATGATCCTACGGCGTTTGCAGTTCACAACTGTAAAGATGATAGGCGCTATCCTCTTCGGCGCACCGCTTAGATGAGATGCAGTATCAGTAATGTCAAGATCATGATCTGGAAAGACCAGGAACCGACCAACGACCATGCTTTGAGGGCTTTTGTGGAAAACTCAAGCTGTCTGGTTTGATTCAAGATACCAAAAACCAGAGGTAGAAGTGATCGATGAGATGGCACGATATAACAATAACCTAGAGCGGAAAGTAATGATGACGGAAGATGACGAGCGTGGTTCTCTGGGAGATATCGGACCAACATGGTTGCCGGAACAAACGGCCGGAGAAAACAATAAAGTAATGGATAGGGGCATACACCGCTCGTGGTGGTCAGTGAAAAACAACGATGAATTCAAGTGGGCTCTGGTACGCGTCAATAAGCTTTGTGTTAACAGATCCTCGCGGAAAAGCCTGCTATGCAGCAGTCCATATCATCATGCGTAAGGGAATCCCACAGTGTCCCAAGTCAGATCTTTATATGCTGTGGTCAATTTGCGTAGCATGGCAAGACCAACCTACCGAAGAACTTCTTGTCGCCAACATACTCGTATCCGGCTTTACTGTACCCACTGGGCTGCACAGATCAGTCGTCAACTACAAGTAACGATAGTACTGTAATGCAGCAACTCGAAAGAAGCAGCGCCATATCACCTATCTGAGCCCATTGGCGGTACCTTTCGTACCAGATCCGCCGGTCGAAGGAGAAAGCGTAGGCTTGCGACACTAGCTAAGGTACAAGTTTTAAAAACCGTTGGTTGTTCGTCACATATGGTGTTTGAGTGAATGCGGACATGACCGCTTGGGAAGCGGAGGAACGACGCCACGCTAGTCTTCTTTTACCATAGTCAATTTACCCCTTCTCGCTCTGCACTTTGCAAACAACACTGACATCCTCATCCTATCACGCGCGAATATACTAACCGTCGTTACCTCAGAAACTGTCGCCAAAGGCTAAAGATCACAGTCTCACGATGATTGCGGCTCAATGTGTTATGCCCGGTCGCAGTATAGTACAGAGCGTCCCATTCGCCAGTCCCTGGAGTATTGCCGCTTACCTGGGATGCATTCGCCGTGGATCTGTGATCGTCAGTGTACTGATGCGGAGTTCATATCGAGTGGTCGGAGGCTATATTACCTGTCGCTAATTGATTACGTTGAACCTGGATTTCAGTCTGCAACAACCGACCTTCTAATCCAACACCAGCGCATTTGCTGAGCAGTAGAGATGCGAAAGTGATTCTGCCCACTTGCCATAACAATATCGCTGTCCTCGTGTATGGCCTCTACGTCAGAAGCCGACAGGCGGACAAACTCGAGGCGCATGTTCCGGCCTTAGCGAGCGACCCCTGGACCTCAATCTAATCTGCGCCAGCAGTTCGACCGAGAAATCCGGTCATTGCCATTTTGCTAAGGTTCAAGTCAAGTTGATTAAGCTCCAAGCTTTGCAGCCAATTGTTCAGAGGAGTCTCGTCCCGTCTGGTCCGGAAGCTTCTCCTTGCTTACAGGGTGCGGCGCTTCTGTTGTGTTCCTGCATTCCAACAAGAAGATCATTTGACAAAACTCTCTCAATGCTTCTCACGCATCTGAGAACGGGTTGCTGTCTTGCGGGTAGACCTGGCAATATGACCGAGGCTGCGTGATGGACTCCAGGCAAAACCAGCTAGCCAGCCACGTAGGTCGGAAATGGCTCCAGAGGGGCAAGTCCTGTGTCACTGCAGACTCGTCCCTGTACCATGCCTAGCGACGTAAGAACCTCGAGGATCTTGGCAATTACTCTTAGGGCTAAACCGGTATCCAGGGAAAGACAACGAGCCTCATGACCTTTGCTACAAATTAAAATCCACGAGACCGGAACATCTTTCTGGAAGATTCGCTCGTATATGCCCATGGGTCGTCGACGAAGCAATCTAATACAACCGGGTTTCGAAACCACTGGGTGCAGCTGTATGGCGGAGATGGATCTCTCAGGAGGATCGTCCGACCTCAGTACCGTATGCCACTGCTCGTACATGAAAGATACGATCTACAGATGCGCAACATGTATCTGTGAGGTGACTCGTGATACAACCACGACGGCGTATGTGAATCTCGAGATATGGCTGCGAGTGTTGATCCACAGCTTTGCCTTCGCACATACGAGGCTTGTCACTCGCCGTCGAATAGGACTGAGGGCTAAGACTCTGCTGCCAATAAGGTCAACTAGCCATAGTACGTCTCCATATGCCTATCCGTTCATCACTTCATAAACTATCCCCTTGTGGCAAAGATCCCGGATGTCGTGGCGCACAGATCTCCGCAATACCCCAGACTACCCCACGATGGGGTCACGACTAGGGACGGTTCATCTATCCTTCATTACTCTGGCACTTCTAGCGTCTTTTCACACTCCCGACGTCCCGTCGTTCTTACGGTATTGGTGAGAACGACCTAGGGGACCGTCAAGGATGCAGATCTCCTGCGCCTTGCAATTATCAACGGTCATATGGGTACTTGTGCAAAGTACCTTGGATAGTACCCGTCGGATGAAAGTTTTTGTATAAGAAGGCCATCTGAACCGTCGTTGTTTCGATATCCCACAACAGACTTTCGATCCAACAAGTCACCATGTACAGGACACTCGCCCTCGCTTCTCTCTCGCTCTTCGGAGCCGCCCGCGCTCAGCAGGTTGGCAAAGAGACAACGGAGACACACCCTAAGATGACATGGCAGACTTGCACTGGTACCGGCGGAAAGAGCTGCACCAACAAGTCCGGTTCCATTGTGCTCGACTCCAACTGGCGATGGGCCCACGTCACCAACGGCTACACCAACTGCTACGACGGCAACTCTTGGAACACGACCGCTTGCCCTGACGGCAGCACTTGCACTAAGAACTGCGCCATCGACGGTGCCGACTACTCTGGTATGTAATTCCAACCCGCTACAGTCTGCCGTCTGACACACCTAGGTACCTACGGTATCACTACCAGCAGCAATTCTCTGTCCCTCAAGTTCGTCACCAAGGGCTCTTACTCTGCCAACATTGGTTCGCGTACCTACCTCATGGAGAGCGACACCAAGTACCAGATGTTCAACCTCATCGGCAAGGAGTTCACCTTCGACGTCGACGTCTCCAAGCTCCCTTGCGGTCTGAACGGTGCTCTCTACTTTGTTGAGATGGCTGCCGACGGTGGTATCAACAAGGGCAACAACAAGGCTGGTGCCAAGTACGGAACTGGATACTGCGACTCCCAGTGCCCCCACGACATCAAGTTCATCAACGGTGTAGCCAACGTCGAGGGCTGGAACCCGTCCGACAACGACGCCAACGCCGGCCAGGGCAAGATGGGTGCCTGCTGCCCCGAGATGGACATCTGGGAGGCCAACTCCATCTCCACTGCCTACACTCCCCACCCCTGCAAGGGCACTGGTCTCCAGGCGTGCACCGACGAGGTCAGCTGCGGTGACGGCGACAACCGCTACGGCGGAATTTGCGACAAGGACGGCTGCGACTTCAACAGCTACCGCATGGGCGTCCGTGACTTCTACGGCCCAGGCATGACCCTCGACACCACCAAGAAGATGACTGTCGTCACTCAGTTCCTCGGCTCCGGCTCCAGCCTCTCCGAGATCAAGCGTTTCTACATCCAGGGAGGAACCGTCTTCAAGAACTCCGACTCTGCCATCGAGGGCGTCAGCGGCAACTCCATCACCGAGGAGTTCTGTGACCAGCAGAAGACCGCCTTCGGCGACACATCTTCTTTCAAGACTCTCGGTGGTCTCAACGAGATGGGTGCCTCGCTTGCTCGCGGCCACGTCCTCGTCATGTCCCTCTGGGACGACCATGCGGTCAACATGCTCTGGCTCGACTCTACCTACCCCACTGATGCCGACCCAGAGAAGCCTGGTATCGCCCGTGGTACCTGCGCTACCGACTCTGGCAAGCCCGAGGACGTCGAGGCCAACTCCCCCGACGCGACTGTCGTCTTCTCCAACATCAAGTTTGGTCCCATTGGCTCCACCTTTGCCCAGCCCGCATAAGCGCTCGATGAGGTTTCTGGTAAATTTCGGCGGAGGACTGACGGCTTTGGGCTGTAAGGGCGGGTGGATCTCCTTCGACCGTCCTCTCGCTTTGCTTCAAATTTGTATATACTTGTGGTGGATTTAGAAAGTGTGCATATAGACAAACAGACTGCATTACTCACTGTTGAGACCTGTGAAAGTATCTGCTTCGTGAAGGGTGCTGACTTGGAACTCGTTGTCCAATGCTCTCACTCGCCTTTTGTATTTCCAAAGCCTTCGTGCATCTTTGACATCTGAGTAGCTTCGTATTGCGTCTTCAGTCTTTGATTTTTCGTTTGAGCTGCTTGTTCGTAGTCTTGATGTGTGAGTCAATCCCACATCGGCTAAACGCGTTTATAATGAAAGGTAATCGAGCTCAACGAGCTGATCGAGACGCAAACCCCCACATGCGATGTGGAGGGGCGTACAGGTATACTTGGCTTCTCCTTCCTGGCTTCCCCTTTTCAGCTCGACTTGGCAAAACGACACAAGGTTTGCCCGGCACCAAGACGAGCATTCGAAAGTGAACGCAGACTCGCGTGTACATGTCGACAGGCTTACACTGATCCAACATCAGTGATTGATGGAAACCTCATTTTTGCACGTAAATATGGAGTTGGAGGACTGATGATTATGGGTCTGGGCGCCTCCTGGGAAATTTGTTAATATACCCGTCCAGGTATCCGAACCTACCATCCATAATTGATCGTCTCGCGAGTCTGATAGCATCACCTCTCGCACATTAAATTCATTGACATCGATGAAAAATTGCAATTGCCTACCCTCGGCTACTCAGCCGTCTTCGCAAAGTCTATAGAGCGTCTAGCCCATCCAGATCCGTGCTCACAAAAGAAAGATCGCATCCTCGTCCTCGCTAGCATATATACAGTTTCTGTGGTATTGCTGTAAGATTTCTGCCCATCTCGGGTCTTGTTGACGTGCTCGAGGTATCGTCTACTCCTTCTTGACGGTATCCGGGTCTGAGAGGATGCCCTCGGCTTCGAGTCTTCGTCGCGCCTCCTCTAGGGCCCAGGTCTGGATGCTGCCAGGCTGTTAGCTTTGACCAATCGTAGCATCTCCGCTTCGCTGTTGCTGTTCCTGTTTACCGCTACACCATCGCATGCCTATGACTCCTGCATCTGATCCATCTCTTGGCCCGTCCTCGGTCCATCTCTCACATGTGAAATTCGCACGTACCTAGTATCCGGCTTGAAAGCATAAGCCACAACGCCAAAAGCACAAGCTCCGCCGAATCCCCAGTACATGGCGTTCTCCCACCCCTCCTTCTCATACTGCTCGCCGGGCTTGACACCGAAGAGCCATCCGGATGGGGGGTCGTAGCTGGGTCCGTGGCCCGATCGCGTTGTTTGTGACTGTGAGAAGGCCCGGCGGGGAGCTGCTGTGCGGGCGGTAGCGGTGAGAGCGGTGCGCGAGGCGCTGGTTGCGGCGCGGACGGAGTTCATCGTCGTCTGCAGTCTCGCGAGGACTCAATTGAAGGGTGGGTAGAGTTATATGATCGTTCCCGGTGCAGGGGGGAGGGGGTTGTGGTTGATGCGGATAGGTGGATGATGACCGACGTTTGAGGTGACCTCGGGAGGTTCCGCATTCGCTGTGAGGGCTTGGCGTGGCGTGGGAAACTAGTGGCGTCGGAGCATCGTTAACTTTTGGTCACCACAAAAAGGACCCTATTCATGGCGTCCACTTCAATTTGGTGATGCATGACAAGAATGTGATACAGTCTCCAGAACGAACATGTAGTGTAACTAGTCTGTGGTATAAGAGCCCATAACGCCAATGCTATGCAGATGAACCAATCGAACGCCAGATGATCAAGGCATGCCTAGGCATACGCAGCTGTGCGCCTCTCTTCAGTATCCTTCATCTCGTCATCTGGCTGGCGAAACGACATCCTTGCCATGCTCTGAGATGCCTCGTCGACTTGTTCTTCTGTCTCGTCCGTCTTGACTGACTCCCTCTCCTTGCGCTTCTTCTCCACTGCTTCCAGTTCCGCCAGCCTCGCAGCAGTTTTCTCGGCTTCTTCCTTTTCCCGCTTCTCGCGATCCGCCCTCTCCAGTGCTTCGAATTCATCGTCAATCTCGCCCTCGTCGAGAGGCTGGTCGGTTTCATTGATGATGTTCGTAATCTCTTCCGTAGTCGCCATCTGTTCATTGACGGCATCAACAACACCTTGAACGCCCTCTGCACCGCCAACCTTCTCGTTGAGACCCTTGAGCGCAGCAGCACCGGCGCGCATGGCCTCCACGATCTCGACTTGATCAGCTGCGTGCTGTAGGTCTGTGTAGACTTGCTCGAGCTGGAGGGCAACATCGGAACGCTGTTTGAGAGCGCTCTCGGCAAGCTTCTTCGAGCGCAGTGCAGCTTTGGCGCGGACCATCTGCTTCGCAGCTACGGCCTCCCGTGCCGCTGCGTCTGCCAGAGCAATCTTCTCCATGATCGGCGATATCTGGGCGTTGATGTTTGCTAGTGTGTCGCGAAGATTGGCGATGGCAGCATCCTCTTCCGTAACTGGCAGAGGCACGTCCTCGTGCTCCGGCTTGAACTTGATCGTCTGCTCGTTGTAAGATATTGCTTGCTTGTCTCTGGCGAGGAATGTAAGGACAATGTCCAGATCGTTTGTCGTAAGCGGTGCAGTTGGGTTGAGTACAGTCGCGAAACGTTTCAGGAAGTCTGTTTTTGATAGCGCCCGATCAGCCGTAGACGTGTGCTCCTTCATCTTCTTCAGTATCTCGTCTGCAGCAACCTCCACATTCTTGACGACCACAAAGTTTCCAACCTCCATCTTGGCGGGCGCTTGTACCTGCCCCAAAACGCCAACCTGCCGCAGACTCCACTGGAGCACCTTCCATGGTGATGGTATCCACGATGTCTTGTATATGCTCTCTTTCGCTGTCAGGAAGTCTTTTAGGGGTACCATCTCCTTCTTCTGGACTGCCTCATGGAACACGGCCGGCAGACAGGTAGGCTTGCCATGCTGCGGGTGTTGCAGGGCTCGCGCGAGCTCGTCGGCGGCTCGTATGCTTAGGAGATCGTGTGTGGTGCCCTGTCTGGGAACAACACCCGCTCGCGAGGCATCGACAAGCGCCTTTGTCCATGCGGCAATGTTCGCATGGTAGCCCTCGGGGTTGATCTCGAGCTGTTGCCGAAAGTCTGCATAGAGCGATGCGAGGCGGTACTGGCTGTACTGGTCAGCAGTGCAGGGGTTGCCAAGCTACGGCTGGCCTTACTTCTTGAAGGCCTCTTCGTGCTGCAAGACGAATTCCAGCAGTTCACTCATGTCGCGGTCTGGTTCGGGTACCCACTGCGCCCGGCTGTGTTTGGAACGGAAGAGCGAACGCTTCCGCTTATGACGACTGAGCGTGGGGTCGTCGCTAAAGATGGAGACGTGGGGGCCGCTGGCCAGGTCGCGAGATGGCTTGCGTTTGAGCATGTGCGTGGTCAAAACAGCCAGAGTAGTAATACGAGGTAATTAGACGGCATCTATTAGGGTCTAGTGCAGGGTCAGATATCCTGGTAGTATTATGTAGACTATCGTACAATGCGGGCGCGTGCAGCTGTTTGCCGACGCGACGCGCTGTTTCAAGATACAACCCCACTAATAAGTGCCTTTCACTTCATCCATGTGACAATCGACTCAGTCACTGCCTATGCTCCACTAGTGTGTTGCTGTTTCCTCGCTTTCTGCACCCATACTTTGTAGAGGAAGGCCCTGCGTCAAGCGTTTTGTTTTTATGCGCTTCATGTTAAAGCGCCCGTTGCTATCACGAGCGAAAGAGGCTTGGTCATGCGGTCGTCGCAACGACCATGCTGGTATATCCTACTTCACTTTCTGACAACATTGATGCCGGTGTCATTCTTCTTCTCCATGAACTGTCGCATCTCCTCCAGGTCGTCCATGTCGTCGTCGCTGTCCTGGCTTTTGGGCTTCGTTAGAGGCTTTGCTGGAGGCTTTGACGTGGGGATTACTTGAGGAGCGTTCTGCGGTGGTGGATCGCGCATGTCTTTGGTCTCGTCCTCCCATGCCTTCCTCTCTTCTTCATCTAGCTCGTCTCGCCTATCCAGCCACCTCTCCTGCACGTCGCGGGCGTCCATAGTTGCCCCGTTCTCGCGCATAGCCATCTGCCACACTGTGTCGTTTGCGCCTTCTATGCCGCCCATCGCAAAGCCGCCTGCACGATCGATAGCCCGTAGCAGCGTCATCATGCTTTTCTTGTCTTCTACTGCGAGTGTCTCGAACCCTACCAGCGCAAAGTCCTCAACGAGCTCCACGATCGCCTTGTTGAGCGCGGAGAACTTTGATGTTGGCTCGTCGTCTGGGTCTACGTCGTTGGTGCCAGCTGTTGTAGGGCCTGGAATGCCAGACGTCTGTTCGCGGTTGAGGTGGGGCAGGAGGTACTGTAGATCCTGGACTTCGGTGTAAAAGTCGAGGTTGAAAGGCAGGTTTGGGTAGTTTCGGAGGTTGTCGATCTTTGTGAGGACGTTCAAGTGGGGCAGGTCCATCTGCAGCATGCTGCGTAGGGCGAGCAGGAGGGAGGAAACGTATAGCGACGGTCGCGAGAGAATGATGGAGTCGGTCAGGTGTACGACGACGAGCTGGTCATGTTAGCCCCCAGTTGCAGGCCATGGGTGGTGGGCGAATACTCGATACCCAAGTTTTTGTAGGCGGAAGAAGATGTTGCGCAGCGAGCCGTGGTGCGTGAAGAGCTCGACCTGGCCGGGGCAGTCGAAGAGGACATAGTCGTCTGGAGCCATTAGTATACTGGAAGAGAGTCGAGTGCTGTCACCACGAACCTCCAAGTTCCTTCAAGCCCTCTTCTAGCCAGTCGAAGTTGTGCTCCAGTTCCTCGAGCGCAAACAAGACGCCTCCGTTTGGGCCCAGGGTCTCCTGCTCCATGATGTCGTCTATTGTGACCAGGTCCCGGACGTCTAGAGCGGGCTGGTATGAGGTGTGGTCGTTGGCGGGGTCGAGGTTGACGACGGAACACTTGCGCTCGATTGCGCCCATGAACTGTTGCATTCCATCACAGTACGTCGACTTCCCAGAGCCCGGCGGCCCGATGACGAGCTGTGCGAAGGGCATGTTTGTTGGGGTGCAGTGACGAGGGAAGAAGCTGGGCGACTTTTGGAGGGGGCGTTAGCGTGCATCTCAGCTATTTGTTTGGTCTGCGGACTCCCGCCCTTGAGAGCTTCACTCCGACTCGCAGCTTCTAGAACCCGTACGCCGTGCTATCGCCAACATGTCAAGTAGGTCAGTCCAAGCCTGTCCGGGCCCCGTGCTAACTTGCCAGGCCAATTCGAGCTTGCGCAAAACCCGACCGAGCCCATATCGTCGGTCAAGTTCGCGACCAACAACCCAACACGCCTGCTCGTCTCGTCGTGGGACCGCCATGTCTACCTCTACGACACACATGCTGAGCCCGGCGGCAAGCTGCTCCAGAAATTCCAACATCGCGCGCCCGTACTAGACATCTGCTTCGGACGCGACGACAACGAGGCCTTTTCCTGCGGGCTCGACTGGGAGGTGCGCAGAATCGACCTCGAGACGGGCGCGCAGACCATCATGTCTACACACTCGCAGGGTGTTCGCAACGTCCTCTACTCTGCCGCGCACAACCTCCTTATCTCGTCATCATGGGACTCGACACTGCACCTCCACAATCTGTCGCAACCCGGCGACTTTTCTGCTGTCCGCCTGCCTTCCAAGCCCTTTTCCCTCTCCGCGTCGCCCACCAAGCTGGTCGTCGCCATGGCAAGCCGCGCAGTCAACATCTACGAACTCGACAAGCTGGCCGAGGCTGCGACGAGAGGTGGCGGTGACGAGGTCGCAGTGGAGCCGTGGCAGCAGCGGGAGAGCTCCATGAAGTACATGACACGCGCCGTGTCTTGCATGCCAAACGACGCGGGCTACTCCAGCTCGAGCATCGAGGGACGTGTGGCAGTCGAGTGGTTCGACCCGTCTGAGGAGTCACAGTCGCGCAAGTACGCCTTCAAGTGCCACAGACAACAGGTCGACGGCCAGGACGTCGTCTACCCAGTCCACGCGCTCGCATACCACCCAGTTCACGGCACCTTTGCGACAGGAGGCGGCGATGGCATAGTCGCCCTTTGGGATGCAGTAGCAAAGAGGAGGATACGACAGTACCAGAAGTTCCCTGCTAGCGTGCAAACCATCGATTTCTCCAACGACGGTAAATACGTAGCTATTGGGGTCAGTCCCGGCTTCGAGGACGGCGTCGACGATGTGCCAGACGGTGTAACCAAGGTCTTCATCAGAGAGTTGAGCGCAACCGAAGCGTCGGGCAAGAAGAAGTAGGCGTCATCAAGGTGCTGCCAAAGCTCCACGTTTGTCCGCGGCTGTGCCAAGTTACGAGATAAATATACCAGTTGGTCAATCGACCCCACCACCATCTCGAAGATCCAAAGTCAACCAAGGTTGGTCTCTTTCTACGCGTGACACATGTGCTTCAGCTCAGTTAACATACCTAAGGGTCTGTGATCACCACTGCAGGCAATGAGCACCGAACTTTGATACGTCGAAAGCCGGTAATACACCATGCAAACACATGGTCGAGATTCATTGCGAGCGTGCCAAACTCGATGCATGACAGCGTCGCTGTACTCGTGGGAAACGAACAACCGCTGAGGATGAAGATAGCTCCTGGTAGAACAAAGAGGCTTGTCTTTCCGAGGTTGTGACTTAGCTTAGCAAGAAGTGCAAAGGTGTTGTACCCTACGTTTACATATTCTCGAGTCTACCGTAGTATAAATCATCAAGATGGACTCAAGGTGTCAGTTGTACCTTGAGAAAAGAACAAGCTTCTTTGTGCCCTGCATGAGTGGTGCGAAAACCCCTCGTCCAACGAGCGCCACCACGTTCACATGCTTTGAGGCATAGTAACGCCCTCACGATAGAACGGACATCATGCACTCTATCTACGCCCTGTCCGCCGGTTTATGGTGTCGATGCTGACAGGACAAGGGTGATCATTCGTGCTCGTTCAATGAGCCGCAAGAGGTTTAGCTCGCGATGACCTTTATTGGCCAGGCGTACATACTTATCACTGACTAGCATTGTCTGCAAGACACGCGATTGGCGAGTACCATTACCATTTAGTTGGTGGGTACGGGATCATGCTGACGAGGAGAGCGAGTTGGACCTATTGGTGTAGTTTACATGCGCTAGCTGCGCTTCGTGCGATGCTTGTTGTAACAGTCGAAACGTAAATACGCGGTTTGCGGTTCATGTAGAATGTATAAAAGCAGTGCGTTCCGTTGAGATCGGCGCTCTTGCACTCTCCTCCTTGTCAAGTCCTCGCATCACAACTTCTCAATAATAGTCCTGTACCATCATCCTTCGACATTAGGCTATCTTCTAAAACATTCACCATGGCCACAGGGACATCCTGCTCAACAGAGTGCATCAAGGTGCTACTTCATGCTGCTTGACGTTACGTCTTCGCTAACCACTCCGCTTCAGGGCTCAATTCACGCAGGCAATCCCAAAGGTACCATCGAACAACTCCATGGCCTCTCCGTTTACATGGTTGGAAACCGAACCACTCCACGGGCAGTCATCTGCATGTACTCGGACATCTTCGGATTAGGTCTTCCCAACAACAAGATCATCGCCGATGCCTATGCCGAGTCAGGAGAGTACCTAGTGCTACTCCCTGATTTCTTCAAAGGCGATCCGGTTGGATTGAAGATTGCTGATGCATTGCTCCCTGTTGACGCCGCAGCCCAGAGTGCCTTTGCCAAGTACACAGGTATCCTGACGAACATACCATCTTTTCTCATGTGGCAGAGGAGGCATGGGAAGGCGGAGTCAGATAAGATCTGCCTCGACTTTATGCGGGAGCTGAGACGGGCGACGCCGAGCGAAAGGAAGATCGGCATGGTCGGATTTTGCTGGGGAGGGAAGTATGCTGTTCGCACGGGATTGGAGAGCAGCATGATCGAGATGGAGGGGGTGAAGAGGCCGCTTGTCGACGCGATCGTGGCGCTTCACCCAAGTCACTTGGTCGTTCCTGACGACGTCGAGGACCTGATGGTTCCCACGAGCTTCGGGTGGGGCGTAGAGGATTTTGCCGTAAGCTATGAAACGAAGAGCAAGGTGGAGGCATGTCATGCCAAAGCACAAAAGGAGCGCAAGGAGTTTCCGGAGATCGAACACAAATCGTACAAGCCCGGGAGACATGGGTTCGCGGTCAGAGGTAACCCAGACGACCCACAGGAGAGGAAGGCCTTGGAGGATTCAGAGAAGCAGGTGCTCGCGTGGTTCGAGAGGTGGCTTTGAAGCTGCTCCACCAATTCTGTATAGTTGTACCTAAGTGAACCGCAGCCTGAAATATCGCTGTATTCTGCGTTAGTCCGCGTCAATGTAGCATGTACTGGCTACCTCCAGGCTACAGGGTCATTCTGGTACAATCGTAATAATGTGCTTCGTAGTCCTAAATTGGTATATCGTCTCCGCATATCCAAGGATTTCCTTGATGCGGCCCAGCGCCATACGCCCATCCTCAGCCCTTTGCAAAGCTCATCAATTCCGCCTGTACTTTAGTGGGATGTTCTTCTCTACGACACCCCTGAGCTCCAGCCTCTCCCACTCCTCCTGTGCAGCCTCCTTCTCTTCATGCATCTTGAAATGCGCGATATCTTCCGGGTGGTTCAGGTCCTCCTCTTTGACGTCGTCACCACTGTGGTACTTTTCCCAATGATGAATCTCGTACTCGTACTCGTCGTCACCGTGGTGTCCTGGGCCCATGCCAAAGTCTGGAAGCTTGACGTTCTCTGAGTCCTTTTGTACGAATTCGGCCAAGGTGATGGAACCGTCTTTGTTGGTATCGAACATGTCTAGGATAGTCTGGACGACCATTTGCTTCTTTGTCTCGGAGATGGAGGCGCTGGAGGGGTCTTCGAGGCCGTAGGTTCGGCGGATGTCGACCGCGGTCCAGAGGCCGGTGCTGTCGTAGTCGTGTAGGTTGAAGAAGGTAGTTGCGTCATAGCCGGAGATGTGGTGCTCCTCTGCGAGTGTGTCAGACGCTGCTCTTTCCTACGCGTTCATGTGGGGATCCCGGGAAGTCTATACCGGCCATGTGTCGCGTCGCCCAGTCGGCGTCCGGTGGGACTTGTACTTGCGCATGCTCATTCCCGCCATGCGCCGAGGCGTTGAGGGCGCATGACAAAAGCAAGAGCGCGCTAAGCGGCAATTTCAACATGCAGTTCATGGTTTCCTGGGGGCAAGTCGCAGGAGAATGTACCATGTAAAGGTTGAGTTGAGTCGTAGCCCCAATGTTGACGGCCAGGGGCTCGGTTCAACGACTGGCCAGCCGCCGACACTATGTCATAGGGGTCTAGACATTTCCACGTGCCTGCGTGGCCTTGTCGCCGCACCGACAACACCACAAGCTGACAATGAACGTTCTACTCCTCCTGAGCCTGCTGCTCTTCATACCATTTCTCTTCTTTCTCGCATTCCTTGCTGCATCTTCTTGCATGGGCGACGGCTTCCGCGCAAGATTTGCCGGTGTCACATTCAATCCCCGAAACGCATCCTTTGGTCGCAACTACACGCGAGGCTTCGGATCTGGAGCAGGGAGCGCAGGCTGGGAACAAATTGAGATGGAAGATATGCTTGGAGAGGACAGCGACTCGGAATGAACAGCACAAGAAGTATGGCTCGACCGCCTTACAGGGTATCTTCATCTACACACTACCGTCACACGCGCCTCCTAGAACTCTAGGTCCTGCTTCTTCGGCATCGCACTAGCACCCGCCGCCTCTCTTACAGCCTCCTCCTGCGCCTCAGTGTCGCCCTCCATCGGTGGCAGGCTGAACTTTGCAATCACAAACTTGCGTCTGCTCAATGTAAACGCCATGTCCTCGCCCAAGTCTTCTGCTCCACCACCACCGCCCTTTTCGTGAAACACGGGTAGTTTGTGGACGGCAAGCATGCCCTGCGGTCTTTCCTCGTCCTTTGTGGTGCCCGCCGATTGTGCAAGTGCTTGCATGCGCGAGTATGGAAACGGAGACAATTCGAGTACACCGTCTGAGAGGATCTCCATCCAGCGGACCAGCCCGGAGGATCTTGGATACAGGGTCAGTGGAAGCGTGACAACGGCGGTCAGACGCGTTTGGTATTGCCGGAGGAGCGCGCGCAGAGCATGGAGAAACTGAAGTATGTAGGTCGGATGGGCCGACGAGGAAGGGTATAGCGCTGGCGAGAGGAGAGAAGGTATCACAACGCGATGTACCGTGTGTGGTGGCGTTGACTCGAGCTGCTGCCGTATGTTCTGCAGAATCGAAGGGAAGGGCGAGGCAGAAGCGCCTGTCGGTGGAGGTATCGGCACATAGTTGATTGCTGTCCCTACCGGAAGCGTGAGACGTTTGGCCAGATCAAAGGTATGACAGAAGATTGTCTGCTCTTCTGCTGCTGCGTCGCCTTGGTTCGTTGTTCTCTGCGCATTGGGCGAGCCTGTCGCAAGCCTCGTCAAAATTGTTCAGAATATAATTGTGCATTCCCAGAGTATATACAAGACGCACCTCTAGCACTCTCAAATTGTCCAAGGCCTTCATACCTCCACGCGATCTTCATCTTCTCTGCTCGCTCCTTTCCTTCCCTCCTCTTGTCCGACTTGTCTTCTGATATGCCAGGCAATTCCCTACCCCACACTTCACCCATGCCTACTACGTGCACCTTGTGCCCCTGCACCACACCTTCCGCTGCGTAAAACCTGAGCAATGCGCCGGCATAGTCGGTCGTCCCGCTCTCGCCTATGAGTATCGAGTTTCCCAGCGCTAGCCCAGCATGTCCTGCGAGAATGCCATCGAGCGAGGGTGTACCGGTGGATGTGGTGGGGCGGCCATCGATGGGTGAGGGTCGTACACCGGGGGGCGTTGGCACAGGTTGAGCTACTGCAGGAGAAGAGGGCGAGTTCAACGCGTCTTCTCCTGCTGGTGCGCGAGACAGTGCTATGTTGCGCTTGCGAAACGCCATTCTGAGGTGTTTTGAGCTGTGAGTCGCGACTCGAAAATGTTAGAGGGGCTATCGATAAGGCAAGTTAGTGCCAGACGTCATCCAGCCCTTGACCTGCCAGCCTTTCGCGAAATGAATCCATGTACTGTGTAATGAAATTGCCGCCAGACTTTGGGGCTTGCATTGCATCTTGTTATCCAACCCGAAGCACCTCAGTCCTGGTCTTTGTAGCACCAGTAAGACAGTCGAGCCTGCCGGCTTGGATCAACCTTAGCTAACTAAAAAATCACACACTTGAACAAATCTCGACTTCCTGGGCTGATCTGGTTGGTCGTCAAACTACTCTCAGCACCATCCAGTAGGACCATCGCATTCAGGCATTGAACTACCCAGGAATGCATTACGCTAAGTCGTATCCGGCTAGAGTCTCTCCTTAGGGTGCTTCTCCATCGAGACCCTTACTCGATGCTCTCGGCTTCCCAACACCAATCTATCTTTACTTCCTCCTGAAGCTCCATGAAATTGAGTCATGGCAGAAGATGGGGATATTGAGTCTGCTTTGATTCCAAGTCTGTATAAGCCGCCCGCGTTACTACCAATTGCACAACTCAAAGATCAACTGCTCTACACGATAGAGACGTACCCTGTGACTATTGTCGTCGGCGAAACAGGCAGTGGTAGGTTATCCCGTCCACACAGAACCAAACTCAGGGGCTGATTTTGTCCAGGCAAAACAACGCAGATACCAAAATTTCTGCTTGAGGCGGGCTGGTGCAATGGCGGCCAGCAGATAGCTATCACCCAACCCCGGCGGATAGCATGTACCAGTGTAGCTGCAAGAGTAGCAGAGGAACTAGCGACACCACTCGGCCAGAAAGTTGGATACAGCATTCGGTTCGAAGATGTTACGTCTGCCGCCACAAATGTAAAGTTCGTCACAGATGGATTGTTACTACGCGAGATGCTTGTCGATCCGCTACTCTCCCGCTACTCCGTTATCATGGTTGACGAAGCACATGAGCGCAGCTTGTCATCTGATATACTGCTGAGTCTATTGAAGAAAGTGCTGGTGAAAAGAGAAGACTTGCGCGTCGTTGTGAGCAGCGCTACACTCGAAGCCGAACGCTTTCTTGACTTCTTCAGCCCCGACCAAGGCGAGAAGGTTCATGGAAAGAGCAAGGAAGAATTTGGATGCATTGTTGGTATCGAAGGACGCACATATCCAGTTGAGATTCAATACTTACAGGAACCAACAAACAACTACGTCGAAGCATCAATCGACACAGTCATCAAGATTCACGAGCATGAGAGCGAAGGTGACATTCTCGTCTTCTTGACAGGGCGCGAGGAGATAGATGACGCGATTGATAAACTGGGCGACCGTATTGCCGATATGTCTTCGTCTCAGCAAAGACTCATGCCTTTACCTCTCTATGCCGGCCTGCCCACAGAAGACCAGAATCTCATCTTCACAAAACCACCGCAAAATACGCGACGCGTCATCTTCAGCACCAATATTTCAGAGGCGTCTGTGACCATTAATGGCATCGTTTTCGTGATAGACTCAGGGTACGTCAAGCTCCGCGCCTACAACGCCAATATTGGCATCGAAGATCTCGCCGTCGTCCCGGTATCGAAAGCCAGTGCCACACAAAGAGCAGGCCGTGCAGGTCGAACGAGACCGGGCAAATGCTTTAGACTGTACCCGGCAAGCGTATATGAAGGCCTAGAGGAAGCCACGTTTCCAGAGCTCGCCCGCTCAAACCTCGCCCCCGTAATCCTGCAGCTTCTTAACTTGGGAATCACGAACGTAGTGCGATTCGACTACCTCTCCCCACCGCCATCAGCGCTCGTGACACGCGCTCTAGATATGCTGTACTCTCTGGGGGCCTTGGACGCTCACGCTCGGCTTACAAAGCCCTTTGGTATGCGCCTGGCAGAGCTTCCTCTCGAACCAATGCTTGGGCGCGCTGTGTTGAAAGCGGCTGAGCCAGAGTTTGGTTGCTTGAGCGAGATGCTCACGATAGCCGCTATGATGACGCTCCAAGGCAACGCTTTTGTATCCCATGATGGGGGAAAGAAACAGCTCGATGCAGCGAGGCGGAAATTTGCCGTAGCAGAGGGTGATCATCTTACACTATACAACGTGTACGAAGCCTTTGTGAAAGCTGGTATGGGAAACACGGCATGGTGCCACTCGAACAGTCTTAATCACAAGTCCCTCGTCAAGGCAGTCAGTGTCCGGAAACAATTGGCTGCCTATCTGGACCGTTTTGGCGTCAAGGAAAATGTTCTCGCATCCTCGGGTGTACTGAGAGTTGGTGGTGCCCCACTTGCGGAGCGTGTCCGCCGCTGTTTGACAACCGGGTTCTTCGCGCATGCTGCGAGGATGAAGGCAGACGGGACTTTTACGACTGTGGACGGGAAGACGACACTATGGGCTCATCCGAATTCTGTGTTCTTCACGAGGAAGGCTGACTGGGTTATATACACGGAGATTCAGTCTACGAAAGACAAAATCTACATTAGAGATTTGAGTACAGTGGATATGGACTGGCTGACACAGTATGCGCCAGAGTACTACAAGATCAAGAATGGCGGTCGATGAGATGGAGCAGAGCAAGAATCTTGCGGGTATCTATCAGAACTAGAGGCATAATTACATAACATCGTGAAATGGCTGCGTGTCGCGCCATCACTTGCAAGCTTCCACAAATAACTCGCGCATGCCCTTTAGGAAGCCTGCTAGATCGCGTGTCTCGTTGAGTCTCTCCACAACTGTCTCGACTTCTTCGCGCTCAACCTTGGGCCGCATCTCTAACACTCTGTAGTCGCGTTCGCTAGTGTCTAGCTCAAACCACGCCTCACGATCCCACTCTCGTTCGTCGACGTTGGTATACACAAACTTGAGTCGATCGTCCTTGCCAAGTCCCTCGATTCTCAGTCCCAGATAGTTTTCCCAGAAGTCGAGTTCCGGCTCGTTGTACCGGCTCTGGCCATCGAGGTATCTGCGGTGCTTGAGTTGGGCTTCGCGGCGTGCGGAGATGGTCTTTTGCACTTCAGCAATCTGTGTGCGGAGGCTGTCGCGATGCGCCAAGCGCTCGTCGCGCTGGAGGGTAAGGGCGGAGATGGCCTCTTGCATCTCAGATGTTTCTTGGGATTCCTTGGAAAGAGTCTGGCTGTGCTGGGCTGTCTTGAGTTCGAGAATCTCAATGTCGCGCTTCTTCATGCGTTGGTCCTCTGCAGTGGAAGTCAGCATACAATCGTCAGCGCCGAGACAAGCCATGCCAACTTACCATGGAGTTCTGCAACGTTCATGCGAAACTGGTTGCGTTCTTCGAGCACTCGTCTTCGTCCGTTCTCGATAAAGGCGTCAAATCGTGTAGTGAACTGGTTCATGCGACTGCGCAAGTCGTCGAATCCGAAATTGATGCTGGGTAGTTGGTCGGCCATGGACGGCGCATCGTGCGAGGAAGCGCGCATGGTAGTGCTAAGTGAGGGCTCGAAGGTCGTCATGGTGGGTGTGTTATCGCAGGGTACTCTCAGTATTCTGTGGTGCGCAGTGATTTGCAATTATGTCGTGGATGCGGTTAGATGACGGTGACGGCAGGAACGGTGGTGACGGTAGCGACGGTAGCGACGGTTCCAATGGTTGCTCCGTAAACAAACATCCGCGCTAATGCGGCAGGAACAAGAGCGGGGCGCCTGCACGTGCCGACGCGACTTTTGGCGCTAGCGGAACTTTTTGGTTTGTTCACTCTCATCATCGCGTTCGGCATTCCCAGGTTTGACAGACACCTTCTCCGCTCCCGCCTACGACCATTTGCTTCCTGTGCCCGAAGTATGAGTTTATACCGCAGCGCTGTTACCGATCGAGAACCTTTACGACAGCCCAATGGCTGACAAATCGCTCAAAGACCTGAACTACGGCCATCCTGGCGTCGCGAGTTATGATTTAGAAAACAGAGGATGGGCCTTTGCTAGGAACTATAAGAAGCGGGTCTTCAAGCAGATTCTAACTCCAACGACCTCGTCTTCTACGCGAAATCATGCGACACCTAAAACAGCACCACCGTTCTCTCTAAAAACACCAGTGAACAGGACGAGCATACAGGATGAATTCAGCAATACAGTTCAAGACGACCCCCTGCTCGCTCCGGCTACGGACATAATTCCGGACCTGGCCTTGGTATCTGCTGCTATCTCTTCCGCGGCTTCGACCTATGACCCTCTCGTCAGTGGCCTTTTATCTTTCGGTTCAATCACGCCCAGGGGTAGAGATGAGGCGTGGCGGATGGCTGCGTTGCCCACCGGTGAGACCGGAAGTATACTGCAGTTGTGTATTTTGGATGACGAAACGCATGGTTGGACAGCCGAACCGAGGCCATGGGTACGAGGGCAAACCTTGAAAGCCGCAGAGAGCGGATTCTGGAACGAGGAAGCGGCACCGATACAGCAGGTTTGCTTTGCACATTCAGAGAAAAAACGGCCTTTGCTTGCCGTGCGACTTCCCACCCGCACTGTTCTATTTCACCCGGACTACGACCGTCAACCACGCGCTGCCGCAATTTCCCCGTTCTACCGTCTGCCAGCTTCCACCATCCAACCGAACCGCATACTCAGCATACACCAGAACGATACAGGTGGCTTTGCTCATGTCGATGTTGCCTTTAACCCGGACTTTCAATTACAGTTTGCGCTGGTCGACCAAAGCCAAACGTGGAGTGTATGGGATATCGAGCATCAGCTTAGGCTTGGCAGATATTCGGCTTCATGCATGCTCCGCGGAAAGGTGAATGAGTCGGATGACGGAGACACAACTGGCCAAGACGGCTGGGCGAGGGTTCTCTGGGTCGCCGATGTTACGACCTTGATGGTTTGCGATAGGCGCCGCTTGAGCATCGTTAGCATCAGGGGCGGATCAACTTCGTATTTGCCTTGCCAAGAAATATTCAGCGAACGGTCCGCGGACTGGATTCTGGGCGTCAAGTTGCATCCAAAAGACCGCAGTAGAGTATTCGTCTTGACCTCTACTCGACTTTTACTGATTGCAGTCACTCCACCGAGTGAGCTCCCGTCAAGTGCCGACGACACAGGCGCCAAGATACTTCTATCATGGCGGCACTACAGGGGCGCTGAAGATTTTACGCTTGGATTGAGTGCGCAGATGCTGGCAGACGATGGTATGTGCCAGGCTCAACATGTGTGAGAGGCCGACTGACAGATGAACAGAGACGTGCGTGATGATACATTCTCGTGTCAATAACCTTGTCCAAGTATACAGCTTTGTCGAGCGTGATTCTGGGCTCATTACCGCCCCCGACCCCACTCTGCTAGATCTATGCCTTCCGGACCCAGGGCAGATTACAAACATTCTAATCGAGACAATGAAACAAGGAGAGTTGAGGCCCGAGATTGGCTTTTTCCAACTATTTGTGACGCAGTCTGACTTGAGCGTCCACGAGCTCATTGTATATACCCGGACCTCCACGGCGGACGACAGGAGCGAGGATGATTATGCCATTGCGGACTTTGAGCAAAGCACGATAACACGTCCCAGGGATCCCCCAATCAGGTCTCGTAAGATCAACAAAGACGACGATTTTGTAAGCCCCGACGGACTACCTACAACAGTATTGCCATGCTCGAAAATTGCAACGCCACAGTCGCATTGGCATGACAATCTAAATGATAGTACTGCGTCCGAATCACGAAACAACAGCCTCTTGGGTGAGGTGATGTCGCAGTCTAAGAGCTCAGCAGAGGAGTCTGGCGCGAAGGATGCGGTGGCGGTCATGGACCAGGTGAACGAGATGCTGGCAACTGGTGCAGACCTGCCATCTTTACCATTGGGTACTTTGTGAGTAACCCTTGCTCACATCAGGTCTAAACTAACATTCTCAGGATGGAGTTTACGCGCACGCATTTTGACGTTGCAGATATTGACGAAGCTTCGTCCAACTTCGAAGAGTTGTTTTCTTCCGGATATGAACAAGACACAATGGATGTTCAGCGTATTGCGCCTATGCACGTGCTTGGTTTGGCTCACGACAGCAACCCTACGATTTCGGACGTGTACGACACTATACTCCAGACATGGATTGCGCCTCTTCCCACAGAAGTGCCGATCCGCGTTCGTCAACGCTTGGAACGTCTGGCTAGGCGGGTTGCCACAGAACTGATGTTCTCAAGTACCTGTATACGTGATGATCGAAGGCCTGCCTCTAGCACGCATCATGGACAAAACAAGGGCAGTGGTGTCGCGTTGCCCATCTTGCCATCAAGGCCCAAAGAAAGTGCTTTCCATCCCGTTTCAAACTATCCGATCTCTCAGCCACTACCGACACCACCATACTCATCTATGCCTCCGCCCTCTGTGCTGGGGTCATCTCCGCCAGAAGCGACTCCCACTCCTCCCGCCCTGCCCGACCCCCTCAGTCGCCTCAACAAGTATCTCCCGACTTCCAAAGACCCGGCGATAATCCACCCGAATGTGGCTCAAGGTCTCGCGCACTGGCAGTTAGGATGTGATCCTCACGCGTACGATTGGGCCAGCCTAGAGCGTGCTCTCCAATCTGAAGATCTTGACGAGGAGAGCCAACTACAACGCGAAAAAGAACGCAAGAAGAGAGAACGCCGGGAAAAGCGTCAACAGCGCGAAAACGAGCTTATGAAGGCCAAGCTTGAGCTCACGAGGAGTAATACCGTCAGTCAACCTACCGCGTTCCCTAGAAGCTCTCCAGGACCCATGTTGGGCGGCATGGGGAACAGCAGTCAGGTATCAAGTCAAAGCCAAAGTCAAAGTCAGATCCAGGTACCACCTCATGGCGGCAGCTTCATGATGCCGCAAAGCCAAGTCGAGCGCGGCAAATTTGGAGGGAAGTTGGACAAAAAGAAGAAGAAGAAGGGTAGGATTAGTGGGTTCTAGTCTCGATGGCCTTTAGGCATATACAGAACATGCACTTCCGAAATGATGTCTGATTCGGTGCCGTCATCAGCGCGGAAAGAAGGAGGATCTTCCCCTCAAAGTGGGGTTGGAGGGGTAGCCTCCCGATACCACCAACTACATAGCTTATCCTTACCGCGGATCCGTTCCTAGGTATCAAGTACTTCATTCATCATCTGCGTCCACAAACTATTCCACAATCCCTCTGAACAACCAAATCAACATGTCAGGTTTCCCATCTCTCCAGCCCGCTTTCACAGTCCGCGTTGACATCGATGCGCCGATGCAAGTTGGAGGCCAGCATGGCGCGCAGCTGGTCATCGTTCCAATGGTTTCCGGTACGGTGAAGAGTGAGGAGGGCTTTGAGCCGAAGTTGGATGGAGAACTACATGGCGTTGGCTACGACTACATTCACAATGATGCCGACGGCGGAAACATGCGCTTGGATGTGAGGAGTCAAGTCAAGTGAGTGGAAGGCTGACAAGATCGCAATAGGCAGAGCATGGGCTAATGGTTGCACAGAAACCACGACGGCACAGTTCTGGCGATGTATTACAAAGGTACTGTGAAGCTCACGCAGGGAGTCGGCAAAGTGCTGTCTGGTGCGCCCGATGCTAAGACAACCGACTATGGCGATTCATTTGTCAACTTCTCTTTCGAGACGGGAAATGAGAAATACAAGGAACTTCAGAATGGAACCTATGTTGCTGCGGGTCATTTCGTGACGGGTGAAGGCAAGCCGGGCGTTGTGGTGGAGTACAAGGTCAGTAAGGTTGTGTACAACGCCAGCCAGGGCAAGATGTAGGAGGTAAGTCTGCCATCGTATCTTTGTTTGATGGGAGTACTGATTTCTCCTAGGGTTACTGTGGGAACATCGCGATCCTCGTACTTACTGACTGTATCAAATGCCTGTATCGGTTCTCCGCTCTCATGTCTTGACCCTCTTTGCTAATGCGTGCTGAACTACCTTCACCTTGTCTCTTCAAGCCATCTCGCAGGATCGCTGACATCTGTAGTTCGTGACTGATATAGAATAAAGTCTCACTCACCTTGACTAAACATTCTTATCTATTACTGCGACAGGTAATACTATGCGTTTATCTTGACGCTCCTGGTTCTGTTATACCCAGGACTCACTCTTGCTCCGATTACTCCACGCTTTCTGCACCGTAGTATCATTGCCATCTTCTGGGAATCAACCAAGAGGTCAGCATCCCTGCATTACGCTTGTGAACCATTGCTAATCTGATGAATCAGACGCTCATTCTGGACTCACCAGTAGGATGCCTGTGCTACCGCAGCCTCTCATGGGTTTGGCGAACCGGTACACTACAGCCATGTTTGACAAGCATTATGAGGACGAAAACTATCTCGGATTCGAGACGCTTGTCGACCCCAATACCTACAACATCCAGGTCAAGGCCTACATGGACAAGAACCGATGTCGTCTCCAAGATCACATGTTCTTAGTTGGCACATACCACACTCACTTCGGACGCCAAAAAGTATGGGCGCGGCCCACGGGCTTGGAGGTTGAGTATTACCACGGCTTGCCGGAAGCGCTCGAACTTGCACGAGTAGATGATCTGTTCGAAAATCGCATCTACTACGTCCCGCCGTTCAGCTACATGTCCACCTCTCAGAACACGCGTATGAAGAAGGAACGTGTTTACGGTACGAAGGTAGTTGAGACAGTTGTCAACGTCGTCTTCCTGAAGCAAGGCTGGCTCGTTCACTTCGAGGTCGACTCTGATACAGATGCGCTGGAAGCTTTCAAGTATGCTTGTATCAACTATGAACCGCGGAAGACGGAGGCTGCGAACATGGCCAAGGTTAAGAAAGAGAAGGAGGACTTGAATGAGGAGTATCAAGCTCGCGCTTGGGGTCGTCAGAACAATGATTGGGATAGGGGATCATCTTTTTCTCATGCCAACGGCCAGGACAGAGACTCTCCAGGAGGACTACCATCTCCACGCGTCAAGACTGAGCCTATGGATGAGGACAGCAGTCTTTTCCAACCCCCACTCATTCCGAATCGTGATCCGCAAACCCAAGCCGGTTTCCCTCCTCGAAAGGGTGGTACACCAGCATCCGGTCTTTCACATTCTCCTATACGCCGCCCTCCGGCTCCAATCATTCCACGTCGTAAGTGCGTTGATCTGATTCTCACATTTCCTAGCTAATGTATTTGTATCAGGCCGCCAACCACCCACATATGTGAGTATATCAGCTTTGTTGTCATCCGTAGCAAAGACATCAGTTTCATCGCTAATTCGTGACAGACACAGACACAGGCCTACGAGGCTGACCTCCGCACACAACTACAGCAGGCAAACCGTGCTCGTGAACAAGATCGTGCTCAGCTACGGCAGGCGGAGGAGAGGATCAGAGAGCTCGAGGACATTCTCATTGCCATGGGCGGATACTAGGGTGGTCGGTGGCCAGTTAGAGAGCGAAGTTGCTGGAATGGTCCCGCCTGGATCAATTTCCTTCAAGTTGACTGTGCATGGTTTCGTTGAGCAAAGGGGAACAGGATAGACAGATGAACGTTACACTGGATCACTGGGAGATCATCACAGGCGAAGAGAGACGGAAACACTGGAACAGATTGACAGTCGGAAGGACATCAAGTCGAGGAAAAACGTGAGAACAGACCTTCTTCCACATGTGTCAGCAGAATAGTATCTTCATACGAGTCGAATCCAGGAGAGGAATATCGAAGAGAGTACTCATGGTAAAAGGTACGAAGATGCCACAGATGATGAAAACGACAGTAACTACAGTACTGACAATGACTATGGGGTGGGACTATTGGGAGGAAGAACATTATGACTGGTGAGTAGTAATGGAGTGAATCCGTGCGGTTGCAAGGTTGATGACCATCATGCCCAAATTTCCATATCCAGCGACGCCTTCTCATATTGATCGCACTTCGTCTCCAACATCAGTTAGTCGCGGCGGACCGGCCACTTGGATAGACACTGAGATATGCTTTTCTGTTGATGGCAATACTTTTGCCTCATTTGCATACATAAAAACCCTCGAAACAAGGCTGTCATTCCCTTCGCTCCGCCACCTCATCATCACTGCTCACCTTCACCTCGTTGATAGGATATGGGGCGTTTGCTCCCACTTTTAGTGCGTCTCGCGTCAAGTACAGCTTCTCCGCACTGGTGACTCTTCCTACAACAATATTACTTACCTGACCATCTGTCGCTACAATACATGTAAGTTCACGAGAGCACATATATCTTCAGCCTTCCGCTAATTATTAGACTATTTCACTACACCATTTCACCTACGCATCACACAGTTCAGCTCGCCGGCTACCATGATGGTGAGAAAGAAATACGTGCTTGGTGATTACGCCAAGTGTAGCACGGGTAGACTGGCAGCTCCATTTGCTAGCATCTCCAATATGGAATCTTACGAATTCGCCGAAAAGTTATACGTAGACGACAAGCACCGTGCCCACCGGTGCCACATGCTCCTTGTCGGCCACTACTCACGGAAGTCCGGAGGTCCGCCAGTATGGGCGCGTGCAACAGGTGAACGAGTTTGTTACTACTCGGGAGCTGGAACTCAGGTCAATCCGTTAGTTCAGGATATACACTCCTCGAAAGTTTACTACGACCCCCCCTTCAGCATTATTGGTGGCTCGCAAGACTACAGTAATGCAAGGCCTGGTATGAACCCGGAACGGAAACTTGAGCGCGCGGTAGTCGAATCTGCAATCAACCTTATCTTTCTGGCGAGTGGCCGCCTAGAGAAGGTCTTCGACGTAGTGAACCCGGACCTACTGGGTAACTTCAAACTTGCGTGTGCAAATGTAAACCGACACCGGAAGCCTCTACATATTACCAGCGATGCCCTTATTCTAGGGGCGAGTGTGATACCACGTCGCGGTGACAGCACTCTATCTTTGGAGCCGCATGGACAACTTCACAGCAAGGATTTGGTTCCGATCGATGCACGAAAACGACGATTCGTAGACAGCAGGGATTTGACCAATGATTCGTCACAGGGTGATTACAATACCGATATATCTTTCGGACTCTGCTAACAATTTGATGTAGCCTTGATCAAACGTGCACGTCTATTCGTAAGTCATCCCTTACCTTCAGCAGGTGAACTTCGACAATGGTCCTAATCTCATGCTTCAGGATCACATCAGTAGCTATGAAACAGAGATGCGCGCGGAGTTGGAGCACGAGATGCTAGATCTGAGGGCTCAGCTCGAGGAACAAAAGGCGAAGACCAACGCGGCAAAAGAAAGACACAGGCGAGAAAAGACCAAGCGTCGGGAAGCGCAGGTACAATCTAAGGCATGGAAAAGGAAATATACCACGCAACAAGACCGACCGGAACAAGCCGTATTAGACGTCAAACCAGAGGAAGAAGAAGAGGAAGAGCAAGACTGGAAGTCCATGCTCTTCGAGCAAGAGAGACAGACCGAGCATTACAAGGTCAAGTTTATCGCAATCAAGGAGCAGAAGGTTCAGTGGGATATGGAGCAGAAGAAGATGAGTGACGCGATCTATGCCCTCGAATCCAAGATCGCGCGCCTGAAAAATCAGATCGGGAATTTGGAGGCTAGTTCCGGGAAGCAAAAGGAGAAGCTCGTGAAGCAGTCACGAGAACTTGCCAAAGAGACGGAAGCACGAATTTTCTGGCAGAGGAAGCATGCGGATTTGCTGGCTGACTCACGAGACCATAGACTGCATCGTACCAACTCAGCAGCTCGCCAAGATCAAGACGTGAGAGCTCCACTATACGGTAACCCTACATCACGTCCGTCGGCATATCGTACATTCAACACAGGAGCACACTGGAACTGAAACTGCGATCCATATGAATAAGATGGTGTGGGCTGGGGCCGATCGAAGCAGAATGATTTGCAAGTACTCTATAGAAGACTAAATGAGCCAAGTGCAATGCTTTCACTGTCCCCATAAGTCTTCGCGTCTAGAGTTACAGTCATAGGTTGCAATCAAGTAGATATTAGCGCATCCGAAAGATGATGTTTTCCATCTTTTAGAAGCACGCCAAGGCACCAGATGACCAGCTTCGCCTACATCCTGTCCCCCAAGATGTGGTTCCGACCTTTCCTACATTCTCCGAAGAATGACCAACGCCGTCGACCTCCAACGTCTCCTCAGAACCTCAACTCAAGCCCAAGCCTCGGGTGGGTACCCGCTCTACATCCAACTGCATTGCTTTTCCGCGGCACGGCTTAGCGTACCCTCATGACCGTCCCCTCTCCACTTTCCTACTGCAGTGTGGCAGCACCCGTCTCCGCGAGTGTTGAACGGCGTTCAATCACCCACCACACCACAAGCCAGGTAGGTAACACGATAAGACCGCATGCGGTCAAGCATTGCTTCTGAAGCGACTGGGCCTCAAAAGTGTTGGTCGGATGAGTGTATGCGCAGTACCGTCGTTATCTGGCAGAGATCTATCAGAATCGTACGTTGAACAAGGATCCCCACGTCACGGCCATCAGTACAGTACCAAACATCCTCACCGTTTCATCCGCCGACACCGTGGGGAGAAAGAACGCAAGGCGGCCGTTTGTTAGTCGTATATCTTAGTGTGGGACACGTTGTGCAGGTGAGCTATTTTCCGAACTTAAAATGGCGCTAACTTCAAGGGGGTCGGGAGGTGGATGACGGATGGAAAAGCAATTCTTGGCTGCGTTTGAGCTTTACTGAATGTGATGGCGATTGCAGGAGTTGCGGGCCTGACGCACCCTGGGTTTGAGGCTGTATTGTAGATCTTATCGAATCGATCTCCGGACAGTCGATTGTGAATGTCAAGGTCGTAGTTCTGATGTTTCGGCCAATCTCCGCCAATGACATGTCAGCACACTGCTGCGGTCATCTTTGTTACACATCTGGGTGAACACACGCATAAAGTACGCGATGATTTTGATTGGTGTTGACTACGCGCTATTAAACTCGGTGCTAGGATGCAGTCGACAAATGGAGAGTCGAGACTGGGTGCCAGTAAGGCAGGTATCTGAGAATGCAATCAGTCATGAATCGAGACCGCCCTCGCGTCATGCAATGTCGTTATAAATGGAAGAAAAGAAAGAGATGTGGATGAAAACGTATTGGGAGCAGCAATGATGACGAGGTGGATGCCGGAGCGAGTCGATACAGGATGCAGATAACCGAGTGCGACAGCGATGCATGGTCGACAGTGGCGCACCCCCACTCGATAAACTCAACCAATAGCATCACATTATACCCTTGAGTCCGCGAAAGCCACCAGTTTTGGAAGACGACGGCTTCTTCTGTTCCTTCTCTTTGACCTTCTTCCCAATGTTCTGCGCGCCACCTGTCTCATAGTCAGTCTCTGATCTCGCAGGCTGTGATGCAGATGGCTTACCTCGACCGTATATCCGAACTTCCGACTTCGGCTCTACTTTTTCTTTTCTGTCCTTGTTGGAGCTACCATCGGTATCGGCGGAGAAGCTACTCTGTCCGCTAGATTGGGGCGGCTTTGGAGCCTGAAACTGGTTGTGCAGAGAGGCGTCATATGCTGCGGAGAAATCCGGCCCATAGTTTCCGCCAAACCCAGGGTAGGGCGATGGCGCTGTTTGCGACCGTTGCGGCTTTCCGTGTTGTAGTGATTCGAGCCTAGCCGGACGAAGTGGTGAAGGACCCGCACCAGGGCTGTGTACTGACTCCGGGGAACGGTATTCGTAGTATTCTTGCTCTTCGTTTGGGGGAACCTCTGTAGTCGAGAGAGGCGTCAAGTACCTTGAGCTGTAGTTGTTCGCTGTTCGAACGCTAGAGTTGCGACTCATGCGCGATGTGCCGAAATCGATATGGCCAGCCTTGTCTCGGGGGTAGAGCTGTCCCATCTCCGCTTCTCGCTCACCTTCGAGATCGTGGTACTTCATCTGCAGCTCTGTGTACTGCTCAAGGAGACGGTAGTGGGTCTTCTTCAGCTGCTGCATCTTGGCGTTGCTCGCTGCGAGCGTCGAGTCAAGCATCTGCTGAACGGAAGACGGGAGCTGTCCCGGTATACCGGTGCTTCTGTCAGATGTTTGCAAGCGCGACTCTAGCTCCATGATCCGGCGTTCGTAAGCCTTGATGGATCTTTCGCGATCTTGCTCCCGGCTGTTCAAGCGCATGTTTGCAATCTCGAGATCGTTGCGCAGGTCGTTCCGCTCCTGGATGAGGGTGTGCAATTCCTTCCTTTGGTCTTCGAATGCTATAATCTTGTCCTGGGCAGACTCGAGCTCTCGTCGAATGTCGCTATAATCCTCGAGCTCATATTCCAACGCTTTCGTTCGTTGCTGTGCTTTTAGTTGCTCTGCCTCGGCCCTCTCTACGATCTTCTTAAGCTGTTCGTAGTCTGACTGCGTCCTTTGTAATTCATATCGCAGACCGCCTTCGTCACTGTGCCATGTCTTCTCGCTCTCCTTGTATGACCGGACCTTGTTGTTCAGCTCGCTCTCCCATTTCTTGGATTGGCTTCGGCTCGTGAGTGTCTCCTTCTTGAGTTGAGCATACAGCTCGTTGGCCTTGGCGAGTTTGGCCTTTAGCGTCTTGTTGGTGTTGATCAGATTTTGGGTCTCGGCTTCGGCGGTCGCTTCTTTGATATGCTTCCGTTGGAGCTGTCCAATGTGGGCAAGGTGTTGTAGTTTGAGATAACGCTCAAAGTTGAGGTCGTTCCGAAGCAGCATAATTTCTCGTTGCAGCGACGCCATGGTGTGGTTCTGGAAGTCACTCTGGCCAGAAGTCTGTCCAGATATCGACTGGGCGAAACTGTCTAGACTGGGTTGCTGCGCTACGGCCCGCTGTGCCAACGGGCTAGCCATGTCCGGCTTCTTTGTATCAGTAGTAGGTGGTAGTGTTGGAGAGTCCATCATGTCGCGACCTTTGAGCAAGGGAGAAGCCATCGACTTGATAGATACAGCAGACTTAAGTGACTTGCTCCGTGGTACTTCGACATCTGGAATTTGTGGAGCATCACCCGAAACGTTCATAGTCGACTGAGTATTTCTCCAGCTTTCGTCTGAGTCATGCACGGTCGTACCATCCTGATCATCCAGGGTGAACTGCGAGGGTATTTCAGGGACAGGCGGTAAAGCTGCGTTGGGTGGGGGACCGGGATCCTCCAATGTCGACGACACGGCAACGCAGAGATCCATGCACTCGACGACGACGTCTGCGGGATCGCTCTTCAGCCACCTGTTTTCGCTAAGCTCATCTTCCACAGTGGTAGTGAACATGTTGGGGTGCAGCAGATGGACACGGCGGTAGGGTTCTGTCCGGCTGTGGATGAGGTCCTGATCTAGGTCAAAGTCGCGCGCTCCAGGGAAGTTGAGCGACTTGAGGTACCTCCTCGGCTTGCGCACGAAACTCATAAAGTTGAGCGGGAATAGGCCGTAGAGGAAGGTGAAGTAGTGCATGAGGGTCGGCGGGGGCGAGGCTGGGTAGTCCATGGCTGGTTGCACCTGCTCCCAAGCCTGCTCTGAGCTGTCATGATTTTCCTCGTCTTCTTCTTCGCTGTCGTCATCGTCGTCGTGCATGTCCATCTCGCCAGCTTTGCCATCGTTGTTCCCCAGCTTGTCCCAACACAATATCCGACAGTAGACAAGGAACATCTTCTCGAGGTGGTGGTCCGAGGTCAGCGCTCCGCATATGTGAGGCAGGAACATGATGAGCACGACGAGAGCCAGCTCGATGACGGTCGACGAGTTGTCGATGAGCAGGCATTTCTCCAGGTTCTGGATGAGGGGCGTTTCGAGAACGAGGTGGAGATGCGGCGGCTGGAGGCGGACAAAGGCACTGAGCAGGTTGAGGGCCTGTATGCGGTGTTGCTTCTGCACGAGGAGGTCGTCGAGTGTGAGGAGGAGGATCTAGAACAGTCAGCCAAGGCCATGTGCATGTGCATGGTAGAAGAACAACCTTTGGCATCTTGCGCCCAAAGGCGACTAGGACGGCCTCGAGCTCATGGGCGACGAACTCGTTCTCTGGAGACACGGCATCCGAAGGCACCTTGGTCCTCGCCAGGTATGCATCTAGTATCTTGTTGGTGAAGAGAGCGGACAAGCGGGCGTGCTCTCCATCGTGGTCCTCTCCGGGGTCGTAGACCAAGATGCTCTGCACAAAGGCCCTCGCGTCTTCAATCTCGCTCTTCTTGTAGCCTATGCCGTCGATGACGGGTCGCAGCGTCGAGTTCCACCAGGCGGTCAGACGCGCCTCGCCTGTTATCGCGGGCCGAAGCAGTCGCAGAGCTGATAAGAAGGCGCCGCGCTTGTCGGGGCTATTGGCGACATGGCGCAGGTACAGCGCGTGGAGATCATCGTGGAAGCGCTGGGAGTCGTGGTCGTCAATGTCGTCATAGCGCTGGAGGAAGGCGTGGATGGTGGCATAGAGCTCGTCGGGCAGAGGGTCGGGCACGGCCGAGGCAGAGAAGGCGGCATTCAGAGCTTTCAGGGACTCGCGCATAGACCTGCGCGTGTTAGCGGTGCTGCGACCCGGCCAGACGTTGGGGCAGCAGCGTACCCAGACATGATTCTCTCTCGCTGTCTCTCTCCACCTGCCGTGGATGCAGCTGGGCGATGTGGGCGATGCGCAGTCTATAAGGTTACGGATACAGGAGCAGCGTCGCCGGTAGAGTGCACGAGTAAGCATGTCACTGCCCATGCAGGGCCGGTCTGGGGAGCCAAAGCTTTTTGACGGCGGGAATGCGTGGGGTGACGACAGTGAGGGAGCAGCAGCCAACGGCGGCAGACAGACAGTAGTTCAGTGCCGCGCCTTCAAACACGACCTGGTGCTCCTTTTGCGCGCGAGCATGGCCCCATGGATGTGCAGCGCTATTGAGTGAGCCCCGGACATGCGCCAAAACAAATGCTCGTCTCACTGCCGGCGTCCCAAGTGCCTTGAAGCATCCAAGGCCTGTTGGCGTTGATGATGCTAACCCGAGGTGCAGCGCCCAGTCGCGGCTAGGGGGCCGTGCGCCGCACCCCTGCAAGCCACCACAAACGGCCTCGAGGCCACCATGGTTGCTTCTGCCACCCCTGACGACTCTACATGTCTTCCATGACAACAGTCCAACACAGCCAGAAACAACCAATCCAGCATGTTGGATTCGCTTGCCCTGAACCCTTGCTGCGCATCCGACTCGACTTGAACAGCCCCCACCACGGCAGTCGCTCGCCGGACTGCCAATCAGACATGCTTCTGAGAGACATTTCCTGTGCGAGCCTCGAATCGTCTCGCAACTCGCCCAATAATTGCGTGTGTCAGCCATGCCGTTATCTTTCCCCTCGGGTCATACCTCTATATTGAAAAATGTCCCGGCGTGGCGTTTCGCTTTGCTTGGGCACGCTTGGATTAGACAGTACGCTATATGCGGCAGCCCTGCAGCCTCTCCTACCCCAATATCTCACATGTCTGACTGCTGCAAACTCAATACACAGGGTCCCCTCATGCACAAAGCAACTGTGTTTTCTTTGCTCACTAGATTAGCAACAGCCGATCTTTCTCTATCCGAAAGCGCGCTAGAATAAACTTTTCCAAGGCCGTCGAGTTGCGCGGGATGCGCCGAAGCGGACCTCCTCTGCCCATACTATCGCCAATTACCGATACCGAGAACACGGTAACCTCGGACCCATGCCGCCATGTGCAGCTCTGCCCCGTACCTCCCTCTTATCGCAACCATCTCCCTCATCCGCCCCATTCCGACTTTTTATTACAATTTCCATCACACCTTCTCTATCAAGATCAGCGAATCTGCCCCGTCGGGTCCTCTTCCGATCGGCTTAAAAGTAGCCCCGTATGCTGGATGCAAACGTGATCGTCCATGGGTGTCTCGCCCTACGATAGCACTAATCTAGCTGTGATTTACAAAGCTACATGACCTAGACATATACATCACAACCGAGCATATGATGCACACAGAAATTGCGCTGTTGGAGAGCAGAAGATCCATCTGCTCTGACATGACCCACAAAGGCAGAATGACGGCCGGCGATAATCCCTGGCCTGGTAAGCGAATCACCACCAGCCCCAGGGTTGCAAGCTCTGTGTATGATAGCGCCATGTTTCGGCACAATCCAGCCAACGACCTGGAAGGACGACCAAGGTCTTCAATTCATTGTCCAGATGGCAAAGCGATCGTTAGAACAGAAGTATCAGCAAAGCCATGACAAGATCGTCATCATCATCTTGTGTTCTTTCGACAAGCAAGAGATGTGCAAGCGTGTGGAGACAGCGGGACTCAGCATCAAGGTATGCACAGTTGGTTCTGTCCAGGGTAAGAAGTGTTCCTGTACAAACTGCACATGAAGCACGTTCACCGACATTTTACCTACAACACTAGGCCACGAGCGCCATGTTGTCTTTGTGTATTTTCCCACTACCGACTAAGAAAGCAAGAGTCCCTGGATTTTGAGCGACGACCGGTGCGTCAACATTGCGGTGAGTAGGTCCAAAAAAGTCACGTTCATCTTAAAATACAACACGCTATATAGCCAATGACTTTATGAACTTAAAAGTACGCACTTTGCTGTCAATTGAGTCCCCAACAAACCACGATAAAGGATCTGTGAAGCCAGAAACCAAAACAAGAACCTTCTCCGTCCTGCAACGTTCCCAGCATCACTGGTACATTATTCTCTAGACTGCCCTGTTTGTTGCACTTGGAAATCCACTTGTTCTTCCACTCGAACTCGATCCAGACGTTGTAGCAGCGTTTCATTCATTGTGCTCTTTGATCTCAAGCTTCTGCCTCTTGTTCTCGCGATCGATCTCAGTACGCGTGTAGTCTTTGACCCCCTTACTGCGAACGGTAAGCCTTGCTGTGGCTCGTTGTTCTTCGAGGCCCTTCGCTTTTCCCGTAGCCACTAGAACAGCATGTTGCTCCTCTATGAGGTCAGCCTCAAGCGTTTGTGTGTCCCTTGGAATTCTTCGTGCTTTGCTTCAATGTTGTTATAGAGATGCGCTGAATTTGGGGCTCCAGGAGTACAATTGTCATATTGGCCGGAGAAGTCTGCGGGTATGGCTATCAAGTCCAGTGGATTTGATTCGTGGAAGATCAAATTCTCTATTCACGTGTCTATTTACGCTACGTTTGATATACAACCTGGTCATCATGCCAGCACCATACCGTGCTAGGTGCTTTGTATGAATGCTATCCGGAATTTGGCGGTGTGAAGACAAGTGATACGTTCGTTATACAACCCATTTCCCCTAGACAGGAAGAGTCTACGAAGGTACACCAACAACCTCAAACTGGTAGTTGCACAGCGGCTTCGAGTCCGTAACCTCAATACTTCCATATCCTCCGCCTACCATGGTACTCTCGTCCCAAACCTCCAACTGCACTTTCCCTGGAATCAGCTTCTCGAGCCCGGTGAACTTGAACTTGTTGAAGCCGGGGCGGAGATTCGTCTTGTTCAGCTCCTTGGTGCCGACATTGACAACCGCGACGAGGTTCGTCTTGCCTTCGGGGACGAGCACGACGCCGGACACAGCATCCTCGGCGGCCTTCGCAATGTCTCCCGACTTGGCTACGTCGTCGTCGTAGCAGGTACCGCCGACTGTAAGCGTATGGTGCCAGAAAGTGCCCTGGACGGCCTTTCCATCAGTAGGATGCATGTTCGCTGTTGTGCGGTCGCCCCTCTTCCATGCGGCGATGAAGGGTTGGAGAATCTGCCAGTAGCCTGTATGGTCGTAGTCATCCGTGAGAAGCTCCGTCCTGTCGTCCAACGGATCTGAGTGAAGCTTTCCCATGTAGTGACCCTCACCGGCATCGTTCCAGGTCTGGAGCTGCACCATATCTGGCTGCAAATCGAGTATCTGACCAAACCTGTTCTCAAGGTTGTCTTCGCCACGACGGTACCAGTTGTCCTTGTTGCTAAGGTGCTTGTATTGTACTGGCGAAATACCCATCATGAACAGCTTATTCGCTTTATCGGCGGCGGTCTGGAACGTACGGTCCGTCGCAGCAGATACGGTGACTTTTCCGTCTTGCGTTGCAGGCCATGAATTCCAGTTGAATACGCCATCGAGAGCAGTGCGGCTGTTGAAGAAACTGGTGCTGGGATTGTAGATCTCAGAGAAGCCGGGCACGACTAGCACGTTGCCAACTTTGCCCTTGAACTTGTTCCAGTCGTCATCTGTAAAGTCCTCACCGCCAAAGGTAGACAGGAGAGGCTTGTCGACATTATCAGATGGGTCTCGCATCTTGAGATAAGAAGGATAAGTGCTGTAACGCGTGAAGTAATCGGCGTAATCCATGGGACTTTTCAAAACGCCATGACCATGGTCGAAAGAGAAGAATAGACTGAAGCCGCCAATGTCTTCGGCATTATTGAACATGTAGGTTACGGTGTCATTGGACCACCACTCGAATTGGTCTGGTTTCTGTTAGGAAGGGGTTGAGCTTGCATTGATAAGAGTCTGTACCAAAGTTGAGCGCAAAGCCATCCAAACCGATATTCTTTGCGTCGAGAATATCCTGGCGGACATCGTTATTTTGGAGGCCACCCACCATGTAGTGTGCCACTCTGCGCAAAGATCAGCATACGTACACGTCCAATACCCCAGGTGACTTACATCGGCCTGTCGACGACAGAACGTGGTGTAGCCCGACCAGCAACGGCGCTAGCCATAAGGCCGGCAACGAATGTAGAATCAAACCGCATCTTGGAGCTTCAGATTCTCGTACAAGTACCAGATCAGTGATGTGGTTGACGGTCGGCTGGGTGGTTGTGCCAGTCTACTTTATAGCCTCGATGTCGTATTTCGTAGTGTCCCTCGAAACATGCGTTTGCGTAAGGCCACCGACTACACAGCCCGTGGCAGCCTCGCCGTTCAGAACAGTGGCGGCACGAAATGAAAACTAGGCCTGCCAGCAGGGATGTTCGTTCAGACGGTAGCATCGTGGTCCCGCTGGCTTTCCACTTTATCCGAACAGCCCTCCATGAATCTTTGCGCGAAGCCTATCCCGCTCTTCGCGCTGGTTCAGCGATCATTAGCCTACCAACAATTCACCTATTCCCTAATTGTTCAAGGACGAATTCGCTGCTTGCAAAGAATGCGAAAAGATTGCAAGGACCATTCCGCGCATCTCCGCAACGCCACGTGCATTTCGGGCCACCAGCTGTGGAGACGCTTAGAGAACCGTGTACGTTGGTAAGGCATCATCGGCATGGTTAGACTGCGATCAATGAGCCGTCTTGCTAGTCTTTTGTTCTAAAAAAACGCGTCGTTGCATGATGTGTTACGCGACGGGCCGCGACGTGGATGAAGAAGGCAGATCAACCCAATCAGATTTGGTACTGACGTTGACGCCTCTTGGTACCTCGGTACTCTCCTGCCTCGCCGTCGTCATCCACTACGGTCCGCTGTAATAATAGGGTCCAGCAAGTCCGCAAGAAGGCTATCAGACCATGATGTCGTGTTCTACGCGCCAAATGCAAGGTGGGCCGTAAGGGCGCACATAATTCCACAATTGAGCGAGCGGTACGATCCAGAACAACTCGGAACGGTAGTGAATACGAATTCCATTGATCATCAAGACATCATCCCAAGTCGCTTCATTTTTAGATTAATGTGATTTGATCCACACCCGGTAACAATCGTGTCAATTGAATATGCCTACTAGGTTGAGTACGATCATCCAACCTGTGCTATTCCATCAACACAACATCCTTCTTTCACCCTGTCGGCCTACTGTTTGTCTCCTCTCTCACCTAGTCCCTCTTTCCCTCCTTGGACCTTCGTCGCGCCCCCAATTCCTGTCGTCCGAGTGGGCTGCGCCTGATGGTCTGGTTGCTTGGCCGGATGATCGTCTCCGCTCTTGTTCTCATCTTTAGAGGCACTAGACTGGTGATCCGTGTTTTGCGTGTCCGAACGCATCTTCGCGTTTGGTGCAGCAGAGGAGTTTTCAGATGGGTCCGGAAGGTTGGAGGCAGGATTCGGCGTGTCCATCAACTTTGCGTGGCTGGGTGTGGTAGTGAAAGTGCGCAATTGGGATGTGATTGGGCGTTGGAAGGCGCGCAGACGAAGGCTGATTGACGACATGGTGGGTATGTTGACGCTTTACGACCTGATGTTATTGCTGAGAATATCTTGAGAGGAATTCGCAGGTAAATAGGCTTGAGAATCAAACAATCAATGCCTACGAAGTTTGACAAGTGTCAGAAGCTCGGTTGTTGCAAGACGGATATGTGATGTCATTGTGACCGTTACGGCAGTGGCGAAGATCCGCAATTGCCCCAGGAGTTGCGAGAGCACAACTTGGCATCTATAAGCTAGCTCTACGAATGCTTCGTGTGCAAACAGAAGACGAAAGGAGCCATGCGAGCAGGTGCCTCGCCATGCCCAGTCAGGTGTTGTAGCAACACGTGCTTCATGCATTAGCGTGCCGACTACGCCTTATTGGGCGACGCATCAGGCTCCTTCCGTACTCGAGCTATTCAGAGAGCTCTGGGACGACATATTGTAATGCTGACAAGGGAAATTGGGCAATCAGATACGAAGTAGACACCACACCATCTCGTCTGTTGATATGCGAGAATTTGTGCTCTTTGGTGATTCGCTCACTGAATCAAGCTTCAGTGAAGAAACGCAAGGCTTTGGGCTTTTTCTTAGGCAACGGTATCAAGATTAAGTACAGATCGTCAACAAAGGTAGGTCTCAGCAAATCCTCTACCATACTTTCCAAATCCTACTCAGACATTGGGTCTACTATTTGTCATTTTCGTGCCGACCAGCAAGCATCGCCTAAATGGCCATGTCTGATATGTTGCCCGAGATCGTCTTGTTCGGCGCTTCTATGACAGAGTGGAGTTTCAGAGAAGAGACACAGGGTCTTGGGTGGTTTTTAGAAAAAAAATATGCGGGCAAGACGATGGTGGCGAATGAAGGATTCATGCACAGTTCCGCTGGTGCTTGTAGCGAAGTAAAGATGAGCTTTAGATCGTATGCTGACTGACGACAGGCAAAGCAGGGTACGTCGCTTAGTTCACATTCACGGCCTATATATTGACAAATTCTGTAGTTATACATCGACCCGTCTCAAGGATGACTTCACTCGTATAATCCACCGTGCAACATCCCCAGGCGCGGCACCAACCCTCCTGTTCACAATCTTCATCGGCGCAAACGACACCGCCATGGTCGGGGAGATGGAGTTTGTGCCTTGGCCCATCTTTTCAGCAACTATTCGAAACTTCCTTGACACTATCCTCAATGAGAACACTATGGAAAATACGAAGGTTTTGCTGATCACCCATCCTCCCATTAACGGATCTGTGGTCGAGACTGGAGAGAACAAGTCTGCAAGGGAAATTGAGGACATCAACCAATGGAGAAAGGAAGGCCCAAGGTACAAGACGTACATGAGCAAAAGGAGGTATGCAGACGGTATCATGCAAATTGCGAAAGAGTACGAAAAGACGGGGAGGGTCGTTGGGCTCAATTTCTGGCAAGATATTGTGCATGCAGTCGTTACAGAAGAAGGATGGCAGTACGATGAGCAGGTACCACCAGGATGCGGCCTGTTGGGCGCCCAGCCGTTCCCAACAGGGTGGATTACAGATGGGCTGCATCTCGATATCAGGGGATACAGAGTACTGAATAACGCACTATTGGAGAGCTAGCACCCGAGGCGCTGTAAACCTGTATGCAATCATGCATTCGTTCTACTGGGTATCTGATCCGCTCAAGCCACGCTCAACCCCTGTTCAAAGTGTTTCCTGAACCTTTGGGATTCGCCTCTACATACTCGTCCCATGCTCGCTGCTTCATCGTCTCTTCGTCTGCTGCAACAAGATCGTCCTCATTTGGCTCAGGCTGAATCTCGGACTGGGGGCCTCCACCCTCTATCATGCCACCTCGGCGCTTCTCTTCCTCTAAGTATTCGTCTATCGTCATTGTCGGTAGACTGTGGTCCGGACGGAAGACGTTCTTCTTCAGGGTTTGGCGGCTGTCCAATAGCGTAAAAGGCCGCATGGGTTTGCCGTCACCGCTCAAGATAGGCCCGGAGTACCGCAGCCCAGCATACTGACCATCCAGGCGCTCAGAATAACCGTCTTTGTCTCTGCCGTCCTGTCGGCTGTCAGGCGCCTGCTGTGCCTGTCCCTGTGGGGGCGCGGGTGGAGCCAGCGAGATGATGTGCAATTCTTGGGCCATCGACTCCAGCGAAGCAAATGTTTGATGCACCATAAACGCCAGGTTAGTCAGATGCAACTCTCGTACCACTTGCTCATCCTGTTCGGCAAGTTTGGGATTTTGTCGCAGGTACTGTTGTCGCATGTCTTAGCTCCAGAGTCGACCCGTAAAAGCAACATCAGCGTGACAACGTACCTCGAGTTTCCGCTTCAGCTCCTTCTCCTCCCTGAATCGGGAAATCTTTGCGTCCCGTCTTGCTGCGGCATCCCGTGTGTTAGCGGTGGAGAAGTTGCCCTTGTCTTCCGTGTAGGCTTCGAAGAGCTTCGCGTCCGCCTTGCCAAGCACATCATAGGAATCTAGGAGCTTGAGGAATCGCTCATAGTGCCCCCGCGCTCGTAGCAGATTTTGTTTTCGAAATGATATATCAGTGTTGAAGATTCTTTGTATGAGTTCTGCCATGTGATAGTTTATCGCCATGTATCTAAATGGTTAAGCGAGGGCCATGCGCACGGGATCGTGGGGTGGGTCGGAACACGCACTGTAGATCAGACGACGATATGTCTTCTAGAGTCTCGTTCGGGCTGAACAACGACACCTGCTCCGATATCTTTAGGCATTCTTCGTAGGTGGCGATGGTCGCGCCGAGGTTTTCCTGGTAGGTGGGACTGTTGGCTTCGTAAGAAGAAGAAAGCTCTTCGCGCGCCCTCTCGGCTTTTGAGAATAGTCCCCGGAGACTTTGCGGTTCGCTCGACATTGTGCGGAGGTTCTGACTGAGGATCGTGACGATGTTGAGGAAATGGTGGTGGGGAGACACGTGAGAGCGTGAGTTGGCGTTGATGAGTCAGCATTGACCTTTCCCAAACCGCGTACCCCGCTATCGCCGCAGGTACACCGCGCACTCCTGAAAGCGGTGGCTTCATGGTGACAGACATTTCTAATGCCAAGTTCCCCCGGCATGTTCAAACGGCCACGACTGCCTGATAGGGCCAGGACGAGCGAATCTGTCTGAGCACCCGTTGTCGGTTACATGCATTGTTTGCTCGCTCACGGACGCGCAACAGACTGCGCAAATACTGGCAGCACCCTTGTCCTCGACCATGAACTGTGTCCATGAGAGTGTTTCCTCTCTCTCGCACTCTGAATCTCGTGAAAAGCTTCAAGTAACCCTTTGGCAACCGACAGTATGGTGAATGCCACAAGCAAATCGTGGGTGACAATCGAAGAGCAACAAGAAGATTACTTCTCGTTCGAGGAGACATTGGCGTCTTCCGATTCTGAAGACGAAGACGACAAATACAACGAGACAAAACTACAAGATAAGGATGAAGACTCTGATGTAGACGCTGACATTGCGCATGCGCATGGCCCACACACAACATCAGAGAGGCGCAGAGCGCAGAACGAGATCTTGAGAGCCTTTGCTGCTAACATCAGTTCGCACTTGACGCAGAAGGAAGTCGACGATGCTGCCGCAAAGACTGTCAACGAAGAGCAGCTTTCGATCCGCGATATCCTGGCAAAACAAGATGGCACCGCTCGCATCACGAACCCACGCGACTATCAAACCGAACTGTTCCAGAGAGCCAAGAGCGAAAACGTGATAGCAGTACTGGATACGGGCTCCGGAAAGACCCACATCGCAACTCTACTCCTGCGACATATCCTAGATGGCGAGCTTGAATATCGGGCTGCAGGCGGCATCCCCAAGATTGCGTTCTTCCTGGTAGACTCAGTCAACCTCGTCTTCCAACAAGCAAATGTCTTGCGGTGCGGTCTAGACCAGAGTGTAGAGGGTATATGTGGCGCTATGGGTGCATCGCTATGGTCGAAATCGACCTGGAAGAGTCACTTTCAGAGTAACATGGTGATAGTATGTACCGCCGAGGTTCTCGTGCAGTGTATGATGCACTCCTTCATCACCATGGCCCAGATCAATCTCCTCATCTTTGACGAGGCCCATCATGCAAAAGGCAACCACCCCTACGCCCGTCTGATGAAGGACTACTACGTTCATGAACCGAAGCTTTCTAATCGGCCTCGTATCTTTGGGATGACAGCTTCTCCGATCGATACACGAGGACTGTCGATCGATCACATCAGGAACGTCGCGAATGACCTCGAGAAACTACTCCATTCCAAGATAGTCACTACGTCTGAGAGTGTTCTCGCTTCGAACAGTATCAGCAGGCCCATCGAGGAGATAGCAGTATATGAACGGCTACAGGACGAGTGTGAGACGCCCCTCCATCAAAAGATTAAGGCCAAGTTTGGAGACATATCGGCGTTCAAGAAATTATTCGTCGCATCTAAGCACCACGGCTCCGAGCTAGGCCGTTGGGCTTCCGACATGTATTGGTCTTTCGCTTTCACTGATGAGCAGAGTCGCAAGCTCGAAGATCGTGAGCACCTCAAGCACAACAAGACTAAACAAGATGGTGCCGCGCAGGAGTGGGATGCTCAGTCTAAACGCTTACAGGAGGCGGCCACATTTGTACAACAGTTCGACTTCGGTTCGTGCGCCCTTAGCAACGCAGACTTGAGTTCAAAGGTTCTCAAACTTCGTCACTGGCTCAATCTTTACTATGAGCGCGATGATGGAGCTCGTTGCATCGTCTTCGTTACGCAGCGACAGACCGCTCGCCTGCTTGAGCTCATCTTCTCCCAGATCGGCGGACCAAACCTCCGTTGCAGTGTGCTTGTCGGGGTGAATAATCGTGTAGGCGAGCACAATATTTCTTTACGGAACCAGATTCTGACGGTCGCCAAATTTCGTCGCGGTGAACTGAACTGCCTGTTTGCCACATCCGTAGCAGAGGAGGGGCTCGATATTCCACAATGCAACCTCATTGTACGGTTCGATCTCTACCGCACCATGATAGCATATGTGCAGTCTCGCGGTCGAGCAAGGCATCGCAATTCCAGGTACCTTCATATGGTCGAGGCTGGCAACGAAGATCATCAAAGCCGGGTCCTTGATGTCAAAAGCGACGAAGACACAATGCGAAGATATTGCAAAGCTCTTCCCCAGGATCGTCAAATCGGCGGAAATGACGTTGACTTGCTATCGTTCGAAGACAAGATGTACCCAAGTTTTGTCACAAAGGCTAGTGCAAAGCTCACTTACCGCTCAAGCTTATCTGTTCTCAATCACTTCGTAGCCACGCTGCCTGGACCTGACAGACAAACAATGCTTCAACCCACGTACGTCGTCAGTCCTGAAGTCAATTACGATGCCCTAGATCCGCAGCGGAGAGGATTTGTTTGCGAGGTAATGCTACCGGAGCATTCACCTGTGATTTCAGTCACTGGTGACATTCAGAGCAAGAAAGCAATTGCAAAGTGCTCCGCCGCATTCAAGACATGTCTCAAGCTGTACAACAAAGGCTATCTTGATGAGAATCTACTCCCTACGACCCACAGGAGCTTACCAGCCGGAAGAAATGCATTGCTGGCACTCAGTGAGAAGAAGAAAGGCATGTACTCCATGTTGATCAAGCCAGAGTTCTGGAAGATCGGGCGCGGCGTTGCCCCTACGTGTCTTTATCTCACCCTCATCGACCTTGATGCGGGTTTGGATCGACCTCATCAACCCATGGGGCTTCTCACTCGCAATCCCTTCCCGCAACTGCCAAATTTCCCCATCTATCTTACTGATTGTAGGCCCTCTAATGTCATCTCCCAATCCTCTCAAACTCCGCTATATGTGTCAGCAGAGACAATAGATATTCTCACTGGTTTTACTTTGCGCATATATGAGGATGTTTACAACAAGAAATATGAGAATGATGTCAAGAAGATGTCCTATTGGGTTGTGCCGATACTACCTGGCAAGATGTCTTCTCCGCTTCCCGTTAGCGCCCTCGATCAGATTCTGGACATGGGACAAATCCACAGAGTCTACAACGAGCCTACGTGGAGATGGACACCAAAGACTATTCCTAAGGACCTATTAGACCGTTACTTCGTGGACCCTATGAACGGAGGCCGACGCTACTACTCAAACCACCTCGCCACACAGCTCAAGCCACAAGATCCGGTTCCCAAACGTCTACCTCGTAGTGGGCACAAATTCATGGACAGCATCCTGGACTATAGTGACAGCAAGTGGGCAAAGAGCAGGGATATCTCAAGGTGGAACCAATCACAGCCTGTTCTTGAGGTCGAAAAGATCCCTTTCCGTCGCAATCACCTCGCATGTGTCGAAGAGAAAGAGAAAGGCGAGCTCGACGACCTCAAGACATACATTTGTCCCGAGCCCTTACATGTCTCTAATGTAAGCATGCAGCGATTCAGCATGTATACAGCAAGTTACTGACGATGTAGCTCGCAACACCATTCGTGGTCGTGTGTTACGTCTTACCAGCTATCATTCATCGATTCGAGAGCTACCTCATTGCTTTAGACGCCTGCAAAACTCTGGATCTCGATATCAGCCCAGCGCTTGCGTTGGAAGCCCTGACCAAAGACTCTGACAATTCCGAAGAGTATGGCGAGGAGAAAGTCAACTTCAAGAGCGGGATGGGCCCTAACTATGAGCGGTTAGTGTTGGACTCGCACATGGAGCTACCCACTGATACAACACAGTCTCGAGTTTCTAGGAGATTGCTTCCTCAAGATGGCTACGTCCCTTTCGGTGTTTGTACAGCAGCCAGACGAGAACGAGTTCGAATTTCATGTCCGCCGCATGGAAATGCTTTGCAACAAGAATCTGATGGAGACTGCAGTGGGTAAGAAGAAAGTAATTTCTGCAGATGGAACCGAGCTGGACATTCAGCTTTACAGGTACATTCGCACCGACTCGTTCTCGCGGTATGTATAAAACTCTCACCGAGCCCCCCTCCAAAGGACTAACTCGTGTAGGCGCACATGGTACCCTGAAGGGCTCAAACTTCTCAAGGGTAAAGGACTGAATAAGACCGAAGACGATTGGCTCAAACTCACGCACAATCTCGGGGATAAGAGTATAGCGGATGTTTGTGAGGCCTTTATTGGTGCTGCTTTCCAACAGTATCACAAGGCCGGACGCTGGAACCCCAGGCACTGGGATGAAGCCGTCAAAGCTGTCAAGCTGTTTGCCAACAGTGGGGATCATCTGATGTCAAAGTGGTCGGACTACTATGACGCGTACCAGAAGCCAAAGTATCAGATCGCGGATGCCACCGCGGCAATGCTTGATACTGCTCTCAAGATTGAACTGAAGCACCCGTACCACTTCAAGTACCCTCGCTTACTCCGATCGGCCTTCGCTCATCCATCGTACCCATACTTGTATGAGAACATACCAAACTATCAGCGTCTGGAATTCCTAGGTAATGTCTCCTTCATGAACCGCATGTTCACACACACACTGACTCCTTTCTCGCCCTCTAGGTGACTCTCTCCTCGACATGGCTTTCATCATGCATCTTTACTACAAATATCCGGACAAGGACCCCCAGTGGCTCACTGAGCACAAGACGCCCATGGTGTCCAACAAATTCTTAGGCGCCGTGTGTGTCAAGCTGGGCTGGCATGTTCACATCAAACAGAATACTGCTATCCTGAGCTCCCAGATCCGCCAGTATGTCTTGGAGGCCGAGGAAGCAGAGCGGGGAGCAGGTGGTGCTGTCGACTATTGGGTAACCATCAGTGAACCACCCAAGTGTCTGGCTGATGTAATCGAGGCATATACGGCAGCCATCTTCGTAGATGCGGAGTTTGACTTCAGCGTCGTACAGGATTTCTTCGACATGCATCTCAAGCCCTTCTTCGAGGACATGACGCTCGGGACCTATGAGAACTTCGCTTCCAACCATCCGACCACACGTCTCAGTCGCCTCCTTTCCATCACCTTTGGCTGCAGCGAGTGGCGCATGACCGCCATGGAGACGGACACGCTCATCCCTAGTAAGGGCAAGGCCATCGCTGCTATGATCATGATCCACGGGAAGGTGGTCTTTCATTCCTTGGGCCAGAGCGGGAGATATGCACGTGTCAGGGCTAGCCATACAGCATTGGAGAAGTTAGATGGGCTTCCACCGTATGAGTTCCGGAAGAGGTATGGTTGCGATTGCGTGTATGAGGGTGAGGGTGAGGGCGAGCAAGATAAAACAGTACTGCAGGCGAAGGCAGAGCGGATGAAGGAAGCTATAGGTCTGAGTATCTAAACCGTTGGGTCAAACATGTGATAGGTCGAGATGACTGCTGAGCATTACAGCCTCATACAGGTTGCATGACCAGTGGCTCTCCATGCTCTCTTCTCTGTGGTAGCTGCACGGTACCTATTCGACGAAGGAAGACAATAAAAGTATTTGAAAACCTTTCCGGCAGTCATACTTCTTGCAACCAGTAATGTGGACATCCAAAACGATTCTGATCAAACTTAGATCAAAGATAACACCACATTCGGCATTTGCAGTGATGAACGCGAACCAGCCAACACCACCAGGGCACGTATTGCGAAGCACAGCTGGAGGAGACCTTCGCAGTTGGCAGTGTATAAAGGGTATATTCATCCTAACTTTGTACAAGAATAACAGCGTCATTAATTCCTCCAGTCATCCAACCTCGTACTTCGTAAAATCGCAAATAATAACTCCTAGAATAGAAGAAGATCTACAAGACTTCTTCCACTCCAAATTCGTCGCAAACTCTCTGTTTGAGGGCATCTAGCCCGACCATACTTATGGGTGGACACTACAAGAAGAGTGCACATACGAAAACAGCGATCAGAGCTGCGGTACAGCTAGAACGAATTTGCGAGGCCGCCCCTTCCGTCTCCGAGGGCTGTGCAGCGTCCCCGGTTTGGCTCGGGTTGCCGCCGCTGGAGCTTGGAGTGCCACTAGGGCTCGTGTTCTCGCCGCCAGGTGTGTTAGACCCGTCGTCCGATACAACATTGAGCGACAAATCATTGATTTGCTGACCGTTGCTGCCGTAGACAGCCTGCTTGACGTCTCGGTCGCCAATGTCCACCAGTGCGCCGTTCTGTGGGTTCTCGATACCGTTGTCAATGAGGTCCTGGCACCCAGGGCAGACGGCCGGAATCGTGAAGTTTTTGCTAAAGTCTTGCGCGGATATGAGGCTCGCATCGCACTCGGGGGCTTGAATCTCGGTGGACTGAGGATTGGCTTGCTCAAGAGAGCTGACGTTAAGCTGGTTAAATTGGTTTTGGAGGTTGTCATAGTCCTTGAGAAGCTTGACGGAGCCGTCTTGGTCAATATCAACTAGACCGTAGTTCGCTTCCTCTTGGGAGTACTCGTAGACGAGGCCGCCAGAGAGTGCTCGCATCTGGTCTCCGTAAAGCGCTTGAACCTCGTCGAAGTCACGGGGAGTAACACGATTGCAGCCATATTCACTGTAGAAGACAGGAATGGCAGAACTGTTGAACATGGCGACCAAGCTATCGTAGCCGGAAGTCTGGTAGTTGTCGCCATTGCACCAGCTGTAGGAGTTGAGACCAAAGAAGTCAGAAGACGATGCATCCTCGTCGTGTACACACTGCATGTACGCCCAGGTGTCTTGGAGGATCTCGCGGACATCTGCAGCAGAGTAGCCGACTGGGATGGTGCGGTCGGCGTGGTTCTTGATGTAGTTCTTCATGTCACGCTGAACAGCCTGTTTTCTCGTTAGCCTGGAGAACTGGTGAAGGTAGCTCGTCGTCCAAACGTACCCGGATGTACTGTGGGTTAAACTCGGCAGTGGAGAGGTCGTTCATGACCTCGTTTGCAGAGAAGAAACCCAAGGTGTTAGGGAAGCCCTTGAAGTTCTCGATGATACCAAACGCACGGGTAAGGTAATCGCTGTTGTAGGAAGTCCATGGTGCCTCGCGGTTGATGCTCTCTCCTGGCAAGGGCGAGTTGACATCAAGAATCATGTAGATGCCGGCGGCATTGAAGATTGAGGCGCATTTGGAGTGGTCAAGCGAAGGGTCGAGATTGTAGACACGGATCGTGTTTACACCCAACTTCTGCATGAGCGTAGCATCTCGCAGACAGACATCGGCATTTGTGAGAGCGTCTTCGCTGTTCGAGGGCTGGTACGCTCCTTGACCTCCAGGTTGGTAGTCAACACCAACAATCATCAATCGCTTGTTCGTGACGGTGTCGACAAAGTCCTGTCCGCGGACTTCCACTGGATGGACGGCATACGCAATCGTTGAAAAGAGCGCGGGGAGCAGCGTGACCGCGCGAGTTAACTAGGAAGATGACTTTAGCGTTGTTGCAGGTGCAGGGAACATGGGTTTTATGCTTGAGAGACATGAGACGTACAGAAGGCATTCCAACAAACGAATGTTACGACGACGACAGTAAAACGAGAGACCTGGAAATGTTCGGACGATTGCAGCGACTGCTGGCAAGCCTTATAATCCTTCCGTTATCCGCTCGTGTTGGTATCGCAATGTTATGCACCAAGACTAGTTGCAGTGGACCTTGGCCGCGGAGGAGCAGCTAAGACGGATCGCTTGCCGGCTGCTGTATTGTGATTCGAGCGTGAAAAACGAACGACATGCATACAGCTAGACCGCTGGGGAAAGATAGGGCCAAAAGTGACAAAAGTGGGCGCAGAGGAAGAGAGGGACAGGGAGCCAGGAAGCAGAGACATGTCTGCTTCTTGTCAATTGCAAGCAGGCAGTGGCTGTTGGACGTGATGCTTTGGGAAGGTGTGCTTACTGCTTCAGCCCATCTCGGTAATGATGACTTCCACGATAGCAGCAACGGGATGACCTCAAGACGTGCGCCGCTGCCATTGCCAATGCGACCCGCGCAGAAAGCTCTGAAGGCGTCTAATCTAGCGTGCTCCGAGTGGGCCGTGAACGTGTCCTGGCTTTACCGATGAGCTTGCCTCTTCTTGTTCCAAGGTTCTTGCCCAAAGTAACAGGAACATGTCCAATTTGCGAGCCGTGTTCGACTTTTGGAGTAGGATCATGACGCCATTCTCTAAACAGATGGCAGGGATTGCTGCACTCCAGCCCACGTACTGCGTTTGCGCACCAATCATCGCATCTAAACTCCGATATGCATCTTGGCAATGTTTACTGCACATGCGGGACAGATAAACGTGGCGCGCATAATACTCGAGGACAGCTCGCTACAAGAATTCTGGCAGATCAATCACACATCATCTCTCGACGTTCAGCGTCGGGCCTCATAATCAACACAGACTCATTCATGGACGGGTGCGAACATTGGTTCTGTATATATCGTTGGCAGAGATAATCTCTGCACTCGGGCTCAACGTCTATTTAGTCCTACGGGTGGACACATGTGGGTCCTCTTAGCCGCATGTTTGGTTCCAAGATCCACATGCCTGAGCTTGTCGTGCCCCGGCGGTTGTGGAAGCCGAAGGTATGCATTTTGAGAACGCCATGTGAGCAAGATCACGTTCCGATTACGTCCAGGAGCGTACTCGACCAGCAATAGCTAGGATCAGCCGTAGATAATATCCTGTCGGCCGTTGGATGCAAGTGGCTTGACGGTTATCCGACTTTTACGATTGAGCCTACGACGCTGAAAGCGTTATAGCCAGCTGTCTCGCGCTGCCGCTCATCCTGTCATGTCCACATCCCGTGTCTTTCTCTTCAGCCCGCTCTCACTTTCCTCGATCTGGCCTTGAAATTTGGTTTGGAGCGCTTCTAGCAAGACCTCTTTGACCACCGCGAGACTGCCCACAGCCGCGTGAGTGGCTCCCTCAATCAGAGCATCGGGATCGGAGCCCACATCTCCCTTCATCCATATCTCGGTGATCTCGTCTCTTGAAGCCAGGTAGCCGACTACACATGCAGCGACAACTTCCCTGTGCTCTGCTGGACAGGGGTCGAGTATCCTAGCCAGCTCTTGCTGTTGTGTGGAGCTGGGGTTCCGTGTTATAGCGGCGACACCTCCACACACTACATCCACGCAATCTATGCCGGCGTCTGTTATGGCCGCGCTCGCGACTGTTATGCACCCTGCCAACACATTCAAGAGTCCCCATCCGCTTCCAGTTGCGTTTCCTTCACTGGCGGAGTCACCCCACCAGCCGTCCTCGTCACCTTCCAGGATGGTGACCACTACTTCGACTCCGCTCTTAGGCCATCTCTCTCCGATGATGACACCCCGTAGTGCAGTTTCCAGGTGAACACCCAAATCGCGCTCTGCCGAATCCCGAATATAGCCTCGTCTTTGACGGGTTGCGAACGGGGCGAATTTGACCGTAGTCGTGAGAAGGAGCGATGGACTGAATGGCGCGCTGCGGGGGAGAGGCTTTGGGCCTTGGATAGAAGCAGTGATTTTGAGTGACGAAGTCGGCGGAATGAGTGTCGATTTGGTCGTAGGGGAGGACGAAGGTATCTCAAGGTAGGCAGAGCCCGATGCGGAAGGTATAATGGACGTTTGGAGAACTGTTGTAATGCTTAGGAATGGAACGTACAAGGATGGTATACCAAATGACAGGAAGTTCGCAAATCCCATTGGGAAGCTCAAACCACTCTGAGCACGCGTAAACAGAGACTATGAAGCTGTTTGGGCACTTACAGATCCTGCGAAGCTCATTCGCGCCTCTTGACCTTGTCGGTCTCAACTTCTCCAGATACTGCGGTTCTCTAATCGTTCGCGCAAACACAGGCGCACTGGTTCCACCACTAGGCGCATTGTTTCGTCTTCTGTCAGCGTTCATCGTGCTTGCATCTGCGTCGTGTTGAACGCGCTGTACTTGCGGATGATTTCATGGTGTTCAGAAAAGTGGATGACTAAGCACAGACCCGCCAAGATTTCGGGACCCTCAAGTTCAATTTTCCTGCGCGTCTGGTTCAACTTTCTTTCCTTACCTCACACACGCGCTCAAGGTACGTTAACACACTCCCACCCATTCCTCTCCCTTTCATTGATGATACCCTTGAAAAAGTTCTTGCGATCTCAGATGAGCTATGAACACATGCACCACCCTCTGATCTCACACCTGAAGCTTTTGCTTTTGCACAAGACTTTACGACTGTAGCTAATCTCAGTCTAGATACAGCTCAGGATCGAGGTGTATCGCGCGAGAGGACAGCTCTCTTCAGCGGCCTAAGCATCTCACTGTTGAGGCGGCCGCAAAGTGTGAGCGCATGGGCGTACGATGTAGCCGCCAGCATGCCTCCCAACACCTCATCTGTCGCTAACCTGCAGCGTCTCGAAGCACATACTGGTTAATGGTAAGTCCTCGTCGTTTTCTCTGTATATGCTTTATATGATGATCGTATTATTTCAGTTCTGCTACTGAACCTCTTTGAAGAAAATTTATACCGCTTACCTTTGTCTGATATAACTCTGCACTCTCAGCTCTTCACTTCAATCGTCGAAGAACACTGCTGACACTGCAACCAGATACCCATCCGAGCCGCTCGCTTTGCATGCCTGCATATGGTAAGCACCCCGACTCCCAACCCGTTCGCAAGGAGGAAAACTAGTCTATCCATTCAACGACATCTGTCGCCGGGTCACCCTCCCGCACCCTACCAGTCTCGGCTGGAATGACGGGTTGTGGAGTTGCACTGTTGGCTTGTCCAACGTCGCGTGATTGTGGTCTTTGAGCCAAAAGTCGTAGCAATCCGTCTTGGGCTGTTGCGACCTGAGGCCAGGCGATGGGGGATGATTTAACACGGCTGTCTGAGCGCAACATCTGTCTAAAACATGACGACATGGCTGTTTGAACATTGCTAACAGCATCCAGATTGTTACGAAGGACATGTATTCGTGTAGTCCGCATTCTGTTTAGATTATGGTAGATAGGAATCTCTAAATATGTTCATTCAATTTTTCAGTCGTGACACCTTGTGCGCGTGCAGCCGTTTGCAACCCGCTGAAGTACTGTCGATACTAGGTGTCCCTTTGGTATTGGAACAACGCGTATGCAATATGGAGAATACGAATGTCTAAACTTACTTCCGTTGAGGTACTGATTCGATTCGCTGCTTGGGCGGAGATAGCTGCTCCTGCACATCATTGCTCTACCAGTCTGAAACGGCCATACTACGTGGCTTGGCTTAGCCTCACCTCGTGAACCTTGCAAAGTGTCAGCACTCGAACGACAACCATCGTGCATCTCGTCAGCCTCGCGCGTCGAGTCAATTGATTCGGCCATATCCGTTGCAGACGCCACTTAGCCATCAGCATCCCCGTCTGGACGTCACCGTGGCCTTAGCGAACAAATCCTTGGCCAAGCCCTACAACGGAGGTTACCAGAGACGCGCAGCACCCCCGAACGCACGCGATCCGCCATCTAAACGCCTGTATTGGATTGCTCTACATCGCAATTACTCTCGGGGGCGGCAATCCATCTTACTCGGGAGCAGCAAGGACTGGGAGGCAGTACTTTGTTCAACCACTTGGTGATCTGGCGGGTCTTCGGTGACCGGGGGTCTCCAAGGGAGCAATTGACATCTGGCGCCCAACTCTCTGAATGTTGCCTTTACATTCATCGTCAAAAGGGAAGATGCACCGCCATGCCTATTCCAACGGGGCATATCCCTCGCACGGAGGGGGTACCTTCTCCATCCAACCTCACAAGTACGTTCATCACCTACGACCCATGGCGCAACTATCGCGCAGCATCTCAACCCGCGTCTCCGTTACGACTACGACTCAGACAATCGTGTTGCTAACCTCTAGTGCACCTCCAGATTCCAGCCGCGATCACAGCCTGCGCTCAGGCGGCGGAGAACACTGATACAGCGCTTGCTGCTTGTCGGTTCGCTGTTCTTTACCGCCCTATTCTTCTTCTTCCCTGATCTGCGACCAAACCTGGGTTCCGGACCCCTCAGCTTGATCTCCTCGAACGACGATGCGCAGCTTGAGACCGTGCGATACTACGATTTGAACAACGTGCAAGGAACGGCGAGGGGATGGGAAAGGGAGGAGCGCATTCTGTTGTGCGCTCCTTTGCGAGACGCGGCTCCGCATCTGCCCATGTTCTTTGGCCATTTGCAAAACCTCACATACCCCCACAACCTCATCGATTTGGCTTTCCTCGTTGGAGATTCCAAGGATAACACCATCTCACTCTTGACGGAGAAGTTGGAGGAGCTACAGGCCAATCCCGACCCCAAGCAGCAGTTTGGCGAGATCTCGATCATGGAGAAAGACTTTGGACAAAAAGTTAACCAAGATGTTGAGAGCCGACACGGTTTCGCCGCACAGGCTAGCCGCCGAAAGTCAATGGCACAAGCGCGAAACTGGCTGCTGAGCGCTGCTCTGCGGCCAACACACAGCTGGGTATACTGGAGAGATGTGGACGTGGAGACTGCTCCATTCACTATTCTGGAAGATCTCATGCGACACAACAAGGATGTCATCGTGCCCAGTATGTACAATGATACATGAGGAAAATATAAATTGCTGACCAGTCACTCAGATGTCTGGCGACCACTTCCGGACTGGCTTGGCGGCGAACAGCCATACGACCTGAACTCCTGGCAAGAATCTGAGACTGCCCTCGCCCTCGCCGACACTCTCGACGAGGATGCAGTTATTGTAGAAGGCTACGCAGAGTACGCCACTTGGCGCCCGCATTTGGCCTACCTCCGCGACCCCTACGGCGACCCAGACATGGAGATGGAAATTGATGGTGTTGGTGGTGTTAGCATTCTTGCGAAAGCCAAGGTCTTCCGCTCTGGTGTTCACTTCCCTGCATTCAGTTTTGAGAAGCACGCTGAGACAGAAGGATTTGGCAAGGTAAGCTACGACGTTCCTACCTTGTTGCAGCGCTAACATATTGCAGATGGCCAAGCGCATGAAGTTTTCCGTGGTCGGTCTTCCCCACTACACTATCTGGCATCTTTACGAACCCAGTGTCGACGACATCCGACACATGGAGGAGATGGAGAAGGAGCGCAAGGCCAAGGAGGCTGAGGAAGAAGCAAAGAAGGCCAAGGAGGCTAAGATCAAGGACAATTTTGATGAGAAGAAGAGCGACTGGGAAAAAGAGAAGGCAGCCGTCCAAGACATGGTTCAGCAAGCAAAGAACGAGGAAAAGGCGGCCGCTGAGAAGGAGAAGCAACAAGAAGCGGCAGCAAAAGAGGAGCCGCCCAAGGCAGACTCCAAGGAGGAGAAGCCAGCTGATAGGAACGAGGGCGATCAATCATAGTTGTCGCAGTATTCCAGTAATTTCAAGGGTGTGAGACCTAGGTCCGCGCCTGTTTGCAACCTTATAGTGGAACGAAGCACTACAGCAACGACAGTAACGAGTTGGGCAGACCGGGCGCAGATCTGGACCTTTGCTTCTTTCGATCCACTGTGTGCTTTGTGGTGGAGCCTAAAGACTTGAGGCAGCAACGTTTCGCCGAGCCGGTCTCCGAAGGTGGCATTGGAAGCGTGTCTTTTCCTGCTTGGAGGGCGTTTGAAGACTATTTGGAGGAATGTATACATTAGATAGCAGCTTTGCATCAGGGGCGTTGTAGGCTCGACAGTAGATGAGCATCGCGTTTGTGTGTAACAACATCGAGAAACAGTACAGAATTCCTACCAAGACCGTGACTATGGCCTGCCGTGTGTTTCGTCATGGACGTGTGACGCTGGCTGGATCCCTGGCCTCAGCACCTCCGAAACTCCGCTAGAGCTAAGCCGCCAAATGTTCGGATGGTACACACGACGTCTCTATCCGCCGTGCAGTACTTGAGGACAGATATTCGAGGTAATCGCTTCTTCTGCATCTCGCAAATTTGGGTTCTGTCTTCATCACTAGGCGGCAGCCATTGGAAGCATGCGTGTCATCTTTCAAGTCGACTGAACTAGACATATAGCTGTCCATGTGCCCTCCACCTTGAAGACACCCTGTCGCGCACCACATTCCTGTCGCAAACACTTGCATACCCCGAACCCTTCAGCACCATGTCGAGCACAGATGGCGACGACCACGTCGCGTCAACACTTCAAGAGACAATTGTGGACCTGGATCCACGGCCCATTACCGTCGCAGTCAACCCAGTAGCTCTGGTGGTCACAGAATGCATTACCGTCACGTCGGCGATGCGAAAGCATGCCCGCTGGGCGCACTCTTCAGTCGCAGCTATACTGGGCAGCTCCTCGAACAAGACGCCGGCCGTCCAACGACGCGACCGCACAGGACAAGGCATCATAAGCGCAGGAGAGCAAGAGGAAGCCGTACCGAGCAGATGGGGCCTACGCGGGAAGAAGGGCAAGAGCATGCAGGACAATCCCCTCATGTCTGCATTTGCGCGCCTGAGGAATGACCTGAAGGGCTGCAAAGGTGAAGATGGCAGTCCGGACAGAACACGAGCTAAGCTAATGCGACACCAGATATCCGGACCTTCGATACCCCCTCTATGCTCCACCCCTTTCTGCAGGTCATCCGCTCTTCATCCACCTCCGCGCCCATAACCTCGCTTGCCCTCATTGCTATCACCAAGTTCCTGTCGTACGGCATAATTGGCCATGACTCTCCACGTCTACCAGAAGCTATGCAACAGCTCTCCTCTGCCATCACCCACTGCCGATTCGAGGCCAGCGACTCGGCCGCCGACGAGATTGTGCTCCTTCGCATACTCAGGCTTATGGAGGTCATGATATCAGGTCGAGGCGGAGAAGTACTGGGCGACGAAAGTGTGTGCGAGATGATGGAGACAGGCTTGAGCATGTGCTGCCAAGCGAGACTGTCAGAGCTGCTGCGACGCTCGGCGGAGATCGCCATGGTCTCCATGTGTCAAGTCATATTTCGGCGACTGAAAACGCTGGAGATCGAATCGCCAGATGAACTTGACGCCATGGACGAGGAGCTGGAAGGACAGGACGACCAAGAGGGCCTGAGAATGGACCCAACAGCAAATGGCGAGGGAGACTCTGCACAGCACAAGGTTGAAGCCCTTCAGCAGCCAAGTGACCCAGAGAAAGGCCATGAGGACAATGACAGTGCCGGGAACCCTGCGAGCAGTACCCTGGATCTCTCAGCAACGGCCGAGGATGGCCAGCCGCAAGCCCCTCTTGAGATCAAGCCTTACTCGCTGCCTTCTATAAGAGAGCTTTTCAGAGTTCTGGTCGATTTGTTAGACCCGCATGACCGTCAACATACTGACACGATGCGCGTCATGGCGTTGCGCATCGTGGACGTCGCTCTCGAAGTCGCTGGACCGTCGATAGCAAGTCATCCCAGTCTGGCGAACCTGGCCAAGGACACTTTGTGCAGGCACATTTTCCAGCTCGTCAGGTCAGACAACATGGCCATATTGAACGAATCTTTGAGAGTCGCAGGTACGTTGCTGGCGACATGCAGAAACGTCCTCAAGCTGCAGCAAGAGCTCTACCTCTCATACCTGGTCGCTTGTCTTTTTCCACGGGTGGAGATACCAGTCGAGCCCGGTATTGAGCCTTCAATATACGAAGGTGTCCCGCATGCGCCCAGCCTCATCAAGCAGCCACCACAGCAGAATAGCAGCTCTAGTGGCCGTTCAACTCCAGTACCTGTCAAAGATCGCCAGAAGCTGGGACTAGAAGGAGGTGCTCGAAAGCCAGATGCCCGAGAAGCCATGATAGAAAACCTAGGTGGCTTGGTCCGGATTCCTTCTTACATGGCTGAACTCTTCGTCAACTATGACTGTGAGATTGACCGTGGGGACGTCTGTATGGACATAGTTGGACTCCTGTCAAGAAACGCTTTTCCAGACTCTGCGACATGGAGCACCGTTAATGTACCTCCGCTATGTCTGGATGCTCTTCTCGGTTTTGCGCAATCGATGGCAGATCGCCTGGACGATGAACCGGTGACAGAAGGCTATCCTAGTGCCGAGTCACTGCGCAAGCAGCGAGCGCTTAAGGCTGTCATCATCCGTGGTGCAACCAAGTTTAATGAGAAGCCCAAGGCTGGCATTGCCTATCTTGCATCTCAAGGCATCATTCGAGACCCTGACGATCCTCAATGTATCGCTGAGTTCGTCAAGGGTACTGCAAGAGTTGACAAGAAGGTACTGGGAGAGTTCATATCCAAGAAAGGAAACGAGGCGGTATTGAGTGCTTTCATCGATTTGTTCGATTTCACAGGGCAGCGAATTGATGAGGCTCTTCGACAGCTCCTACACGCGTTCCGTCTCCCTGGTGAATCAGCCCTGATCGAGCGAATTCTGTCCGAGTTCTCCGAGAAATATTTCAAAATGGCGAAGCCAGAAGGCATCGCCAACCACGATGCTATTTACATCCTCACCTACGCTGTCATCATGTTGAACACTGATCAGCACAATCCCAACATGAAGCAAAAGCGAATGCAGTTTGAAGACTTCCGAAAGAACGTCCGCGGCGTCAACGACGGCAAGGACTTCGACCCAGAGTTCTTGCAGGGAATCTATGAATCCATCAAGAACCGGGAGATCATATTACCGGAAGAGCATAGTGACCGAAATGCATATGACCACGCGTGGAAGGAGTTATTGGTCAAGTGTCAGTCGACCTCGGATATCGTCATCTGCGATACCAACATTTTCGACGCAGACATGTTTGCTGCGACATGGAAGCCAATCATCGCGACATTGTCTTATGTCTTCATGTCCGCCACTGACGATGCTGTCTTCTCACGCGTTGTTCAGGGCTTCGACCAGTGCGCGCAGATTGCTGCCAAGTACGGACTGACTGATGCTCTCGACCGTATCATCTCGTGTTTGTCATACATCAGCACACTCGCTCCCGATGTGCCACCAAGCACTTCACTCAATACCGAAGTCCAAGCGGACAAAAAGAGCGTCATGGTCAGCGAGACTGCTGTGCGGTTCGGTCGTGACGGCAGGGCGCAACTAGCGACTGTGGTCTTGTTCCAGGTCATCAAGGGTAATGAGGCATCGATAAGAGATGGATGGCAACACGTAAGACTGTCAACCCTTTTTCAGCATATCGCTAACAGTCTTAGCTCATTCGCATCATGGTGAATCTATTCGTCAACTCGCTGATACCCCCATACTTCCTCTCCTTTCAGAAGACGCTTGCTCTAGCACCGATACCACTCCAGAATCCCGCGCAAGTGATTGACCGCGCAGAGCGTCCGGCGGATACTGGCATCTTCTCGGCACTGACATCCTACGTCTCGAGCTTCGCCAACGACGAGCCTCCGGAGCCGTCAGATCAAGAGATCGAGTACACGCTATGCACCGTGGATACTGTCAAGGAGTGTCATTTTGAAGATATTCTTGCAAACATCAGTCAACTACCTGTGGAGTCTCTGCGATCGCTTCTGGCCTCACTGCTTGAGCATCTCCCCGAAGATGGCTCGCCCAGGGTTATCGTTGTGAAGCCTGAGATACCTGGCGCAAGTCCACGGACGACTGGCCCGAAGCAGAAGGGTAAAGGCCCGCTCTACGACCCAAGCCTTGTGTTTGTGCTCGAACTAGCCACCGTTCTAGCTCTCAGAGACGAAGAGACGGTCAAGGAGCTCGCCAAGGATGTGACAGATGCTTTGACGTCTGTCATTCGAGACGCTCCTAAACACCATTATGTGGTCATTGCGCGATCGGTGTACTATCTGCTCAGCCTTTTGAAAGCTAGCAATGTAAGTCTCGATGCCTCTCCATGGGATATATATACTGATGAAATTAGGACTACGATTTCATCCGTGCCCCAGTCCTCATGCACACATTCTCAAGCTTCAACGATGCTCTCCTGCATGAGTGCGCTCAGCCAATCTTGAAGGGACTGACAGACTGCTGCAAAGGCTCCAATGCCCTTCGTAGTGAACTTGCAGGCTCACCAGACTTCTGGACCATTCTCAACAGGCTTGCAAGCGTGCCTGATGCTGCTGGGGACGTTTTCCAGCTTGTCGAAGACCTTACCACTTCTCCTCAACCCGGCATCACTGCTGACAATTACGAAGCTGCGATTGCGCTTCTCAACGAGTTTGCAACTGCAGCCCAAGTAGGTGCTCGAGAAGAGCAACTGCATGACCAGGCTGCACGACGCAACAAGGGACAGAAGCCTAAGAAGCTTGAGAATAGTGAGATAGTCGTACGCGGCAGCACCGCTATGAGCATCGTCTTCCAGCTTTCCAGCAGAGTGCCGAATTTCATCGAGCAGTCTCATCTCGAAACGACTGAAGGTAGAAGGAATGCGCATGTCGCTCAGGTTCGAAATGCTAACATACTTACAGCATGGACGGCCTACTGGTCACCCATTCTCAAGACCCTCGCGCATCAATGTCTCAACCCTTGCCGATCGTTGCGTCAACAAGCCTTCTCTTCACTCCAACGCACACTTCTTTCCAACGATCTCGCTTCCCCCGAACATCGAGAATGGACCGCGATCTTCAGCGAGGTCTTGATCCCACTCATTACCCAGCTTCTTAAACCAGAAGTCTATCAGTCTGATCCACTAGGTATGAGCGAAACCCGGGTCCGAGCCGCTACGCTGCTGAGCAAGGTATTCCTCCATTACTTGGTGCTGCTTGATGGTTTGTCTGGTGAAGAGAAGGAGGACGGAGAGAAGAGCCTGTCTTTCGAAGAATTATGGATTACGATTGTGGGCATAATGGACCGCCTGGGCAATAGCGGACAGGGCGACATGGAAGAAGCTGTCGCCGAGAATCTAAAGAACATGCTTCTAGTACTCAGCAATGGCGGGTACCTTGCGCCACCCGACGAAAACCCCGAGCGAGAGGACCTCTGGCATGAGACCTGGAAGCGCATCAATCGCTTCCAACCCAGCCTTTTCGCTGAGTTGTTCCCCGATGAAGCCGGGAAGCGTGCAAGACCGCGACCTAGCAAGGATGAAAGAACGCCAAAGAGTGAGCCTATCATAGATGGTAGGGAGATGGATGTTGCCGAGAGGAAGAAGGGCGGCAGCAGTAGCAATGGAGATACGGTGGATGGTAGTGACGAGGCCGAGGAAGACCAGGAGAAAGTCGCAGAGAAGGAAGGCTAGCAGCTACTTCAGCGTGCAGGGATCTGAAGATCGGGCGCGTGAGTGTAGCATTATCGTCAAGTCAAAGCGTAGATGGACTGAGAAGTAATGAAGACGATAACATGACGCTGCGCCCGTTTCACTTGTTCATCCATTGCTCGTCATCACGTTCACGCCAAGGTTTGGTAATAGTTGCTCTACTGGCATCTATCGAGGTTCCCAGACTCAGGAAGAGACCTGAAAATCACTCTGCTAGCCCATGTCCCACAGGCTTAGTGACAATCGTCAAACACATTGGGCATGTTATCCATGTTATAGCATCAGTCGAATAGCTTCTGATTTGAATGTCTTTAGATTTGATTGTGCATACTGCTCTAGACTGTAGCGAAAAAATGAATAGCTTCATGTAGCACATGGTATATACAACCGTGTCCTGTGTATAGGCAAAATGTCTCTACTCGACGAGACAACACCTTGACACCAGATTGCACCAAGATTCCCTCTCTAATATACTACGAAGAAAAGTGATTCGTGGCCCATATAACTCCAAGCCGAAGATTAAACGCCGTCGTCAATAAAGCCGTTCACTCATCAAGTTTGCTCATCCCCTTTCCTCTCTTCGGACTGCTGGCGCGGCTTTTTATTCTCTCCCTGCTATACGTCCGGCTCAGCTCGAATGCGCTCGGTGGACCCAGACCCAAACCAGTGCCCTCCCTGACAACATCTCCTGCGGTGGTCGTGCCGAAATAACTTGGTCCGCCGGGAACAGATTCAGTCTTGATCTGCGGCGTCGCCCAACCACTCGTCCTGCCTACTTTGGACCCCTCAGAGGAATCCGAGAATTCGTTATCCGATGAGTCCAGATAAGTCTCCTCAAGTTCGAACTCGTTTGCCGCATCCCCATCTTCCAAGTCAACACGTTCGTAAGGTTGCTGAGTGTGCGACGAGGCGCCGCCTAAGCCAAAAAGTTTAGCTGGAAAGCCGCGACCGCGACGGCGATGAAGAGGGTCTTTGCCCTGTTTGCTCTTGAAAAGTCTGCCGATGTACTGCTTGACTGTGTTCCTCCTCTCTTTGCCAAGTATGAGGCAGAAGATGAAAATGAAGATGAATATCATGATGAAAAAGCCGGGTATACGCTGTGGGTGCTCGACGAAAAGACGGTGCCAGTCGCTGTCTGATTCGAACTCTCTAGGTACCCCACCAGGATATTGGAAGTCTGATGGTATCCCCGGGACGTTGGAGCCAAAGCCTACTGCCAGCGCCTTTTCGGAGGGTAGTGGAACCTCGCTCGAAGCGTAAAGGACCATCTTGCCGAGGGTCCAGCTGACTTCCACGTCGTTGATCTTGTTGACTGCTTGGAACGGGTCCAGGAACCCCTTTGTCTTTGCGTTGTCGATGACAGCTTTAGTGGTGTTTTGGCTACCTTTCATGGCTTCGATACCAACTCGAGGGACGCCGATTCCATCGTGAAGCATATTGATGACCCAGGAAGCTTTGAAGCAGACATCCCGTGCCTTCTCCTCGTCGACTTTATGACCCCACTTTTCCTTCTTGATACCCTTCTCTATGCTCTTCCAGTCTTGACTACAGAACTCGTCCACTCGCTCCTGGTATGTTTTGAGATCGTAGGCCTTGTCCTTGTGTCCGTGTTCGAAAATCTCATGCGTAGTATGCCAGTATTCGGATACGCCTACGAAGTGGTTCACGTTGAAGTCGATGGCAGGAACATGCTGACCGTTGAACAAACACGGCGAGTCTTTACACTCTTTCTCTTTCTCCAACAACGGGAACGTCCGGTGCAAGCATTCCGCGAACTGGCCCGTACCAATCAGTTTCGCCGCGGTCTTCTGTTTGGGCTTATCGTCGTCATCGTCGTCGTCGTCCAAGTCAATGATCTTGCCATCTTTTGTAACCTCTAGCTCGAGATCTGCTGGTAGGCAAGGATCAGGTAGCTCAGTCTCCGCGCTCGACTCCAATAAAGCCTTGATATATCGCTCTCTCGCTTGATTGACACCAAATCCCAACCAAGTTGTCACAAAGACCTTGTACTCTAGCGGTGTACCATCAATCGTTCGTAGTCGCATGAGCGTCAAATCGTTCGCGTGCTTTTCCGCTTCGGTTGCATTTGGGGCGAAGGCGATCTGAGCCGATGCGCCTCCCATGTCCAGAAATCCATACGTGTTGTGTCCCTTGCCATGATCGTGTTCCTTTGGCTGGTCAAATCCGCCGAGTAGGTAATTCGCCGCTATCCAGCCATACAGGCCCTCTGTCTCTCCTGGAATGACCTGCACGTGCACATCGCAATCGGGCAGTTGAAACTGAGTGGTAGCGCGCGCAAACTCGCAGACTTCCTTCAACACTTCTTTCCGTTGTCGTTCAGGAAGTATGCGCATGCCCGCCGTCGCAAGCAGGAATAGAGGCGTGTTCGGGACTTCTTCCAGGGGTACATGCTTAAGTGCATGGCTGAGGAGTTTGTCGAGGTGTTCGGGTCCGACATCGTGAGGGTGTTCGCCGAAAGTTGAGATACCTGTCCCACCTTCCGTCAGACGACTGTTGGCCAGAGTCCCCTCTCACCCACATACCTGGATGTATCTTCTTCGTCCACTTCTTGTCGGTTTCTATGACGGGCAGGCTGTGTAGTTGTGCATCGCTGGCCTTCTTGCGAGCTGCGTCGCTATTGAGCCATCGGTAAACATGGACGCGCGTCCCCTATGATATGGTTAGCTGGGACCCTGCGATAACTGCACACCGACTGTTTGGAAAACTTACAGAGGACCCAGCATCCAGGACAACACCATATCTCCCTGTTCATCAAACAGTGTCAGCGTGCGAGCTGTGTGGAGGGCATAGGGCTGCATATGGGTGGTTGCGTACACTTTCCCATCGAGAGAGTCAGGATCCAAGGACGGCTATCTAGCAATGCGCATGCGGAAAGCAACAGTGGTTATTACAAGAGATATGTCGGAAGAGGATGGTAGCGGCGCGGCCGGAATCGAACAGGTGCTTTGCGTAAAACGAGCGACGTGAAGGAGGGGAGTAGTTAGTGATGGCGGATAAGTAAAGGTTGAGACTTGGACCCTGGCAGCTGGCGGCGCCGCTTCCAGAAGGCGCATGGATCAGCGTCCCGCGTCCGCTGCGACGTTTTATGGGGCGGAACAAATGTGCGAGCGGCCAGTTACCGGTAGTTTATGACGTGAGCCTCTGACTTTCGACGCGATCGTCGTTTTCACTCTCGCGCAAGAACCACGTTTCACTTATTGTTTTTCACAACGGTGGTCCTGACAAGTTGTAGGAGCGCTGAGTGGTACTCGCTAGTGCAGACTCGACAGGCTCCGGTACGCTTGTCACCTAAGGTTTTGGTAGCTAAATACTCCGTATCGCGCCACATAAGTGCAGGGGCGGCAATAAGAAGGATCAACAGTGTCGTGCATGAACATTCCCAGCGCTTCAGAGTGACTATGACGTATCAGCATCCTATGTGCTATGTCCATGTGGCAATTGAGTGTTAGATCTTGATTAGGTGTCAGCCAGAGTGAATGGAGAATGCAAGCTAGCATTGCATAGGTAAACTGAAGGCCGTGGCTCTGCTCAATCATGCAACAACGGGGCTAATTCCTAATTGGCATTGGCAAAAATGTGGTATGGCAAACAGATTGACAAAAAGAAAAATTTCATGTGACCTCGAGGCGATTTGAACGCCTAACCTTCAGGATGCTCCAGAGGAACTGGAATCTGACGCGCTACCATTGCGCCACGAAGCCGGTCTTGCTGATTTGAAAGACCTGACAAATATAAACAATATATAGATATGCGTGGAGTTCTGCTTTACTAGCTGCCAGCGTGGCTCATCACCTGTCAGTAAGTGCATGTGGGGCAGCCCACCTTTCAAACCCATTTGTCTGAAATACCTTCTTCACGTGTTGCGGCTAGCTCTCGGCATGCAAGCACATAGCTATATTCGATCATTAAGCGTCTTTCAAGCTTAACGTCCGAACATTCCTAATCCTCAAGTAAGAATCTCAAGAACGCTTTGGCAATGACTACTCCGTCATGGTGATTCCCGACCCTCGCCAGTGCATCCTTTGCCTGCTCGTCTTCAAAAATACCCTGCTCCGCCCTCATCTTGACCAAGTAGCTTACGATAGGCTCGGTGAACTCAGGATGTCCTTGCACAGAGATGAGCTTGCCCTTTTTGTACATGCCCTGCACCAGACACCGTGGTGATCCTCCCAGTTTTTCCACGCCTTCCGGATACTCGAAGACAATGTCTTTATGCATTTGGTGGATTGCCTGTAACTTTTAGCATGACAGATTGTAATCGCCTTGGTTCTGAGAGACATACCAACGTATCTTGTTGGAAGATCTCTTTGCCTTTTGCGGTGAGTTGTACTGGCAGCACTGAGATTTCCCATCCGTCGTCGCTGCGTCCAACTTTGACCCCTGCAGCTCTTCCAAGAATTTGGTGACCAAAGCAAACACCGATGATGCGAATCCGATCTTGCTTCAACAGTCTCTCCGTGAACTCGACCAGCTTCAGTATCCACGGGTCGTTATCGAAGGAGTTGTGTTCTGCGCCACATCAGCCACGCTCTTCAACGTTGCTTTTTCGGGTGATACATACTCGAGCCCGAGATCAGTACGGCATCTACATTTTCCAAGTCTGGATATTCCTGCGCTGTGACCACATCAAATGCGCTCAATTCAAGATCTTGCTTTGGCGATAAGCCCAGTTCCGTGGCTGCGGTTTCCAATAACGTGGTGAAGATACGATCATATCTACCGTACTTCTCGACGACCGCGGCTGGCGGCGTGTCGCATTCGAGGATAGCTATTCTCAGAGGTGTCTTCATGTTTCTGGATGTCTACGATTCGAGTTGCAAAGAGCGAGATAACGCCGTCTTTGATAACGGGAAAGTGACGGCGAATTCGGGAGCACTAGCGTGATTCGGCTCGTTGGCACCTGCACCACGAAAGCTTGTCAGCTCTGGCTCTCCCTGGCTCTCCCTGGTTTCACCTTCGCTAACCCAATTCCAGCGGCGGCGTGAATCTGAGACTCAAAGACGAATCACGCGTGATCCAAAGACAATTGACATCTGCTGTTATGTCATCGTGCGCATCCGAGCGAACACCGCTTCTTCGCTCCGATTCGGCAAACCACCGGGACGACTCTCATCTAATTACCGACAATGCAATCACGACCGCAGAGGTAGCGGAACAGGGGGAGGGCGCTGCACCTCAATTCCCAGCATCAGGAAACAGGAAAAACAGTTTGCGTGCTCCATCGCTCAAGCCTAATGTTGATGGGCCCGATATCGCGCACGAAGCAGAGAGCCTGGTCAAGTTTCAGAAAGATGGAAAACTTGAAGGCGTTGGGGTGTGGAAATTTAGACTGGTGTTTGGTGGCATTCTGCTCGGGTACTTTGTGAGTTTCTGAAACATATCGAAATACTAATACTGACTGTGTACTGGCAGATTGCCATGTTTGACTCTACCTTGATGGCATCAAGTCATCCAGTCATTACATCGTACTTTCATGCGTCAAATTCAGCGTCATGGTTATCGACGGCCTTCTTGCTTACGTCAACATCGCTTCAACCACTAATGGGTCGACTCTCAGATACTGTTGGCCGTCGACCGTTGTATCTGGCGGGTCTCGTTGTCCTTGCGGCGACGACCGCATGGTGCGCTCTTGCGCAGACCATCGGTAGCTTCATCGCGGCGCGAGCTCTCTGTGGCATCGGCGCGGCCGGAGTACTGTCAATGGGCAACATCATGACCAACGATCTAGTCAGTATCGAAGTCCGAGGCACTTACCAGGCCTACATCAACCTCTTCTATGGAGGCGGCTCCGCTTGTGGGGCGGCTTTTGGCGGCGTGCTTTGCGACAAATTAGGATGGCGGATGACTTTTGCTGTACAGATTCCTGTCCTAGTGTTGCTCTTGGTCAATGCCATATTCACGACACCATCTTCTCTAGGTCCAAATCTGGCCAAGCGCTACGGCTTAGGTCTAAAAGATGGTCTCAAGGGATTCGATGTCGCTGGATCCATGCTGCTGACTGTCTCCGTCGCGTTCCTCATTCTAGGGTTGAACCTTGGTGGCAACATATACCCATGGAAACATTGGGTCGTTATTACTTCGCTGGTGGTGGCAACAGTAACGGGCGCAATCCTGGTCAAAGTTGAGTCGAGGGCTTCGCGAGCGGTCATGCCTCTGCCTATGTTGTTTAGCAGGCCCCGAGGCAACCTCGTTTTCAACAATTTCTTCGCTCAGGTGGGAATGAACACCATTTTGTTCAACGCACCGCTGTACTTCCAAGCTGTTGAGCTTGAGACAGCTTCGGTGTCCGGGTTTCGCCTTGCAGGCCCTTCTGTTGCCCTCACTATATGCGGCGTCTCTGCAGGCTTCATCATGACCGCCACCGGGCGCATGAAATGGCTGATTGTACTTGGCTCTCTCTCCATGCTGTTGGGAGCTTTTTGCCTCTCTTTAATGTGGGACGGGATACCAAAATGGCTTGCCACGATTTTTCTGGTCCCTTCGAGTATTGGTCAAGGCTTGAGCTTCCCAGCAACGAGCCTTGCAGTCCTTGCGACAAGCACACAGGAGGATCAGGCGGTGATGACCAGCACACTCATCTTATGGCGTAGCTTGGGCATCGTGATGGGTGTCTCACTGAGTAGTCTCATCTTACAGAATGCTTTGACATCACACCTTGAGAGCCTGGTGTCCGGTCACAACAAGACTAAGGTACGCATTGCCCCATCCCTAAAGCTTGAGCGGTAATGCTGTGCTGTTATCCTGGTCAAAACTGTTCGATGCTAACCTGTCCAAATAGATCATACAACGTGTTCGTAAATCGGTCCGCAGCATTGCCGACCTAGATCCCAAGCATCAGAGTCAAGGTTCGTCTCACTCGCATCCTGTAACGTTTTACAGTGGTGGTCACGTCCACAGTCTGCTTCTAGCTGAGATTGACACTAACTCCATTTCTAGTGATCGAGGCATATAGCCGTAGCCTACGCTTGGTCTTTATTTCGGCAATCGTCATGTTTATCATTGTCAATTTGCTCGTAATCGCAATCGATTTACCACAGCTGAGGAAAAAAGCATCTTCAGATGACGAAGACGAATGAGGGGAGGAATCAGAGGTTTAGTAGAACAATGGATTATATATCACGGCGAAGCTCAAATACATTCGTATACACAAGGATATGACTTGTGCACCTATAACTTCCATTTGGCGAACCACTCCAGAATGAACGGCGTAGCGTCCCATGTAGTAGGTCCGTTCCTCAGTGTGTCGAATGGTTCACCTTGGGCCTTGCGACTGGGCCATCCGTGACCAAATCCCTGGATACTCCTGTGAACAACAACATCTTTGACACCATTGCACTGCCATCGTCGCTCTGTAACCTTGTCGCTGGCTATGTTCACAGCTGAAGGGTTGCTCAAGCAATTATCATGCTTCGCCCAATCCTCAACCCAGTTCAGAACCGGGATAGAAGCTGGTGGTGGATTGTTGTTGCCATCGTATGCAACCACGCTATCGTTCAGCCCATGCAGATTCATGTAGGGAAGTGCTCGTCCCTGCAGGTTAGGAAGACATCCTCCCTGAAATAGAGGCTCCGTAAGACTTGCGTCCGGATAAAATGCGCCTGCCACTGTTGCAAAGGCCGCAAATCGTTTATTGAGCTTTGGGTCGCACATCAAAAGTCCAGTCAGTCCACCACCGTTAGAAAGACCAGCGGCGTATATACGGCTTTCATCGATGCAGAGCGTGGATGTGAGATGTGAAAGGAGTTCATCAACAAAGATTCTGTCGTCAATCACCGAAGATGTAGGAGCCAGCGGGTCTCCAAGCCATTGCACCTAAACCATATGATTAGACCCATTGATTGTTGATCTCGACGAGAAATATCGATTCGAATGACTTACACCGGGGGGCTGAACATTCATGCCCTCTGGATAGACCACAATGGTATTCGGATTGAAAGCCGGATTTGACAACTCGCTGATCACTTCCATGCTCCTGGCTGGCTGCTGCTGACCATGAAAAGCAATTACCAGCGGTGAAGCTTTCTTGTTTGCGACATCGAACGATGATGGCAGGTGGATAATGTATTGACGCTCGGTTGTTTTGCCAATGACGGATTTCGAGGACAGAGTCACATTGGTGGTAGATTTGCCTGGCGTGAGCCCCGACGATAGGCTGCTTCCACAGCCAGAGCTGGCTGCGAGCGCGATAGGACAAAGAGCATACAGAACAAGCGAGAGAGTGTGCATGGCTGCGATGGTGTGATGCGAATAGCAGATGGCGTAGAACAGACTACTAGATCATCATGCTGCATACTTATATACAGCCCCTACACACGATTAGAAGATTCACGGTGTAGAGTAACGCCGTACGAGATGACACGACGCTACGAATCGGCCCGTTCGGCCATGAAATTGAGAAGACTGTCAGCAGCGTCAATGCTCCTTCGGCCCGGTTTACTAGCGGTCTAGCAAGCACCGAAGTTCGAAGCTGGGAGTCTAAAGGGACTATAATTACTGTAAATCTAGAGCGTTGCAGACAGACTCTTTATAAGCGATTAGAAGACAAATATAAAAGAATAATTAGTAGCTATTATATACAACATATTAGATAAACTCTAATCTAAGAGCTATAACCTACTTTGAATTTAGTTAACGTGCTAGTAATAAAATATAAGTAAAAAGTCTTTGTATATACTATATAATAAAACAGTAAGAAAATATCTAAAGGTCTACAGTATATAGTAGAGCACTTACTATTACGAAGTATATATAAGTATAATATACTTATCTAGGGATTATAGTATAATAAGGTAGTAGAGCTACTATACACAAATAAAGAATAATAAAAAAGTAGAGCCTTGCAATATACTAGAATAAAAGCTTTATATAATTAGCTATTAGCTTTAAAGTAAGTAGAAGTAAGCTATAAAAAAGTATAATAATATATTACTAGAAGGATACCTCTAGCTACTATTTATATTAACTCTAATAGGTTTTAGCTAAAAGTTAGCTACTTATTAGAATATTAGATTATAACTAAAGTTATAATCTAGCGTTTATACCTAGGTAGTAAGTAGTATTACTAGACTATAAGTACTTAAGTATATAATAAATTACTTAGAGTATAAATTCTTTTCTTTATACTAAACTACTTATTAAAACTTCTAGTAAGTCTTCTTTTTTATTTTATTTTCTTTACTAAGTTTATAAGATATAAGAAAAGATTTTTTTTTCTCTACTAGCGTCGCGCTTAACTACTTACTTTTTTTTATTATTCTAGACACGCTAAGTATAGATAAAAAAGTAATTAATAAGCTAGCTAGAATAATAGTAGCGTCTAATAAGTTATAAGAGATTAATTTTTATAAAGCTATCTATAACGCTAAGTTATTCTACCTACTAGTATATATCTATAGTAATATTATTATATAGAGGTAGCTGCCTATAAAGTTATTTAAAGTCTTATCTTTTATAATATTATTATTATTTATAAAGTTATAAGGTATAACTAAAGATTTAAGGCTAAGTTTAAAATTAAACTATATATTAATACTTCTTATAAAGTTATATACTAATAAGAGTAAATATTATTTAGTTTAAAGATAGAGAAAAAATTAGAGCTTAAAGTTACTCTCTTTAAGAGAAGAAACTTTACCTAAGTAGTATAAAGAGTAAAGTACTATAAACTAGCTTTTAATAGCGTAGATTTATTAAATCTAATAGAAATTATTAAGTAGCCTAGGAAACGTAAGCTTAAGTAAATTTGAAAGTAATATATAATATTTAATAGAAAATATAATAAATACGTATAAGAAATATAATATATGATACTACGCTCTACTAAGAAGGTAAAGACGCTTAGTAATATATTTATAAGAGTATTAGCTTTTAAAACTTTTATAAATTATCTATTATAGCTTTATTACTACAAATCTCTATATAGATTTAAAAATAGTATTAATACTAAGTATTATACTTATAGCTTAGGCTTGTTATAATACACTATTAAAGCTATATATAGTATTATATCGCTCTATTATTGCTATATATTTTAATATTATAAATGTAAATAGTCTCTTCTAAGCTTTTAATATATACCTTATAGTATTTCTATTCTATATATTATATAGAGCGTAACTATAAGTAATAGTACTTACTTTAAATTATTAAAGATAGTAAAAGATAGCTTATATATTTAGACTAAAGGTATTAATAATAAGAAAAGAAATTTTTACTTTACTTTATATAGTAAAGTATGCTTAATAAGTAAGTATACTTTATTAATAAGTATACTTTATAAGTTAGTATAGTAAATATTTTATTCTATTAGAGGATATATAGTTTTATTTTTTTTTCTTAAATTTCTTTCTTAAGACTAGTAGCCTAAGTAATAGTTACTATTATAAGAATGTTTTTTATAATCTAAAAAGTAAAAATAAGATATTTCCTACTATATACTTTAAGTTTTCTATATTTAAAACCTTTTTATAACTTTTTTATTATTTTTACTATACTTATAACTTATACTATAAAAAAAAGTTATAATAGAAAAAGTTATAAAGAGTATTAGACTATTACTTTATTATAAAATAAAATCTTATATTAATAAAGTAAAAGTAGAGATTTCTTTACTTACTTTCTATAAAGGTAATAAACTATTATTATAATATATATTTGTTCTTTTAAATATATCTTATATACTTAATACTAATGTCTTATATATAATATAATAATATTATTTATTCTTCTTATGTAGAACTTGTACTTTAATATAGTTTTAAGCTTTATTAGTAGGGATATTTAAATAATTTATTTTAAAGAAGCTTCTTTATATAATAAGAGTAAGTATAATAAGCGCATAGTAGCTAAGCTTACTATATAAATTGCTTATACTATATATAAGATATAGCTTATGATAAGAAGTAATATTATAAGCTTAAGTAAAAGCCTTATTATCTTTATATTTAAAGTAATTATAGTACTAACTATATAGTAACTTTTATATTTATATTCTTAGATTATTAATAGTTTTAGAAATAATTTATACATTCTAAGAAAGATAGTTAGTAAGCTTAACTAGCTATATAGGTTTTACTATTAAGAGAATCTACGTACTAGTAATTAAACGCAGACAAAACGCTATTAAAGTATACTATAGTATACTAGAGTAGAAGTGTCCCCCCTTAGGCCTTAGGGACAGGGCCTATAGTATTTCTATATTATATATTATTGCTTTATCGCGTTATTACATAATATTATAGTATTATTAAGAATATTTTAAGTAGTTAAGCTTAAACATACTTAAACGTCTTATTTTACTAACGTTTTAATACTAACTTTATACTTCTATATAATAAGTTACTTAATACTTTAATAGAATATACTTATTATTATAGCTATTACTAATACTATCTAGAGATTAAATAGTAATAGTATTATATATATTATAGTAATTACTTTATTATTAAGGTAAGTATAAGTACTATTATAATTATAATTATAATTATAATTACTACTAAGTAGCTATAAATACTTATAGCTTAGTAGTAGTTCTAATAT